CAGGAAGGCTGTAGTATCTTGGATCAGTAGATCAGTAGAGAGCCTCACGTCTCCTCTCTCTCTCTCTCTCTCTCTCGCTCTCGCTCTCGCTCTCGCTCTCGCTCTCGCTCTCACTCTCTCTCTATTTTATGGGTATGAATACTTTTGCAGGCGCATACCATGTACATGTTTAGTGCCTACAGAATTCAGGAAAGAGCATTGAATCCCCTGGAACTATAGTTACACATAGTTGTGAGCAGCCTTGAAGGTGCTGGGAATTGAACTCAGGTCCTCTGCAAGAGCAGCCAGTGCTCTTAACTGCTGAGCCATCCCTCCAGCACTGAGTTTTTTGGTTTTTATTGAGGACATAAATTCTTACCACATTTGTGGAATTGACCATTGGGAAGCCAGAGAAGAGAGGTCGCCCTAGACCCCTGCCTGCCGGGATCCACACATCTCAGTTAGGGGACACCTCTGAGCAGCTGCCAGGCCACTAATAGGGCCCAGATGTGCCCAGAGGTGGCCTTGGCTCCAGACCTGCCTGCTGGGACACTCACCCGGGGGTGGCTTTACAGCCAGTTTATTTCCTGGAATGATTTTAAAGAAAATCCCAAGGGAAGAACTAATGGCCCAGCCTGATCCTGCCGCCCTGGCCAGCATCTCCCCAGGCCTGGCTCTTGCGCTTCAGCCCAGAGAGAAGCTTGTTCTTGGGCAGGAAGCCAGCTGACCAGAGCAGTAGGACGGCTGTGTTGGAAGGGCTCCATTTTGGGACCACTGTAGCAAGTGGGTTCTTTGTTTTGTTTTGTTTTGGAGACAAAAGCCCAGGTTGGCTTCCAAGTCAGTTGCCACAAATGACCTTGAACTTCTGAGCTTCCTTCCTTCTCCTAAGAGTGCTGGGATCACCTGCAGGAACCACCAGTGTCTGAAGTGCTGGGACCAAGCCCAGAGCCTTATTCCTGCTACTCCAGCACCATCCCGACTGAGGCACATCTCAGCCCTACCACAGCAGCTGCTGATGGGTCAGCACAGAGCCCCAGTGCAAGCTGGGACTGGTGACGCAGGCTGAGCAGAAGCAGGGTGTCTCCAAAGTCTCCCGAGTCCTTCCAAGATGCAAAGATGCAGGCCGAGTGGATACAACTCTGCATGGACACGTGGCAGCAGCTCCTTGACCAGGTGGCCAAGGGACACCAGGGATGAGACCATGGCATTATAGCACTTACAGCACCGCAAACTGAGTCTGAAACATCTGCCTCTGTGTCCTGCTGGGAGGGCCCAGCCCAGCCCCAGCTGTGAGGAAATGCCAAGACCACTCAGAAGGACAGGCCACAGAACTCCTGCTTCTGGCTTTATCTCTTTGAGACAGGCTACTTTGCAGCCCTGGCTGGTCTGGAATTTTGTCTTAGTTTAGTTTCTATCTAAACACCATAACCAAAAGCAACTTGGGGAGGAAAGGGTTGATTCTGGCTTATGGCAGCACTCAGGTCACACTCCGTCACTGAGGGAAGGCAGGGCAGGAGCTGGGGCAGGGGTGCTGCTTCCCGGCTTGCTCCTCATGACTTGCTCAACTAGCTTTCTTTTTTCTTTTCTTTTTTCTGTCTTTTGTTTTTTTTCCGAGACAGGGTCTCTCTGTGTAGCTTTGCGCCTTTCCTGGATCTTGCTCTGTAGCCCAGGCTGGCCTCGAACTCACAGAGATCCGCCTGGCTCTGCCTCCCCAGTGCTGGGATTAAAGGTGTGCGCCACCGCTGTCTGGCTCAACCTGCTTTTGTCTCCCACCCAGGACCACCAGCCCAGGGGCAGCACTGGACCCTCCCACATCAATCATCAAACAAGAAAATGCCCAGCACCGCTTGACCACAGGCACATGTTATGGGCCATTTTCTCAATTGAGGTTCCCTCTTCCCAAATGACTCTAGCTTTTGTCAAGTTGACATGAAACTAGCCAGCACAAACTTGCTTTGTACATCAGGCTTGTCTTGAACTCACAGAGATCCGCCTGCCTCTGTCCCCCAAGACCTGGGATTAAAGGTATGGGCCACCACACTTGGGTTTTTGTTTTGTTTTTCTTTTTGAGACAAGTCTTACTATGTAGCTCAGGCAGATCTTGAACTTGTGGCCTTAACCTTAAACTTCTTGCCTAAACCTTCAGTGCTGGTATGAGCCTTTGGGCCTAGGTGGCCTGGTACTTAAAAAAAAAATGGTGCAGGACGGTGGTGGCGTACACCTTTAATCCCATCACTCAGGAGGCAGAAGCAGGTGGATCTCTGTGAGTTTGAGTCCAGCCTGGGCTACAGAGTGTGAGTGCGATCCAGGACAGGCACCAAAACTATACAGAGAAACCCTGTCTTGAAAAAAAAAAAAGCAACATTATGGGCTGGGACTGTGGTGGAGCACATGCCCAGCGTATGTGAGGGCCTTAAATGCCAGCACCACAGAAAACCACAGTGCTTATAATCCCTTCATTCAAAAGGCAAAGGCAGAAGAGGCCTGCTACAAGTTTGAGGCTAACCTACATAGTGATATCGTCTCTTCAAACAAGGGGGCGGGGCTGAGAATACACCATTAGTAGAATGCTTCTTTTTCTTTTTTTTTTTTTTTGGTTTTTCGAGACAGGGTTTCTCTGTGAAGCTTTGCGCCTTTCCTGGAACTCACTCTGTAGACCAGGCTGGCCTCAAACTCACAGAGATCCACCTGCCTCTGCCTCCCCAGTGCTGGGATTAAAAAGGCGTGCACCACCACTGCCCAGCTTCAAAAAACTTTTTTAAGTAAACAAATCAGTAAAATAAAATAAATGCTGGGTGTGATGGCATACACCTTTAATCCCAGCACTCAGGAGGTGGAGGCAGAGGGATCTTTGAGTTTGAGGCCAGCCTGGTCTACATAGTCTGTTCCAGGGCTATCTGGAGCTACATAGACCCTGTCTCAAAAATAAAACAAAAAACAAAGAACAAGCAAACAAACAAAAAAATTAAAAAAAAAAAAAGAAAAGAAAAAAACCCAAAACTTCTCACCTCTCCTTGGCCAGTTTCATGGCCTGCACCCTCTTAGGGACACCCTTTTCTCTTCACATTGTCAAAAACTGCACATTTCTGTGAATAATCCTCTGCTGTCCCCACCCCTGTTCTTCCTCCAGAGGGCCGTCTGTCCACTCAGCTCCAGGCCGCTGGAACTCCTTCGGGGTCAGCTCTGACCTCTCTCCCACACACTAGGGTCCATGACCAGCCCTGAGTAAGCGAACAAGGCCCCAGGCTGGGTGGGCACCAAGCCAGTCCAAATCCCCAAGGCTATCATAGCCCCGGTCCAGGCCATGTGTCACCTGCTATCCTCACCTCCACCTTTGTCCCTTCTCCTGGCTCCTCTTGCCTCCCAAACTCTAATCTCTGCTCTCCCATGCAGCCTCGGAACCTGGTTCCCAGCTGCCGTCTCAAAGCCCGACGCTGCTTTCTGGGCCCAGGTTCCTCAGAGGCCCTTGCTTCCCCTTCCCCTGGCTTCCTAGGGCCACCAGCCACAAGTTCTTGCTCAGGGACAGCTCCTTCCAGCCCTGCAGCCTCCTTCTCTCCCCCCCCCCCACCGTGCTCCCCTCCCCACCTCGCAGGACTCCATCACTCTTCCTCCACCTTCCCATCTTCCTCCTCCCTCTCTGTGGAATGTCAACCCTCCTGAGGGCTTCGGATGCCTTGGTGGGAACCCCGCCTGCTGCTCTCCGGCTCTCCAGCCTCATTCCACCCTGGCACCACTGCAGGAAAGCAGGGTGTTTAATCGCTTGTTTGTTTTGTCTCCCCCACTAGAACAGAAGTTCCTGAGTGCAGCGACTGTTCCCAGGGCCAGGCACACCCCGGCCCACAGGACCCACTGAATGAGTGAAGGAATGTCTCGTTAACAGTCTCTCCTGAGACAGGCACTGTTGCCTCCGATTTCTAGAGCCAGAAACTGGGGCTGAGAGCAGAGGGAATCTGGCTTGCTTCTGGCAGCGAGAGGTGAGAGTCAGGGCCAGGAGCCAGGCCTACCTGACTCCCAGCACGCTCTGAGCCAGGCTGACCAAGGCGCAGGACCTGGGGCCAGGCCCTCAGCGCTGAGTCTGGTCCTAGAGGCCCATCCCATCCCTGAAGGCCCCGGTGAAGTCACTTTCTGATCAACCTACTGTGGAGAAACCTACTGGGGACACAGGAGGCCTTGAGCCAGCTGGTGCCCAGCCCCCAGCACCCACCTCACCAGCCTCCCTTCAGGGAGGCCTGCCACAATTTGGCAATTGTTAGAGAACCTTTTTTTTTTTTTCCTTTTGGGAGGAAAGCTGTAAGTCATTAGGCTGCTCCCGCCTGCGGGTCACCATTTCCTGTTTAGAAGACTCATCTCTCCTTTGGAGCTGGAAGCTCCCCACCCCCAGCCAGGCTGGAGCTGGGCTGTGCTGACTCTCCACAGGCCGACGCCTGCTGCCTGCTCCCCGCTCCCCACAGGAAACTGGCACCTTCGGCCCCCTTTGTGCTCAGAAAGGGACACTCATTTTTTCTCGGCCCCAGGAGGCCCTCAGAGTTGAGGTCACCAGCACCAACTAGCCTGAGGTGAATTGCCCCAGCTCTGGTCCTCTGAGCAGGAAGCTGAGTGACCCCTACCCTTTGGCCTGGCTTCTCACCCTCCTGGCTCCAGCCAGCCCATTTCCTTGCATCAAAGGCCATTTGGTACCCAGCAGCCAGACAGAGGTGTGGGCCTGCCTGACAGGGAGGCCCTTGGGAACAGGAAAGGCATCCTCCTTCAGCTGGGAGGGGCAGCTAGTCCCGCCCCAACGACCTGCTCTAGTGGAGCCCCAGCACAGGGCCAGGCTGTAGATAAGGCCGAGAAGCAGCTTCCTATGCTAGAGAACCTCAAGAGTGTGGGGAAGCTTGTACAGTACCCGGATTGGACAGACACCCAGGCCAAGCACTCCAGTTGGAACTCCAAAGCACAGGACTTAAGACCCCTGCCTCTCTCTCCCTAAGTCCCTTTAATGTGTCCCCTTCACCACCAGTTTTTAGTATATAAATTAACCACTTTATTGAATATCAATAAACTGTACATATTAACTATACAAAATGCTGCTTACAATATAAATACCTTTAAAATGTAAACATCTTCCTCCCAGGACCACCTGTTGGGCCCCAAAATAGTTCTGGGAGACACATTGGCCAGGCTGAAGCCCCCCACTTGGCCCCTAACAAGTGACGGCCATTACTCATGGTCCCTTCTTCGTTAAACTGCTGTGAAACAGGTGTCACCAGGACAAATGGAGGTGGGGCACCTGGACATGTGTCCAGCAACCACCCTGCTGGGGCATGGATGTAGCTGGGGGAGGGGGAGACTATTGCATAGTCTGCTGTACCTCAGCAAGTTGGCCTGAAGGGTCCTTGGGGGAGGTAGGGAAGTAGGGGTCCCCTGAGTGGGGTTCAAGCTTCCCAGCCAGTGGGTTGGCTTTAGTCCTATGGCTCGAAGCAGCTGTGTCCAGAGGCTATACCTCATGAATACTGAGGGGTGGCTCTGGGAGGGAACCACGGCGCTCTGCCTTCCATCTGTCATCTGGAGAAAAGGCCAAGAAAGCCAAGCAGAAACCAGGGCCAGACATGGCCTCCACAGGTCCCGGGATGAAGGCTGGACGGATGACGTCCAGGAGGGAGGCTTGGCAGTGAGGGCCGGCTCCAGGGAACCAGGGAGATGTCAGAAAGGATGGAGAGAGAAGGGGGTCAGCGTGGGCCTCCGGAGCAGCCAGACTCTTGGTGTTTGTGAAGTAAGGACATTCGGGAGAAAGTGCGGGCGCACGCCTGACACTGGTACTTCTTCACGTCTGAGTGGGTCTGAAGGTGGGCACGCAGGTTGGAGCGGTCAGCGAAGGCACGGTTGCAATGGGAGCAGGAGAAGGGCTTCTCACCTGGGGAGAGATGCGATGGGTGAGGAGAAGGCCCGGACAGAGCAGCCTGGATGCACCACGGAAGGCCAAGTACAGCCAGGCCTGCGCTGGGTGAGGGTCATGGGCTTCCTGTAGGCAGCCCTGACCACCAGCCTTCTGTTGTCTCCACACTCCCTCCCAGGGTAGGGTAAACTCAGACACATGCTGCCAGGCACTGACCACTTCTCACTATGTGATCCTTCTGCAGTCCTACCCTTCAGACACAGAGAAACCGAGGCACAGAAGTTAAGCAGCAGGCTCCAGTCACCCACCAGGCCTCCACAGCCCTCGGTTTTAGCCACTGCCGTAGGCAGGGGGAGCTGTGGTTGGTGTTCCTATTATCAGCCTTGAAGTCAATCCTTGATTTACTTTGTCTAGGACAAAGCTTGAGGAGGCAGCCTGGAGAGGCCTCCCCACCCCCACCCAGAGCCAGGGAGGCCTCTCCTCTGCGTCCTGCCAGCAGCCCAGAGCTTTGCAATCCCAAATCTTGGCTGTTTCCCCATAGGACCAATGGGGAACCTCTCCTCAGCCTACTTTAAGGCCCAGCCCAGGGGCTGACATCCCACCGCACCAGCCAAGGCTGTAGTTTAGGCTAAGAGTACAGTGTTTAATAGATGCTTGTAGATAGCTGGATGGTTGTGGCGCACGCCTTTAATCCCAGCCCTCACAGAGGCAGGTGGATCTCTGTAAGTTCGAGGTCAGCCTGGTCTACAGAGTGAGCTCCAGGACAGGCACAAAAACTACACAGAGAAACCCTGTCTCGAAGGAAAAAAAAGAAAAAGAAAAACCAACCCCCCAAAAGCTTGTAGAATTAACAAATGTGCTTTTAAAAAACTTTAAATAAGAAAGGACCTGCACATGGCGGTCCACACTTATGATCTCAGCAATGGAGACAGAAAGAAGAGGGTCTCTGGTTTGAACCCAGACTAGCTGGGCAACACAAATACCAACAACAGAACCCAAGTACCTGTGGCACTCCTACTATGTGCCAAGCACGATGCTATCATGTGGACCGGCCTCTTCAAACAAAGCAAGGCAGCCTTCCCTCCAGGCCTGCTAGCCCACAGGCGGTGCCCTTTGGTTAAATCTAGTGCTGGAATTCGAGGGAGGGCTGATGAATGCCTCCTCCTCCTTGGTGTGCTGGGCTTCTGGATGGGGGAAATCTCAGCAGGGTTCCTGTGGGATCCACCCACTCAGCAGGTATTCACTGAGCCGGGGGCACATACCCACAGAAGCCTGTGGCTACTGGGGAAGGAAGCCCAGTGTGAGGCTCCCAGCAAGGACCCCCCTCCACTTACTCCTTGGTAACTCAGTGCTGCCGATGCAGAGATCTGGAGGTTCCTACAAGTTAGGGGCGGTGACCCCTCCCCAAGGACTAACCTGTCAGTTTAGCAGGGAACGGGTGAGCTGGGGTAAATCTTAACAAAGGGGGAACAGACAACACAGAATGAGATGGAGTTTGGGGGGGGGGGTCCTGAGGAAATGTGCAGGAGTGTAGATCCCCCACTCCTCACAGATCTCCGACCCCCAGACGCCTTTATGGTGTTCCTGGCAAGTGTGAAATCGGCACCAGGCCGGCTGGGACAAAGGCCACTGAGGGGGGCACTGTACATGCGATACCCCCTGGATTAGAGGGGCCCGCCATGCAGTGAGCCGGCAGCTGCGGCCAGAACAGGTGCTGGGCACCACTGCCCCATGCACCTGCTCTAACCCTGCAGGCCCCCACCCCCTGGGCCACCATTAAGACACACAATGGGACTCCCAGGGACAGGGTGGTACATTTCAACAAGGGTTTTGTCTGAGCCATGCCTTCACATCAAAACAAAGTCCCTAGGACCCCTGAGGGCTTCAGCTCTCCCCAAAGCACAGTCCCTTGGCTTAGCCACGGTGCAGGATAAAGGCCAGGCTGTTGGGACTTTACAGTTAAATCTGAGGCAGTGGGTGCCTGGAGGAGGAGAAATGGGTAGCCTCATTCATGCAGTGAGGACCTCAGTGAGACCTGCAAATGGCACCCCACCTCTCAGCTTTGCTATTCCAATGCTGGCCACAACAGGAAATGCACAGCTCCAACGAGCCAGCTCACACCCCAAAGCTTGATAGCTGTGGCCAGTGAAACTTCATCTCCAACACTCTTTCCAAAGACTTACCCCTACACGGGAATCCCCACTATCACGGACAGGCTAATGCCGTTCCCTCACGTCTAGAAGCTTTCCACACGTTCTGAGGCTCAAAGACTAGCAAAGTCACTTGAGTTCAGCGTGGCACCTGCACCCAGTACTTCACCCTACACAAAAATCCCACCAAGTGTTTGTTCTTGGGCATTTCAGACATGGGGAGACCGAGGATGGTCTCAGCCTTCAAGACCAAGTGGAGAAATCTAACACTAGTCTGTCTGTCTGGGTTGAGAGTGGGGAGCCGGAGGGCACCCCCTTACTCCCCGCCCTAACAGCAAGGAGCAGGATGCAGGAGAACCAGCGTCTTACTTTGCCATCTGCCTGGCTGCACCAGAAGCAAGTGTGAGTCCACCAGTCAGAGGCCAAGCACCCAGGGCGGCAGGGAGATGAGAGGCAGCTGTGGGAACACTCACCAGTGTGGGTGCGGACGTGGCCCTGCAGCAGCCAGGGCCTGGAGAAGGCCTTTCCGCAGGTCGCGCAGACGCACGGCAGCGTGTGGCTTCGGATGTGCATCTTGAGGGCGCCCAGGCTGAGGTACTCCTTGCTGCAGTACTTGCAATTGAAGGCCTTCCGGGACTGGGGGTCCTTGGCCACCGAGAGCCTGGCTAGCTGCTTGGGCAGCTGACCCAAGCCAGAGAAGGCGATGAAGGCCTCGGCCTCCAGGGATGAGGCCGAAGTGGAGGAGAAGGACGACGGCGCCGGCGAGGGCGGGCTGGGCGGCTGCGAGCTTTTGCCGCTGTCTTCATCGGACAGCGAGGTCAGCTCGGCCGCCCTGGGGCTCTCCCGCGGCGGGAGGGTGGCCCAAGCAACCGGCTGCACTTGGGGCACCAGGAGCGAGTCCCAGATGAGGGTGGGCAGCGAGGCGGCGGGGTTAAGGACCTCGGGCGGAGGGATGGCGGCCAGCAGGTGAGCCTGGTCGTAGGGTTGCTGGAAGGTGAACTCTGCGGGCAGAGAAGAGAGAGCAGAGGGTCAACGGGGCCGGTTCTCGGGGCGCCAGGTGGAGGGGCTCCCGGAGGCTCCCCGCCCGCCCGCCCGCCCGCCCCTCCCCCACCCGGACTCCGGACTCCGCAGGACTGTCTTCCCTCGGGTCTACAGTTTTCGGAGCCTCCCCGCCCTGGGTCGCAGACCCCGCCCTCGGTGGACCCCAACTGCCAAGATCCGGAGCTCCCGGTCCACCTGTCGCGCCCGCAGAGCCCGGCTCGCCCCCTGCGCGCCCTCGGGAGCCCCCCGAGGCGCCCGCGTCCCGCACCCCGCCACGCACCCACACACGCGTCCTGCAACTCGCTATAGTTGGGCTTCCGGCGGGGGTCGGACGGCTTCCTGACCAGGAAGGAGCGCGGCATGGTGGCCGGGGCGACCTAGGTAGCCGGGGGGTCACCGGGTCACGCAAGGTCGAGAGGCAAGTCCGCTCGCGAGGCCCGGCCGCGGCACTGCGCTCCCCCCTCGGTGCGGCAAACTCTTTTAAGTAGGCGGGCCGGGGGCGGGGCCGCGGCCCCGGCCACGCCCCTTTGTCAAGGCTGCGCCAATGGCGGGCGGCGGCGCGGCCCGAGACCGCGACAGGAGCAGGTGCGCCGGGGCTGGAGGGGCCCGCGCCGCGTGGCGCTGAGGTTCGGCTTGGGCTCCTCCCGGGCCGGACCGCGCGGCGTCCGAGCGCCTCGGGCGCCCCCTGGTGGCCGCGCCTGGCCTCCGCCGAGAGCGGCGCCCCGACCCCCGGGGCGGCTGACCTTTGCGCCCCGAAAATGCGTGGATCCGCTCCCTTTCGCACGTGCTTCGGGAGCGCCCACGCTGAACCAGGCTGAGTTCTGGAGCTGCATCTGTACAACCCCGAACGAAACACTCCGAGCCCTTACCGAAGAAGGATGGCTTCCCGTCCGTGGGGGAGACAGACGGGGTGAACAGGCGATTCTAATGCAAAGGGAGGTGTGCTTTGATGCGGAGAGAGGCGGGGAGAGACAGCTGTGACTGTCCATGGACGGTCACCTGAAGGGGGGGGGCGGGTCTCTGACTTCCCAGGGGAAGTGAAAAAACACAGAGGGGAAAGGCCCGAGGTAAGAGTAACTGCTGCCTGCCCAGCTTTTGAGAGCGGCTCCCAGGCGTGGGGGTGGTGTGGGCAGGCCCCGAGGGGTCGGATTTGCTGGCCTCGGGTCCTCGGAGGAGTTTGGACTTTGCCTTTAGGGCACCGGGGAGCCACCGAAGGACTTGCAGCTGAGGAGGGACCTATTTGGAGTTGCATTGTGAAACACCGCTGAGGGCAGGTGCGAGGCAGGCAGACGTAGCCAAGCCCAGAGCTGAGGCTCCCGGCTTCCCGAGAATCGTGTTGGAAGGATCACAGGAAGGAAGGGTCCAGCCCAGCACCAGGGTGGCCCCGGAAATCAAGCCCACACCCCACAGTATGAGGTGTCACACACCTGTAAAGTGGAGGGGCTGGGGAAACCTCTGGGGCGTCTCCAGACACTGGAGGCAACAACAGTGACTGCATCCGTTCTCCTAGCGCTGGTGAGAGGGCGAACGAACAGACAGCAGGAGCGATCATGCCGGACACTTTGCCCTCCGGGTTCATGTGGTTCATCCACGCAGCTCCCCTTGAGTCCAGAGGGAGAAGACTGAGCCCCTCACCCCGAACCCTTCCTTGCTTGTCTGAACTGACCGCTCAGCTGACCGGATCTTGACCTTTCCCCCTCCCTATGCACAATGGCCAAGGCTTTCCCACCACAGGACCTTGCCGCCTGCCCTCAGCCCTCCGGTCCTGTTCTCTTCCCGATCTACACCTGGCTAGGCCTCCTTTGATCCTTTGTTCCCCCCACCCCCCCCACCCCCGCCCCCGCCCCCAGCCTCCTTAGTAAGGTGGGAAAAGAGAAAAAACAACGAAGCCTGAAGCCCGAAGGGAAGGCCAGTTCACACCCTCACACCTGCCAAGTAAAACCTGGTCAAGTGTTGATGGATGCTGGCATGCCACTTAGAAAAGGTGTGACTCAGCCCAACAGGTGACAGGTGACCCCCCCCCCCCCACTCCCAGGAAGCCTTCTTCCTAGGCCGACTGCCACCCTTTTCCTCAAGAGTGTCTGAAAACACCTAAGCCCTGCCCGCCTTCACCTGCAGACACATCCTGATTTAATCGTCTAGGGCGGGGTTTTGGCATCCGCTTTTAAGATGACAGAACTGCTGGATGCCTCTAAAGAATTACCAAAGCTAAGAATACATGGCCAGTCTCAAACCCACCAAACAAGACGAAAGGACAACCTGACACCTGCTCTCTCGCTCTCTGTCTCTCTCTCTGTCTCTGTCTGTGTCTCTGTCTGTGTCTGTCTGTCTGTCTGTCTCTCTCTCTCTCTCTCTCTCTCTCTCTCTCTCTCTCTCTCTCTCTCTCTGGTTTCTCGAGACAGGGTTTCTCTTTGTAACCTTGGCTGTTGCGGACCTCGCTCTGTAGCCCAGGCTGGCCTCACACTCAGAGATCCACCTGCCTCTGCCTCCCCAGTGCTGGGATTAAAGGCGTGCGCCACCACCGTCGATCAACTGAGGCAGGATTAATAACACCAGCTGACCTGACAGCAGCATGAACTAACGACATCCAGACTGGGGACACATCTGTACTTGTGGGAGGCAGAGGCAGGAAGCTCAGGGGTTTAAGGCTAACTCTGGCTGAATAGTGACAGCCTGTCAGGAAAAGGAAGGACGGAAGGAAGGTTAAAGTATGAACAGGTCCATGCAACAACAGAATGATTCTCAAGCCGAGTGATGAGCAAAAGCCAGACACAGGTGTGCAGTTAGTGAGCGGGATTTACAGATGGTCAAAAGTAGGCAAGCTGAGTGGTGTAGAATTCAGGGACACACCCACTCACACAGTGAAAGTTAGGAAAATGTCCGCTGCAGAATCTTTTTTTAAAATTTGTTTATTGTTGTTGTCCTTTTTTTTTTTGAGAAATAGTTATCACTATGTAGTCCTGGCTGCCCTGTAACTCACTCTGTAGACCAGGCTGGCCTCAGACTCAGAGATCCACCTGCCTCTGCCTCCCCAGTGCTGGGATTAAAGGTGTGTGTCACCACTACCTGGCTATATTTTTATTTTTTATTTATGTGTATGTGCCTGTATGAATAAATACCACATGTGCAGATGCCCTCAGAGGCCAGATTCCCCTGGCATTTGAGTGACAGGTGGTTGTGAGCCACTGTGTGGGTACTGGGAACCAAACCCAGGTCCTTTGTAAGAAAGAGCCAGTGCTCTTAGCTGCTGAGCCATCGCTTCAGCCTTTTTTTTCCTTCCCTATTTATTTTTGTTTTTTTCGAGATAGGGTTTCTTTGTATAGCCTTGATTGTCATGGAACTCCTGTCTGTGTAGACCAGGCTGGTTTTTTAGTTTTTTTGAGACAGGGTTTGTCTGTGTAGTTTTGGTGCCTGTCCTGGATCTCGCTCTGTAGACCAGACTGGCCTCGAACTCACAAAGATCCGCCTGGCTCTGCCTCCTGAGTGCTGGGATTAAAGGCGTGCGCCACCACCGCCCGGCAACTTCGTTTGTTTTTAAGACAAGGTCTCACAAGCAGGCTAGTCTAATGCTGGCTGTCCTCCTGCGTCAGCCTCCTGGGTACAGGGATTGCAAGAGACTCTTGATTCTCCTACAAGCTCCCCCAAGGCTCCCCCGCCGGCTCCGCCCCTTGCCTGGGGCGCAGTCTTGCTGCGCCCTCTGCTGGCCAAAGTGCCTCCCTGCGTCTCCCCTTCCTAGGAGAGCAACCTGGGACCACTTAATGTAACTAGGGAAGGCGGGAGAGGAGGATAAATTTGAATATATGTTGCATTTTTTTCAGGTGTTCCTCCACTAAACCCGTGATTTACAACCAACCAAAGCCTCCCCCCCCCCCGCTCTAGACCTCTAGAGGTGACCTTTGTAATAGACAAGGGGATGGTTACACACACACAGGTGTTTATATTAACTCAGCCCCCTTCTGTCACCACAGATGGCCACCTCGATGCTAGACAGTGCCCCGCTATAAAAATGCTCCATTTTTGTCGTTTTGAAAGAGGCGCTAACATAGGCCAGGCCGGCCTTGAACTTACTGTGTAGCCTAGGCTGGCTCCCACCACCTGACCCTCTTGTGTGCTGGGATTGAAGTATGTGCCTGCCATCACAGTGGGCTCGTTTTTTTTGCTCACTGTTTGCTTTTATGCTGAGGATTAAACTTAAGCTCTCTGAAGAATGACCACATCACTGAACTATCCTTCCAGCCACCTTTAAGCTTCTGCTAAGTAGTCGTGCGTTCATGTGTGTGTGTGTGTGTGTGTGTGTGTGTGTGTGTGTGTGTGTGTGTGTGTGTGTGCGTGCGCGCGCGCCTCTGCATGCACGCCTCTGCGTGCACGTGGCGGTCAGAGGACACCTTTAGAGTCACTTCCTGTTTCCCCTTTTACGTGGGTTCTGAGAGTTTAACTCAGGTTTCCAGGTTTGCTCGATGCTTTTTTCCTTCTGAGCCACCTCACATTTTTACTTTGAAACAAGATCTGGGCTTGAACCTGTGATCCTCCTGCCTCTGCCTCCCAAGAATCTGGGATTACATAGAGCCAGAACCATGAGGCCCCACTCCTAACTTTTTAAAATTTTTATTTATTTATTTTTTGGGTTTTCGAGACAGGGTTTCTCTGTGTAGCCCTGGCTGTCCTGGAACTCGGTTTGTAGACCAGACTGGCCTCGAACTCACAGAGATCCACCTGCCTCTGCCTCCCAAGTGCCACTACCGCCTGGCCAACGCCAAACTTTTTATTCTGTGGGTTTTGCTGAGATTACACAGTTTAACAAGGGGACTCGGGTGGGAATTCAGATGACTTTTTTTTTTTTTTTTAATCCTGAGACAAGAGTTTCTCTGTGTAGTCCTGGCTGTCCTAGAACTCACTTTGTAGACCAGGCTGGCCTCAAATTCACTGAGATCCACCTGCCTCTGCCTCCCGAGTGCTGGGATTAAAGGTGTGCACCATCATGGAATGCCACTTTTTTTTCTGCTACAAATGATGGAGCAGTTTCAAGAGTGCCTCTGCCCACCCAGCCAGTGTTGTACTGCAGACAGAGCCACATGCTCCACAGAAACTTGATGGCTAAATGTCCTCCAGAAGGGTTAAACTGAACTCCCTTCAGTAGGGAGTGGAGGATTCCTTTGCAAAACTTGGCCCACACAGGCTAAACTTGGCCCACTCTGTACAGCCAGTTTTTGCTTCTTTTGGGGTTTGTCTGATTCAACCTGGGCATTTACATCCAGAGCCATTTTTTGTTTTGTTTTGATTCTTTGTGTCCTTCCCATCATGCATCTCGTTCCCATTCATTTTCCATCCCTGTGTATCTGCCCTCTGCCCTTGTAGATGCCCCCCCCCCATAAAATTTAAGAGAAAACAGAAAAAAAATCTCATCATGGAAGCTGTAGTGTGACACAGTGAGTCACACAGAAAACCCTTCTATCCATATATCTTTACTTGCACGTGTTTATTGCAAAGAGTCATTCGTCTAGTTGGAGGCCTCCGGTTTCTGTTACACTGTCGATGCTGGGCCCTCACTGGAACTCCTCTTGGAGATCCTGCTGTTGCCCTGTGTAGAGATCCTGCAGCTTTGGGCCTGCAGGACTGGTCCCTTCAGTTGCTCCAGCAGATCACAGAGGAGGTGGATGTTGGGGTGGGCCAGCCCCTAACCCTGGTTCTGGGTCTGGGTAGTTGCAGGGTTGGTCATCCTGCCAGCTCTCCCCTGTCTTCACCACTAGGGTGAGTTCTCCTGCACTGCCCAGGCTAGTTCACCCCTTGCAGAGATGAGCAAGGGGCGGGGCCCGTTCTCCTGCTTTCATGTCCTCAGGGTTGGATCTCCCACACCTACACCTCCAGGGCCAGCTCCACTGTGTGGCCCAGGTGTGGCTTAGTGCTGCAGCAGGTGAGGGGCTGGGCCTGCTCTCCCACTCTTATGACCTCAGGGCCAGCTCTTTAACCTGCCTCAGGCATTGATGGTGTGGGGGGGCATTTCTGTCCCATGCCGCCATATGACAGGTGAGTAATGGGGACAGCTCTTCTATGCTCACAGTATTGGTGCTGGCTCTCCCACAGCTCTGCCAACAGGATTGGCTCTATTGTGGTGCCCAGGTGAAGGGCAGGGCCAGCTCTCCCACCTGCCTCAAGCGTTGATGGGTGGGAGGGGGGCATTTCTCACCTGCCCATGCCACCCCATGACGATGAGTGATAGGGAGAAGCCCTCCCATGCCCAGAGCTGTTTCTGTTTCTTTGTGTTCTAAACTACTTTTCAAGTTCTTTCAGTCAGCAAGTTGATGACTTCTTTTTCTTCTTTTTTATAGACAGGGTCTTACTATTTAGCCCTGACTGGCCTGGAACTTGGTATGTAGATCAGGCTGGCTTAGAACTCAAGAGAGTTCAGCCTGCCTCTTCATTTTTTAAATTTTATTTTCCCAGAAGAACTGGGGATTAAAGCCAGTCACCTCTGACTTATATCCCCAACCCTTTTTCTTTATGCATGTGTGAGTGACAGTGTGAATGTCCCACATGCCACCTGTCCTTCCATATTTCCTGTGGCTCGGGCAGCGAGCACCTCCACCCACCTGTCTGTCTCCCAGGGGCCCTGGGAGAGTTCTCATCACTAGGTTTGCTCAGGCTGACCTTGACCATTGACCTACCTCAGCCTTCGGGAATCCTTGGGGTCTTGTCCTACCACCAGGCCTGACCAGGAACTTCTCGTTTCCCAGAGTGTTGCTGACTGGTTTTCACTGGCCTGTTGATTAGATGAAGGAACAGATGGGGTCAGAGCTGACTTTGACTGGAAGGACAGTGGGGACAAAGAGAGAAGCAAACCAGTGAGTCGCTGGTCATAGATAAAACTGTTTTGGAGGCGCGCCGGGCGGTGGTGGCGCACGCCTTTAATCCCAGCACTCGGGAGGCAGAGCCAGGCGGATCTCTGTGAGTTCGAGGCCAGCCTGGACTACCAAGTGAGTTCCAGGAAAGGCGCAAAGCTACACAGAGAAACCCTGTCTCGAAAAACCAAAAAAAAAAAAAAAAAAAAAAAAAAAAAAAAAAAAAAAACTGTTTTGGAGGCTGGCTTTTGGGTCAGGGGACTCAGACCAGCCTTCTCATTTCTGACAGTGGGAGCATCTGCTAGGACCAGGCTCTGTGGAGGAGGTGCATTCCCAGCTGGGTCCCTAAAGCATTCCAAACTGGCCCACAAGAAGACCAGTGAGCACCATGTACCCTTAGGCCCTATAGCTGGGCAGGAAGAAGTCCCAGACTGAATGGAGGTCGACTCATCAGCATAGGTGATAGCTGAACAATGGGCTCCTTTGCAAATGGAAGGAGAAATTGTAAGGCTGTTAGGGACCTAAAGGCTTTCCAGCAGAGACTGGACTCTGGTGAGGACGTTTCCAGGGAGGGAAAGCAGGTTGGAAGGGAAGACCTTTGCTACATTACATTTTACACGCCTTTCTGTTCTTAAGTTGTATTATTTATTTTTGTGGTACTCCAGGTTGAACCTGGAGTCTTCTCCATGCTGGGCAGGATGTCTGCCTCCCAGCTACAGCCTCAGTCACCTGGTTTGGGTGCTTCTGTGTAGCTTTGCGCCTTTCCTGGATCTCGTACTGTAGACCAGGCTGGCCTCGAACTCACCAAGATCCACCTGCCTCTGCCTCCTGAATGCTGGGATTAAAGGCATACGCCACCACCACCCGGCTCAAACTTTCTCTCTCTTTTTCAAGACAGGGTTTCTCTGTGTAGCCCTGGCTGTCCTGTAACTTGCTCTGTAGACCAGGCTGGACTCAACTTGGAGATCTGCCTGACTCTGCCTCCCGAGTGCTGGGATTAAAGGTGTGTGCCACCACTTCCTGGCACAAACTTTTTATTTTGTGTGTCTTTTAGGGTGCTGCAGAGATTGAATTCAGGTTTCTCCTTGCACCTGCTCAGGCATCCTATCTCACAAGGTCTCCCAGATGCTCACATGGGCCCTCTGGCTGCAGCCTGGCCTATAGAACCTCTCCTGGTGGCAGAGGGAAATCTCCTGGGATTGTCTTTCTCCCTACACAGGTGCTCAGCTTTCCTACCTCTAAATCTCCAAACATCTCTGAAGCACAGAGGGCAAGAGAAGGAATCCAAGCTGGGCGGTGGTGGCGCACTCCTTTAATCCCAGCACTCTGTGAGTTCGAGCCCAGCCTGGTCTACAGAGCAAGATCCAGGACAGGCACCAAAACTACACAGACAAACCCTGTCTTGAAAAACCAGAGAGAGAGAAAGAAAGAGAGAGAGAGAGAGAGAGAGAGAGAGAGAGAGAGAGAGAGAGAGAGAGAGAGAAAGAGAAAGAAGGAATGCAGGATGCTGGGGAAGCAAGGGTTTAAGTATTCCTTGCACAAAGTCCTGAGATCAGTCTTCAGAAATCTACCTCCCCCATAAGGTAATGATGGGGGAAAAGTATGAAATGTATTTGGGCCTAGGAGGTTGGGACCAGCCTGGGCAATATAGCCAGATCCCACCTGTCTGAAAGCAGGAGTGGGGGGAGTGGTGGAGAGATGAACAGAGTTGTGTTCCCAGCACCCATGTCTGGCATCATAACCATCTGTAACTCCAGCTCCAGGGAGTCTGGTCTGGGCTCTGTGGGCACCTGCACTCATGTGCACATGTCACACACACACATACACACATACATAATTTAAAAATGAAGCTGAACGTGGTGCAATCCCAGCACACAGGAGGCTGAGACAGGACTGCCAAAGTTCAAGGCTAGCCTGGGCTACATAGCAAAACCCTTCCTCAAAGAAAAACTCTAAAAGGGAGGGAGGGATGGAGGGAGGAAAGGAGATGGGGAAAATAATAGCCAGTGGCTGGCTTTCTTCCTTCCTTCCTTTCTTCCTTCCTTTCTTTTTTTCTGAGACAGGGTTTCTCTGTGAAGCAGTCCTGGCTGTCCTGGAACTCACTCTCTGTAGACCAGGCTGGCCTCGAACTCAGAGATCTGCCTGCCTCTGCCTCCCCAGTGCTGGCATTAAAGCACTGTGTGCGCCACTACCACTGGGCAGCATTCTTTTGAAAAAAATGTATCATTTCACAATTATGAAATTTTATCTCTCTCTATGAAATGCACATATAATCTGTATAATATATAAAAGTGTATCATTTCACAATTATGAAATTTTATCTATCTCTATATATATGAAATGTACATATAATCTGTATAATATATAAAAATGTATCATTTCACAATTATGAAATTTTATCTCTCTCTCTCTATGAAATGTCCATATAATCTGTATAATATATAAGTGTGTCATTTCACAATTATGAAATTTTATCTATCTCTCTCTATGAAATGCACATATAACCTGTATAATATATAAAAATGTATCATTTCACAATTATGAAATTTTATCTATCTCTCTATGAAATGCACATATAACCTGTATAATATATAAAAATGCACTTTGATCCCGCATTATCTCTCATCTCCTTCCTCTGGCGACTCTCATGGGAAGCCAATGATTTTCCAAGGTCGTAGTTAGCTCTTCCTTTTGGACTCAGTCCAAACCCTGCTCCTGCCACCAAACTTTGTCCCTAGAGTGGACCCTTGTCCTGTCCCTGCTCACCGGCCTTTGCTGGACCCACAGATCTCCCCAGTGAGCAAGCAGTTCAGAGATGCCAATGTCACCTCCGAGCCACAGACCTGGCTGAGGGGATGGGGTACTGTGATAAATCAGGCAAGCTTAGCTAAGGCATGGGTATCCTTTAGAAAAGCCTGCGGCTAAGGCAAGTCCTGTGATGAGAAAGCCCTGGGCCAGGAAAAGAGAATGTTCTGGAGGTTAAGGCTATGAGGCTGAGGGCAGCAGGCCCAGGAGCCCTGAGTTCTGAGACTGGGCTCCTCAGCTGAGGCTGACCTTGACTTCTGACCCAGCCTCCCCTGCGGAGTGCTGGGATCACAGTGTGTGTGCTCCCACACCCAGTTTATGCAGTTTGGAGGACGGAACCAGTTCCTGAGACCTGGTCTTAAAATGAATGTAAGGGCTGTGTGGCTGGGGGTGGAACAGCCCTCACCAAGAGGAACCCTGAGCTAACTTCATCCTTCCACTCCCTATCTTAGAGATAAATTGGCCAGATACAACACAGATGCACAGGTTGAATTCGAATTTTATATAGATAACAAGTTCTTAGCATAAGACTGCAGAGAAGACTTAGCTGAAAATCAGATTTAACTGGGACCTCCCACAATTTTGTTAAATCTTGGGACCTATTTAGAAACTGGTTCTAATAGGGTGCTGTGGCTTACACCTACAAACACAACTCTTTCAAGGTGGAGGCAGGTGTCCAGCCTGGGCTACAAAGTGAGTTCTAGGCTAGGCTACAGAGTTAAGATCTTGGGTGTGTGTGTGTGTGTGTGTGTGTGTGTGTGTGTGTGTGTGTGTGAGAGAGAGAGAGAGAGAGAGAGAGAGAGAGAGAGAGAGAGAGAATGAGAGAGAGAGAGAGAGAGAGAGAGAGAGAGAGAGAGAGAGAGAGATGAGAATCATGTTTACAAGTGGCACACACTTGTGGCCCCAGAACTTGGGAAGGTAGAGGCAGGAAGATCAGGGCCAGCCTGGGGTACATGAGACCCTCGAAGCAATCAGATGAACAGAAGAAAAAGAAATAGTTCTGGAACAGCAAGATGGTCATCCAGTAAAAGCATTAATCCGCACAAGCCTGATTACCTGATTTAATTCCTGGAACCCGGAATTTGTCAAGTTGTCCTGTGGCATCCACATGAGCCATGAGCATCTTCACTCATACTTTATCACCACACACATGCCCCCCACATACACATACATACACACACACACACACACACACACACACACACACACACACACACACAAGCTCACACATAAGCACATACATGCACACACACTATGACACTCGGGCCTATCAGCAGCCATGGCTGAGCCCCACCTTGCTCTCCAGGAAGAGGCACTCACGAAATTCTTTGCTCCTAAGAGTCTGGTCTCCAGCCGGGTGGTGGTGGCGCACGCCTTTAATCCCAGCACTTGGGAGGCAGAGGCAGGCGGATCTCTGTGAGTTCAAGGCCAGCCTGGGCTACAGAGTGAGTTCCAGGAAAGGTGCAAAGCTACACAGAGAAACCCTGTCTTGGAGAGAGTCTGGCCCCATCTACGTTTGTGTAGGATGTGTTCCTAAGTCTCTGAGTCACTTTCTGCTGGGATTCCTGTGGCCAGGCTTGGGGACCCCTCACCTGGAGTCTCCAGAAGAGATCCTCGTACCTCTCCTCTTTCCATCTCGTGCTCTTCTCTCTCCATCCCGGTCTTTCTGGTGCGCAGTCTCCCTCTCACTGCCCTTCTAGGCTAGTGGTTCTCAACATGTGGGTCACAACCTCACTGACAAACCTTTATCTTCAAAACTATATACATTCTGACTCATAACAGTAGCAAAATTACATTTTATTGAGGTTGGGGATTTAGCTCAGTGGTAGAGCACTTGCCTAGCAAGTGCAAGGCCCTGGGTTCGGTCCTCAGCTCCGACAAAAAAAAAAAAAAAAGTTTTATTATTTATTATGTATACAGTGTTTCTGTATGCCTGCAGGCCAGAAGAGGGCACCAGATCTCATTACAGATGGTTGTGAGCCACTATGTGGTTGCTGGGAGTTGAACTTGGGACCTCTGGAAGAATAGTCAGTGCTCTTAACCTCTGAGCCATCTCTCCAGGCCCCTGAAAATAATCTTATGGTGGGGGGAGGGTCAGCACAACATGAGGGACTGTATTAAAGGTTGCAGCGTTAGGAAGGTTGAGAACCACTATCCCAGGCTCTCGTCTCAGCCTTTCGTCTCAGCCTCTCTCCTGTTGATCCAGCAGTTCTGCAGACAGAAGAGCTGGCCACACAGGCAAACACACGGTGTTGTGGACTTGTTCCCCTCAGTGCCCACTACAGCAGTGTCAACTGGAAAGCTCACTGAAAAAAAGTATACTTGCCAGGCGGTGATGGTGCACACCTTTAATCCCAGAGGCAGGCAGAGTTCAAGGTCAGTCTGGTAAACAGAGTAAGTTCCAGGGCAGCCAGGGCCACTTACACACAGAGAAACCTTGTCTCCAAAAACCAAAACCAGCCGGGCGGTGGTGGCGCAGGCCTTTAATCCCAGCACTTGGGAGGCAGAGCCAGGCGGATCTCTGTGAGTTCGAGGCCAGCCTGGTCTACAGAGTGAGATCCAGGAAAGGCGCAAAGCTACACAGAGAAACCCTGTCTCGAAAAACCAAAAAAAAAAAAAAAAACCAAAACCAAACAACTTCCTCCTGTACCCTGAAGTGCCATGCAGCCCTTAAAGGTGAAGCTTCAGAGCTGGGTGTAGTGACACACCTGTGATCCCAGCAGCTGAAGACAGAAACCGGAGGATCCTGGGATATATGGAATTCTGAACACCTGTGACAAGACAGAACGAACAAAGGCTGGGGGTATAGCTCAGTTGGTAGAGGGCTTGCTTAGCATAACTGAAGCCCAGGTTTGAGGCCCAGCATGACACATGCAGGTCAAGCTGGCGCACACCTATAACGTCGTTACTCAGGGTTAAGGCATGGGAATCACAAGCTCAAGATCCTTCTCAGCTACTTAAGAGAGTTAGGGGGCTGGAGAGATGGCTCAGAGGTTAAGAGCACTTACTGTTCTTCCAGAGGTCCCGAGTTCAATTCCCAGCAACCACATGGTGGCTCACAACCATCTGTAATGAGATCTGGTGCCCTCTTCTGGCCTGCAGGGACACATGCTGTATACGTAATAAATAAATCTTTTTTTTTTTTTGGTTTTTGGAGACAGGGTTTCTCTGTGTAGCTTTGCGCCTTTCCTGGAACTCACTTGGCAGTCCAGGCTGGCCTCGAACTCACAGAGATCCGCCTGTCTCTGCCTCCCAAGTGCTGGGATTAAAGGCATGAGCCACCACCGCCCGGCATAAATAAATCTTTAAAAAAAAAAGAGTTAGATCAGCTCAGGATATACAAGATCTTGTCTAAAAAAATAACATTATTCTACTGAAAGGATCTTCCTAGCTGGGCGTGGAGGCACACACCTTTAATCCCAGCACTCTAGAGGCAGAGGCAAGGTGGATCCTAGTTCAAAGCCTTCCTAGTCAACATAGTGAGTTTCAGGACAGCCATAAGAGACTTTGCCTCAAAAAAAAAAAAAAAAAAAAAAAAAAAAAAGGAAAAAATAATACTATTTGGGGTGTGTGTGTGTAGACACACAAGACAAAGGTCTCATGTAGCCCAGACTGGCCTGTAACCTGCTATTTAGCTGCAGACATCCTTGGCCTCTAATCTTCCGGCCTTCCCTTGAGTGCAGAGGTCCCAGGGTGTGCCATGTTCTGCTTAGTTTCCTAATTCTTTGTGTGGATCACCCCAAGAGATTCTCACACATCTGGAAGTCACTTCAGGAGTCTCCTGTCAGATGGTAATGGAAGAACAAGGAGGGTCACACAGCTGGTGGAGGTGGAGGCTGGGAAGGGAGGCCTCCGGAGAGCGCCACCTCCTCTTGCTTCCCAAGTCCTTCACGCCCTGCCCCTGTGCTCCTGGCTGTGTAATGGGAACGCCGCGTTAGTGAAGTTAGGCAAGAGGTGCCAGGGACCACACCCGGCTTCAGTGCCCAAGAGGCCTGGGACACCACCACCCCTTTAGGCTTTTCTGCAGGCTGTACCTGGCTCTCCCCAGTACTGAACAGTTGCCACAGAGAAGTAACCAGAGGGAAAGTCCCCACATTCAACTCTAGGATTTGTTTTGTTTTTTGAGACAGAGTTTGTCTGTGTAGCCCTGGCTGTCTTAGAACTCACTCTGTAGACCAGGCTGGCCTCGAACTCACAGAGATCCGTCTGCCTCTGCCTCCTGAGTGCTGGGATTAAAGGCCTGTGCCAACACTTCCTGGCTAGAGATTGGGGCCATCTTAAAGATGCTGGAGACAGCTGCATGAGAGAAGATGTTTTGCCCAGGAGCTAAAGTTTGATCTGGGAATAATGGGGACCTGAGGTACAAGGGTTCAAGTTGATGTTCAGGTTAATTCCTGGGCAACTAAATAGCAGGACGCAAGACCAGGGCTGTGATGCAGTGGGAGGTGTCTTTAGCTTGAGGCTGGCTAGTTGGGCTGGGATGTGTAGCACTCAGGCAGGGAGTCGAGTGACTAGAGGCACACCAGAGTCAGGCTGGCCCTTTGTTAACTGCACAAGGCTCTAAACTCCAGGTCTTGCCTCTTCTGGATACTGTGACGTTCAGCTTCTAATTCCAGCACTGAGGAGCTGAGGTATGTGGACTGCTGAGAGGCTAGCCTAGATTTCAGGGCAAGAGTCTGTCTCAACACACTGAACAAATCCCAGAGCAGCAGTAATAAACATAACTGATTGCTCCCAAATCACCCTGGAGCTCAACTCCCACACCTCTGCTTACCTGGCCTTCAGTTCAGGGGCAACCATGGGGTCACTCCCCAGCTCTTGCCTTCACACTGCACCTTCCACACCCGCCTGGATGAGACTACTTCGGGTGCAACCACACACTTGTGACTACTTCAGTGGTTGCCTCTTGGTCTGCTCCATGTGTCCGAGGAGCCTCCCTTGCCTCTAAGCTGGACCATGTCGTCAGAACCCTCAATGCCTGGTCTCAGCCACGGACCCTCCAACCTACGTCCTACCCATGCTCACTCTCCTCCACTGACCAACCCCCCACCCCAACCTTGGCACAGTGCTTCATGGGTAAATAACATTTTGTCATCATAGGCCTCTGAACTCAGCTGAGTCCGGGACTCACTCAGTTCAAAAAAATTTTCCCCCACTTTGAGAGTCTTACTATGTAACCCAGGCTAGCCTCAAACTCAGAAATCCACACGCCTTTTGGACCTGATCTAGTATTACAAGGGATTTTACTCCCAGTGTTAACAGACCTCAAGGAAACAAATAGACACAAATGAAAACTGACTGGAGTCCAAAGCTCAACTGGAATGCAATGTGGCCCTTGGAGATGCTACAATGAGCCATCTCAGTCACCTGGGCTAGGTGTTTCTTCTCAAAGTAGGAAAGGCAGGGTAGAGACAGGATGTATTGAGACCTCTGGACCATATTCAAGTCCCTATAGGACCAAAATGGGAACAAAGCCCAGGAGGCCAGTCCCACAGAGGATCCCAAGTAGCACCTAGCGCACCGTTATGCACACACCTTTAGATGGCTCATTACATACCATGACCCCATTTCATCAGGGGTCAGCAACTGGCATGGCGTGTGTACACACACATACCCCCAAGGACCTAAGTCTGAGCCCTTGGAACCCCTTAAATGTCACACCTAAGTCACTGCAGCAGTGGGTCTAGAACCTGGCCTGCTACTGTGAATTCCCACTCAGAAAGGAGAGGAGGGAAATTTCTGCTACTTTTCAGAGAAGACAGGCCCAGCTGCCAAAGCCTCAGAACTGACTAGAAGCCAGGCGGACTCGGGGACAGACAAGAATGCTCCCTTGAAGTAACAACCTTCTGGAGGCTGCCAGGCCCAGACTTCAGAAAAAGCTATTTAATGAAAACACGTTGCAGCTTGATGGTTGGATAAATTATGAAATTTATTTATATTTCACCTTTTAAAAGCCAGAACATAACTACGCTTTCTGGAAAGTAACTGTATTAGAAATAGTGAACGTGAGGCAGGACAAGAGGCTCCTGCTGCACTGTCACACAGCTATGCCCGTGTCAGACTTCCCTCCAGGTGTCTCCTGAGCAAACCTTTCCAGAGGGTATAGTGAAGTGGTAATTATCTGGGCCCTCCTAAACAGTAACACTGGGAAAGTGATCCTACCCGACTCTGCTGGTTAGGAGGATCTGAATTAGCTTTTCCCTGGCAGGCAGAGGCCACAGTGATGTATGGCATCAAAAGCACACTACTGCATGCAGTCTCAGCTGGACCAGAGCCACACGACAGGAAAGACAACAGACCCCCAAGCCCTACATCTGTCCTGCTGGTGTCCACTGAACTATAAAAAATGTGCTGGACTTCGAGCTTTTAGAGCTGCTGCTCAAGAGAGTCTCCAGCAGACCGCCTTTCTCAACTTCGGCAGGGGGCCTAACTTTCTTAACTTCCCAACAGGGGCTTTGAAGAGACAAGTGAGTATGACCCTGGCTTTGCCTCAGCCTTTGCACTGAGAGGCAGGGTTTTAAAACACATACTTAAGCCAGGAGGCCCGTATGACAGCAATGCTCAGCTTCATCAAGTCACCAAGCAGCACATACAGCAGTCAGTGCCCTCCCTCCCTCCTTCCATCACACAGGACTCTTTCTTCAGAGCAAGAATATCAGCAGATACCCAGCAGAGGGGACATGACCCAGCCATCTGGGAACACTCATCAGTGTGAAAGAGAACCAAAAGCCACACCTCTCCACTTACAGATGAATGCAGCCCAGCTTTGCTACCCAACACTTGCACTACATCTCTATGGTGACACCTTATTCTAAAAAGGCACTGTCAGGCATTTAAGACAGAAGCCGTCAGTTCTATGGATGTGTAGGAGGTGTAGGGAAACAGCAGTAACCAAAATCTCCAGCATCAGTCTATGAAACCCCAAGGTCACCTAGGAGGAAAAGAAGAGTGCAGTCCTGGTCTGGTACACAGCAGAGCCAAAGGACCTCAGGGCCAAGGAAAGGAGTCCCAGTTTTATTGTGCTATTCATGGCCCAGGGAAGGGCCTGGCTGGCTGGGAGGACCTAAGAGACAAACACTGGACAGCAGGATGACTGTGAAACAAGAACATGTGGGAACAGAAGCTGGACTCTTCTTAAAGGAGGCAGTAGCTGAGGTGTGGTGACAGCAGACCACGGACAAACAAGGTTACCAGCGGGGAAGACGACGTTAGCAAAAGCCCAAAGGAAACAGGGCTCTGCTTAGGGTCCTGTCACCCTGGGAGAAGTGACCCTGTCTGGTGCCATGGCTCATTTCCAGATCTGCATTACATGTGCGGTGCAGGAGTCAAGGGCTCACACCTAATGGTAATGGAAGCTCCAGAATGAGGTGGACAGCGAGGCCCCTGCTCACTGGTCAATGATGGAGCGCTGCAGCACCTGGTTCATCATGTCATCTTCATCCACTTCATAATCCTGACGGCAGAAGACAGCAGCCTAAGTAACTGTTCACACCCAGAAGAGCCACCTTCAGCAGGAGTCTAGCAAGAGGGTCTGGAGATTGCTGCTAAGGACCCCAGGCCACTGTTTAGATGCTGTGGAACTGGGAAAATTACTTCATCTCTCAGTGTCTCTGCTGTCTCATCATTAAATAAAAATTAACAGCTTGGAGCTGGAGAGACGGCTCAGTAGTTAAGAGCACAGACTGCTTTTCCAGAGGACCCATCACCCATGGTGGATCACAACCAACGTTAACTCAAGTCCCAGAGAACCGGACATCTGGCCTCTGCAGCTCTGCACACATGTGGTGTACAAACATATATTCATGCAAACATTCATAAAATAAAATCTAAAAAATAAAAAATTCCTGGGGCTGCAGAGATGACTCAGCTGATAAACTGTTGTGTCAAGTACAAGAACCCAAGTTCTACCAGGGTATCTTAAGCCCCACTCTGGTACCCACCCACCCACCCATGAAGAGACATTGTGCAGCTTCTCTCTGGGACTGAAAGCTCTTCAACCCCAAATAGTGCCAGCTGCACCCCCTCCAGAAAATTGGGCAGCAGTGCTGTCCCCTGGGACGGGTACATACTCACCACAAAAGTGTCATAGGAAAAGCGGTGGCGGCGCTGGATATGCTCCATGAAGTTGGCGCTGCGGTAGCTGGGGTCTCCCCAGGGCATCGAGGCACATATGGGACAAACCTGTCAGGAGGAAGCCAGGTGCTGTGACCTGATGCCTGAGCTAAACCTAGCCCTCTGTGACCTCTGCTCAGCCCCTTTTCTGCTAGGACAGCTTTACTGACAAGCCCAGGTACAAGGCCTGGTCACTCTGCCCCATAAACATGAAGCAACCCAGAAAACATTGTCTATCAATTCAAATGACATGTGGGAATGGCGACAGGCTTGTAAAATGATGGATGACCGATTCCCAACAAAGTGAAATTCAGCTTTACACCAATGATAACAAAGTAAAGGCCCAAATGACAGGGATAAGGCCTGTGCACGCAAAAATCTCAGCAGGCACAGAGCACTTACATGCTGTAGTCTCAGCACCGAGGAGGCAGAGGAAGGAGGATCAGGGAGTGATTGGGGGCAACGGCAGAGCATGCTGCCCTGGCTCAGATGAGAGTGAAGCAGCACCGAGACACTGCATGTAGCGCAGCTCCTGACCCTCCCCTTGATTCCCTGCTCTGTTCACTGAACTCGGCAGGCAGCAGCCTTCCTCACCTGCAGACCATCCCACATTTTCTCCTTAGTCCAGGAGGCAAACTCGGCTTCCTTAAACTCAAAAAGCTCAAGTTTGCCTCCTTGAATCCAAGCCACCAACTCCATTTCAGCTCTCCAAGTTCACACAGCCCTGCCTTAACTAGGCTGTGGCCACCCTACTTCCAGGCCTTTCAGAGGTCACCTTTTACTTTGGAACCTGGAAGACGCCCCTCAGCTGGAGCTGACCTCTCCCTGAGCTGACTGCAGACCCCTGGTAGGTGTTTGGATGGTCTAGCTAGAGAAGGAGGCGGCACCTGCTGTCACTTCCTTCTGACTGCCCATGAACAAGAAAGAGCACCCAAGCTTGAAAAGGGCTGGGGGCTTAGATCATCTCTACCAGTTCTGACAGCACCACACTTACCTTGACAGCTTCTGAGCTGGTGACAAGGCTTAATAAAGAGCACTTGCATCCCAGCACTTGGGAGGCAGAGCCAGGCGGATCTCTGTGAGTTCAAGGCCAGCCTGGTCTCCAAAGCGAGTTCCAGGAAAGGCGCAAAGCTACACAGAGAAACCCTGTCTCGAAAAACCAAAAAAAAAAAAAAAAAAAAAAAAAGAGCACTTGCCTATAATAGGTCAGGCCCAGGGTTTAACCACCAGCACAATAAGGAAATAACAAAATATCCAGAGCTGAGCATGGTGGCTCAGGCCTGCAATCCTGGATCAGAAATTCAAAATTAGCCCTGGCTACCTGATGAGTTTGAGGCCAACATAACCTATGTGAGACTCTTTGTTGTTGTTTAAGTGATTTTTAATAAAATGTTAAGATATATGCTGAAGAACTTAAGAGGGGAAAAGGTCATAGTATCTTTAACTTCTTCCTAAATGGCTCATCAAAACCATACATATATACAACACAGGTAAGCAAATTTTGGCAAAATGCTGTGAGGTGAAGGGTAAGACTTCAATGTATTGTCTGATAATTTTCTGTATGTCTGACTTTTTACTTAGTCAAAGAAAAGATAATTCTTACCACAGACTTGGTATCCGTGCTGTGTGATAATTTGCAGTGCTCCACAAGTCCTTCCTGATCAAAGTTCTTCTCAGGACAGTAAGGACAAGGAAAGGTGTACCGGTTTGGGACATTTCTGGGAGGTGAGATACAGAAGAGCACCCTGAGAAGCATTCCACACCATCTCAACCACTGCACGTTCCAAAGAACCCAAACCATCATGCGTTAGAATTGAGGGTTTTTTTTTCCCCAAGACAGGGTTTCTCTGTGTAGTTTTGGTGCCTGTCCTGGATCTCGCTCTGTAGACCAGGCTGGCCTTGAACTCACAGAGATCCACCTGGCTCTGCCTCCTGAGTGCTGGGATTAAAGGCGTCCGCCACCACTGCTGCCCGGCTAGAATTGAGTGTTTGATATCATCATAGCACAGCTAACACAGGAACACATGAGGACATCCTCCACCCCAGAAGCTCTCAACCTCAGCCAGCATCAGTGATCACATCTCTCCAATTTCCCAAATCCACACACCTAAAACCTCCAACAACACAAGCAGTCACATCTTTCTGGGGAGAGGTCATTACCTTGGCTGAAGGGATGCATCCTTGGTGGTGGCCTTCACACCTTCCATGATGTAATTCTGGTATTTGGAACATGAAGCCACGTGAGCTCTGATCTTAGACAGGACGTACTTGAATAGAAAGAGTGGGACCAAGAGTTAGTGAGGAGCTATTAAGAGGTGATCCCAAACCAGGGGCAGAACTAGACCACACACTGGGTTAACAATCACAGAACTCCTGACTGCAGTGGGCAGAAACCAGGCTGCTGCAGTTTTTCACGACGCCAGGACGACTGTTTCACTTCCCTACATCTGCTTCCACTGTGAGATCACTCTCGCCATCTGCTCTCTGCTTACCGACATTTTCCAAATCCAGGGATGTTTTAAAAAGTAGTCCACACTCTTACTATTTATTTTGTGCATGTGTGCGTGATCTGTGTGGAGGCCACACAAGGTGCTGGTCCCCACTTTTCTACCCTGACTGAGACAAGGACTTTCACTACTATTTAAGCCAGGCTGGGTGTCCCTCAAGCTTCTGCTCATTCTCCTGTGGAATTAGAGAGATTGCATCTCTCTGAACTCAGGTCTCAGGTGTCATGATTAGGCAGCAAGCACTATTACCTACAAAGTCACCTCACTGGCCGTACACTCACATCTGAATTTGTCTTTTACCCAGGCATGTGGTGGCACACATCAGTGATCTCAAGGATCCTGGGAGGGTAAGGCAGAAAGACTAGCTTAACCCACACAGAGACTGAATAGTATTTTGGTCTGCCTCCAGCTGTATTTTTGTTGTTTTGCAACAGGGTCTTATATTTATTACCCAAGTTGGCCTGAAGAAATCCTCTTGTCTTAGTCTCCCCAGGAGAGAATAAAGACACACACTAACACACTTGTTTGAGATCTCTTAAAGAATTATACAGAATGAAGAAAGGAGGAGATAGATATTTGATGGGCACATCTACCATTAAAACCATCAATTTTTATTTTGTTTTATGACAGGGTCCACATAGCCCAGGCAGGCCTTGAACTTTCGATCCTCCTGCCTCCACCTTCCCAGTGCTGGTACACTGGTACAATAACACACCACTTTACTAACCTTGCAAATGGAGAAAATTAAAGCACACGGGGAGAATAGTGTGCATGAAAAAAGACAAAGATTGAGGCTAGCGTGTTGAGATTCAAAATGAAGAAACTACGAAGAGACAAGGTTCCAATCCCAGAGCTGCAGGCACCAGCCAGAGCACACTGACTCAGCTGCCAACCTAGGAGCTAGAGCCAGCTCAGAGCACTTGGACTCAGCTGTCCACTGAGGCACCTGAAAATAAATGTGGGAACAGGCCTGTATAGACTGGAAAAGTCTCACTGTGCTCCCAAAACTAAACCCCTCTGAAAAGATGGAGGGAAAAGATATACCCATTCTATGGCCACCTACACTATGATGCTCAATGTTCAGAATTCAAGGTTATTCCCAGACATGCTGAGTCTGAGACCAGCTGGAGAGATGGCTCAGTGGTTAAGGGGCACTGACAGCTCTTCCAGAGGACCCAGGTTCAATTCCCAGCACCCACTTGGCAGTTCACAACTGTCTGTGGCTCCAGTTTCAGGGGATTTGCAGACATATATGTATACATACACATAAAAGTAAATAAATCTTGGCCGGGCGGTGGTGGCGCATGCCTTTAATCCTGGGAGACAGAGGCAGGCCAATCTCTGTGAGTTCGAAGCCAGCCTGGGCTACAGAGCGAGTTCCAGAACAGGCTCCAAAGTTACACAGAGAAACTCTGTCTTGAAAAAGCAAAAAAAAAAAAAAGGTAAATAAATCTTAAAAAAAAAAAAAAAAAAAGGAGGGGAAGATACTTGCTAGGAATGATCACTCACATTGGTAATCTCAGCACTTCAGAGGTGGAGGCAGAAGACCAGTTTAAGGCCAGCCTTGGCTACATGAGTCTTTGTTTTTTTTAAAAAAACAAGCAAATAATCTGATCGTGGTGGTGTAAACATTTAATCCCAGTGCTCAGGAGGCAAAGGCTCTCTATGAGTCCCAGGCTAGCCTCATCTACATATAGAGTTCCAGGACAATCAGGACTACACAGAGTAATCTTGTCTCCAAAACAAACAAAACAAAACAAAAAACCACCAAAACAAAACCCCCAATAAACCAAACAAGCCAACCAGGGATAGCATTGAGACTGTCCAAGTAAACAAAAGAGACAATGAGACTCAGCTGGTTGTGGTGACTCATGCCTATTAATTTTAATTTTGCAGCACTTGAGAGGCAGAGGCAGGTGAAACTCTTGAGTTCAAGTTCTGCCTGATCTACCTACATAGCAAGTTCTGAGCTAGCTGGGGTTACATGGTGGACCTTGTCTAAAAACAACAAAAACAGAAAACTACGAACAACAAGATGACATACAAAGTTATCTAGTAACTTTGTAAAACAAAAATTTCAAATATAAAAAGATGAAAGACTGTAAGAAGCAGCAGGGTGTACCTCACTGTGTGTTTGTACACATTTACACTGATGTTCGCCTAAAGAAAGGTACAAAGTGCTGAGCACCTTTTTAAATGTAAAGCTATACTCCGACCTGAGTGCCAGGATCACCAGTGTGCAATACCACACAGCAAACAGACCCACCTTTCAAGAGGGTCTGTGGAGGAACAAACAGTGGTGTTTTATTTATTATTTTTACTGTTGAGAATAAAAAATTATAATGATTTAAGAACCAATAAAGTACTAGCTATCTGTGCTTCAGCAGCAGTTACACAGTGATGCAGCCCTGTATAACTGCACAGCACGGCCACATCCCACTGGTAGGTAGACATTGCTAGTGTCTCTCCATCTCACCCGACTCAGGAGTCTTTTTTTGAGACAGTGTTTCTCTGTGTAGTTTTGGTGCCTGTCCTGGATCTCGATCTGTAGACCAGGCTGGCCTCGAACTCACAGAGATCCGCCAAAGGCGTGCGCCGCCACCACCACCGCCCGTCACCCCAGATGTTTTGAGCCACTAACTTTTTTTGTGTGTGTGTGTGTATTTTTTTTTTTTAAATAATGAAATACCCTTAATATTCTAATGAAAACAGAAAGCACACGAGAGTTAACACTTTCTACAGTAGGTCTTAGTAACCCAGGCTGTTGGGGACTCCTTGCCTTGCTACCTTTGTCCCCAAGTGCTTAGAGGTGGGCACCATTCCCCAGCTCAAGATGGGTCTTTTACGGAGGTGTGGCTTATTCCTATGGATTTCAAAGGTAAAATGTATAAGTCACTAAACCAACTCATGAAAACAAAACAAAACCAAAAAACCAGCAAAGTCGTGGAAAAAAAAACAACCCAGCAGCACAGCCACCACCACAAACAGCAGGCATGCACTTGTGCTGTTAGTCACTACTCAGGCTCTAACTTCAGACACTTGCAGTTTTACCATCTCATCACCGAAAGACAAGGACTCTCCACGTTATGTCCACATACATTCTTACGGCAGCCATGGCAAGAAGTCTCTGTGCTCTCGATCTGTCGCTCGAGCTCCACAGCTCGGACGCCAGGTGCCAGAGCGCTGCGACACACCCCACAGACAGGTTTCTTCGGCTTCAGACATTCCTGCAGGCATGCAGAGCAAAAGCTAGAACAAGACATACAGAGAACCTGTCATGCAAAGAGACAAGACAACAAAAGTGGATCAACTCTTTAAAAGACACCAATGAATAATGGATTTGAACAGCCTATTTCCTACTCTTACTCAAAAACAATGCTAAGCCCTTTCAGGGCAGAAAACAACTGTAGCTGGGGTTGGGGACACTGTGGAGAACACACGCGCACACACACTACACTAGGTGGAGAAAGGCATTATGCTTGAGCCTTCAAAGCTTAGTTCCTGTCATTAGGGATCTTGGTGGGGTCTCCTGACCCCATTTTCTTGTGTGTGAAGATGTTATACCCACCTGGAGGACTGCTGGAGAATGACCTATGTATAGCAAACACATAACTCCGGTGTCTAGCACGTGTGAAACAGTAAGTGGAACTGCTACTCTCAGAGGTGAAAGCAAAGCATGGGCACATACAAACCCAGTGGAGCTGGTATAACCCAAGAACGGGACTCAGCAGACCTCAGAGGCAGCCTCTGGATCAGCCTTAAAAGACCGCAACTGACAGACAAGGGGAAGAATACTCTATGACCTCAAGTTAATTTTTTCAGTCTATGCATGATGGGGGAAAAAAGAAAAAGAAAAAAATTTTTTTGCCAGTCTCAACACTTGGGAGGCAGAGGCAGGAGGCTCTTTTTGAGTTCGAGGCCAGCCTGGTTTACACAACAAGTTCCAGGACAGCCAGAGCTACATAGAGGACCGTCTCAAAAAAACAAAGCAAATAAATACCAACCCCAAATTCAAAAGTGTCAAGGGAACATTGCAAATTAAACAGTGAAGAGACAAGACGGGGGGAGGTAGGGGAGGTGCGCTAAAATTCTCTATGTACTCAGAGAAATCAAATTCTAAAAAGTGTTTCTTGACAGGAGGTGATAAGCACACACCTTCAATCCCAGCACTTTGAAGGCAAAAGTTTTTTCTCAAAAGCAGGCCAAAGGTTTAAAGTAAGACACTATCATCAAATCTGAGTTTCAGGAAATGGATTCTGGTGCACTGCAGACAACAGCACAGTTGTGGTTTTTTGTTTGTTTGTTTGTTTTCCGAGACAGAGTTTCTCTGTGTAGCTTTGGAGCCTGTCCTGGATCTTGATCTGTAGACCAGGCTGGCATGGAACTCACAGAGATCCGCCTGGCTCTGCCTCCTGAGTGCTGGGATTAAAGGCGTGCACCACTGCCCAGCAACAGCGGTTTTTAATGAGGAGGAGGAGGAGGAGGGGGACAGTGCAAACCTAACAGTGACTCATGGCAAGCACTGCGGATGCTCTGGAGGCCACAGATGCACACACACTGTGATCCAGAGGCAGAGGCAGCACCTGCTGGCTCACTCAATTGGAAGATAAAGATGAAGAGCAGGTGGTGATCCTGAGGAGAAGCACATGGAAGAATGGCTACGAAGGCACAGGGATCACACTACTCACCCACTCTGACAGATTTTTACAGATTTTACATTAGCAAAATCTGATGGAAGAGCCCAGGGTATGTATTTAAAGCAGAGTTGACCCATTTCTTACTTTAAGAAATCTATCACTTGTTAGGCAAAATTCTAGTACAGGCTGGGAGTCCTGACAGTCATTTACCTGAGGGCAGAGTGGACACACAAGTCTCTTTGTCCTTATGATGATATCTACACGTGTGTGTGTGTGTGTATTTATATATATATATATATATATATATATATATATATATATATTTATTTTTGTTTTTGTTTTGAGACAGAATTTCTCTGTGTAACCTGGCTGTCCTGGAACTCACTTTGTAGACTAGGCTGGCCTCAAACTCAAAATCCACCTGTCTCTGCCTCCTGAAGCTGGGATTAACGGTGTGGACCACGATGCTTTATTTTTAAATTGAAGAAAACATAGTAACTTCACACAGTGATGGAGAATAAGGATAACACCACAGAGACCTGGGCAGGGTGAGCAAAGGAAGCACCTCTGAGGAGGTGACACTGAACCAGAGGCCACAAAGACCTGGACGAAGAGAGTGCCTCAGAGATAACACCAAACACAAGGAATGTGTCAAGTGCAGACAAGAAGGCTTTTGGGACAGTGATGTGGCAGATCACATAGAGAAATGGCAAGGCAGGGCCTTTCCAAAATCCCATCCCAAGAGTACCTCAAGACAACAGAGGGAATCGACCCAGCATGCAGAAAAAAGCAATTTATTTTCTGGCCTATCAGATGCTCATCAGCCTCGATATGCCCGAGTTATGCCCTGACAAGGAAGCAGCTTCTAAGCTGCCTGTGCCTTGAGTTTTCAGTTTCTATTTCCTAGTAATGGGGATGTTTCTAGTTCAGCCTTCCTGCCTCTTCAGCATCTAGCTATCTGCACTCCAGCAGACCAGAGAGGGTGTAGCCACTCAGGGTTTGACCTGAGTTTCATAAAAATCAAATGTCCCAACCACAGCTGTGGGACTCTTCAGCTCCAAAGGCAAACATTTAAAAATTAACTAGGTAGAGCAGAAAGCACTCAGAGAAGGCTAAGAGACTTCAGCTGCCCTCACCAAGGTGTGTCTGACTTCAGTCTGCATCAAACTGCTGAGTACTGGGCTGGTAATATTTGCTACGCCAGTGCTGCTCTTTGACCTCTGACCTAGGAAAAGGTCAAGGAAGCCTCAACTTTGGTTGTTTTTCAATCTGCTCAAGTTTGTTCGCAGTTAACACTCCCACAGCACTCTTGTAATGCTCTCCTACTGCATAGTGACCTACACCATAGCTTGATCATTCATTAGTACTTGTTTTAAAAAATGTTTTGCGTGTGTGCTTGAAAATGTGTATGCCGCCGAGGACAGCTTTCGGGAGTCAATTCTTCTGCCATGTGGCTCCCCAGGAGTGAATTGTCATCAGGTTTGGTCACAAGTGCCTTCACCTTCTGAGCCAAGGCAGTGGCCACTTACTATCAACTTCCTGGGCTGTAAACCCGAGGGCCAAATCATCTTCTCACTCTACCCCAAAGCCAGCACACAGAGGGCATGCAGACACTCCAGTTGACTGCGAGGGGTCTAGGGATGCCTACAGTGCTGAGCATTGGTTTACATTAAGGAGCAAAAGGACATGACACTCTGTTCTTGTGGTCCCTGCATGCTGCTGTGTAAGGAAAAAAGGAAAGCCACTACAGGAGCGGGGAGGGGGAGGGAGACAGACAGACACAGACAGACACACCATCTAAGGCAGGATGTGAAGCCCGAATAGCGGTGGCGAGGTGATGGGTCCAGGTCACCCATAACCTAAACTAGAGCTGGAAGGATCTCAGCGTCCCTGGAAGCAACAGCAAGCAGCTTCTGCTGCTGGGAAGGCCCTGTCCTGCCCTGCGCAGGCAGCGTTTCTGGATTAAACCGGGCCTGGCGACACAGCTGGGGACAGTCTGGCAGGTGAGGAGGCTGCCGCAAGGGAGCCTTTCGAGTTCAGTCACCTGGAGAAAGGCCGGCCGGCACAGGACGGCGGTGGGAGTGCCTGGGGGTCCCAAAGGGTGCTGGCGTGGCGGGGTCACCGAGGCCAGGTAACAATCTGAGCGGAGCCGGAGAAAACCCAGCAGGTGGTCGTGCCCCCGGCTCTTCGGCTTAGGGGTGTCTGGATGTCCGCCGTGCGGCCGGTCACAGCACCCAGGGGAGCCCAGGGCCGCCCTCGCTCAACCCTTGAGCCGGCTGAGACAGCCTGGACAGTGACATGGGGCGTCGGGCCACGGAAGTAACGAAAGCCCGAACGGAGCGCGCCTCGGTGAGCGCCCCGGCCCGGTCCGCGGTGAAGGCCGAGCCTCCCGGCACTTCCCTTTTGTCCCGAGCTAGCCCGCCGCCCGCCCGCCCGCTGTCAAGGCCTGCCGCCCGGACACCCGCCCGCCCGCCTGGCGGTCACGCGCACACCTCGGCCGCACGGCCCGCGGCGGCTGGGCCGCGACGCCCGGGCTCCCGGGGACCGACCGGCCGCCGTGCTCCCGCGTCAGCCGCCCCGGCCGCCCGCGCTCCGCGCCCCCTCCCGTCCGTCAGGCGCCCGCCACTTACACGTGTCCGCAGGGCACCTGCACCGGCTTCTCGAACACTTCCAGGCACACGGGACACGTGAAGCGGCCGAGGGGGTCGGTGTCTGACGCGGGCCTCGTCACCTGCGCGGCCGCATCGCGAGCTTCCTGCTGCGCCGCCGCCATCTTGCCGCGGAGGAGCGCCGCGCGGCGAGAGAAAGAGCCGCTGAGGGGGGCGGGACCGCCGGCGTTTGCGCACGCGCGAGGGGCGGGGGCGGGGAGATGGGCGGAGCCTACGACCACAGGCCCTTGAAAGCCACCGCCCACCGAGGCATGTTGGTGGCGGCCTGGAGAGGGTAGGCTCTCACCAGGAGGTGACCCGGCCACTCCGTGCCCACAGGAACTACACCATGAGTGTGTCTTGTTATTAAAGTTGACCTTAGCCAACTCACCAACTTGCCCAGGCGAGCTTTGAACTTTCCAACCTCCTGCCTCTGCCTACCAAGGTGTTGGAGTTACAGACTGCACCACCAGACGTAGCTAGATGATTTTACCAGATTTCTCAAGATTTTTTTTTCCTGACTGAAAACAAGGTGGTGGGATTTCCTCTAAGGGGGTACATGTGTATCTCACTTACTCACCTGGCCTATAGGTGGACACCACTGCCCTTAAATCTTTCTAGTTCTCTAAGGATAGTGCCCTTCCTCTATGGCTTGTACATCCTGGAAAATAAAATAAAATAGTCAGAGGCTTGGACTGCAAGGAGGTACAGCAGGAAGACCGGACTGTGAAGGACCAGCCAGGGTTTCTGGTGCCAAGGGCTCTGGCAGGTGTTGGGTGCTGGCAATGACCGATTTCCAGTGTCAACAAGGGTTGACTACCCAGAAAGAACTGTCTAGGGCCAGGTGTGACAGTGCACACTCAGAATCCCACCACTGTGTGTGCCAGGTGTGACAGTGCACACCCAGAATCCCAGCACTGTGTGTGCCAGGTGTGACAGTGCACACCCAGAATCCCCAGCACTGTGTACACCAGGTGTGGTAGTGCATACCCAGGATCCCCAGCACTGTGTACACCAGGTGCGGCAGTGCACACTCAGAATCCCCAGCACTGTGTGTGCCAGGTGTGACAGTGCACACCCAGAATCCCCAGCACTGTGTACACCAGGTGTGGCAGTGCACACTCAGAATCCCAGCACTGTGTGTGCCAGGTGTGACAGTGCACACCCAGGATCCCCAGCACTGTGTACACCAGGTGTGACAGTGCATACTCAGAATCCCAGCACTGTGTACACCAGGTGTGACAGTGCACACTCAGAATCCCAGCACTGTGTACACCAGGTGTGGCAGTGCACACTCAGAATCCCAGCACTGTGTGTGCCAGGTGTGACAGTGCACACCCAGAATCCCCAGCACTGTGTACACCAGGTGTGGCAGTGCACACCCAGAATCCCCAGCACTGTGTGCCAGGTGTGACAGTGCACACTCAGAATCCCCAGCACTGTGTGTGCCAGGTGTGGCAGTGCACACCCAGAATCCCCAGCACTGTGTGCCAGGTGTGACAGTGCACACCCAGAATCCCCAGCACTGTGTACACCAGGTGTGGCAGTGCACACCCAGAATCCCCAGCACTGTGTACACCAGGTGTGACAGTGCACACTCAGAATCCCCAGCACTGTGTGTGCCAGGTGTGGCAGTGCACACCCAGGATCCCCAGCACTTGAGAGGTGGAGGCAGGAGGACCAGAAGTTCAAGGTCATCCTGGACTTTGTTTTCAGCCAGCCTAGGATATGATGGTACTCACCTGTCAATCTCAGAATTCTCTGGGAGGCTGAGGCAGGAGGAGCTTTAGGATGTAGGCAGCCTGGATTGCTCAGAGATACCCATCTCAAAAACCAAATCAGCAAACAAAAAAGGTGCTTCTGGAAAGTCGTACTTCAGTGTGAGGCTGTAGTTCAGCATGCATGAAGCTCTGCGTTTGAGTCCCAGCACTTCAGTGTGAGGCTGTAGTTCAGCATGCATGAAGCTCTGCGTTTGAGTCCCAGCACTTCAGTGTGAGGCTGTAGTTCAGCATGCATGAAGCTCTGCGTTTGAGTCCCAGCACTTCAGTGTGAGGCTGTAGTTCAGCATGCATGAAGCTCTGCGTTTGAGTCCCAGCACTTCAGTGTGAGGCTGTAGTTCAGCATGCATGAAGCTCTGCGTTTGAGTCCCAGCACTTCAGTGTGAGGCTGTAGTTCAGCATGCATGAAGCTCTGGGTTTGAGTCCCAGCACTTCAGTGTGAGGCTGTAGTTCAGCATGCATGAAGCTCTGCGTTTGAGTCCCAGCACTTCAGTGTGAGGCTGTAGTTCAGCATGCATGAAGCTCTGCGTTTGAGTCCCAGCTTTGGAAAAAAAGGTACCTGGCTCCTGAAGGATGCTTACTCTCTACTTGACATCACATGCTAGATCTCTGGTCTTGGAGGCATTCTTGGGGATACAGTTAATCCCACTTTATGGACAGGGAAATGGAGGCCCAGAGTGGCTACATAGCTTGTCCAAAATCACACAGTTGAAAAGTGGCTGAGTGGAGAGACCTGAATTCAGGCCTTTGGGCCCCAGAGCCTACTGTACTTGTTTTGTGCCCACCTGATTTCCTTCCCCCCACCCTTTTTTTCTTTCTTTTTAAAGATTTATTTTTTGCTGGGCGGCAGTGGTGCATGCCTTTAATCCCAGCACTCGGGAGGCAGAGCCAGGTTGATCTCTGTGAGTTTGAGGCCAGCCTGGTCTACAGAGCAAGATTCAGGACAGGCACCAAAACTACACAGAGAAACTCTGTCTCGAAAAACCAAAACAACAAAAAAAAAGATTTATTTTTTATTCATATATGTGTATTTATGCACCTGTGTGTGCAGTTGCCTCCATAGACCCAAAGAGGATGTTGTATCATCTGGAGCTGGAGTTACTGTCCGTTTTGAGGCACCCCATGTGGGTGCAGGGATCTGAACTCTGGTCCTCAGCAACAAATGCTCCTGACTGCTGAATCATCTCTCCAGCCCCCTACTTCCCCTTTCTTTCTGCCAAGGGACGATACTGATATGTAACAAGGACATTGAGTGTGGCTTTTCTTTGTATGCTTCAAAGGGCAAAGGTGCTTGCATTCTGCAAACAGCTCTTTGAAGCCTGGTGCTTTAAGGGCTGTACAGTACAAAGCAGAAGCTGTGACCTCCAGGGACTGTTTTCAGAGCAATTAAACAGCACCCAGCTGAGCTCAAGACCCAGCCCTGTGAGCTATAATCTCCTCGGAGGTGGCTTTGGAAGGGTGGGTCCCCAGTAATGATAGCTCTTAGCCAGTTACCTTTGGACTTGTGGGTGGCATGAGGGCTTTGAAGCACTGGCAGTGAGGTTTATATTTAGCGAGAAAAGGGGAAGCAAGTGTTGTGAAGGAGCCAGAGAACACATGTGCCTGCTTTGGGCAAGAGCCTCCGCCAAGTCAATGAGTGCTCAGTGCAGGCTGAGATGGCCTCCTCGGCCTCCAGCAATCCAGGTTGGAGGAGGACAGTAAGCCTCACAGGCTGACACACCTGCCGCAGACTCATTCCCTGGCAGGCTCAGGGGAAGGCCTTTCCTCCTGGCATCGCACCCACCGACCAAGATAACCTCGTGAGGGCCGGGAAAGTGGCTCACTTGGTGAAGTACTTGCCCGAATACATGGCCCAGCATGGCATAAACCAGGCAAGGTGGGCACTCCTCTAATTCCAGTTGTTGGGAGAGAAAGCAGGAGAGTCAGGAGTTCAAGGTCATCCCTGTCTGCATAGCAAGCTCTAGGCCAGCCTGGGATACATGACATCCTGTCTCCAAAAATGAAGACAAATCAAACCAGCAAGTTAACCTTGAGGAAGGGACTATGGATACAGGTTAGGAATCCTAGGTTTGGAGAGGTGATTCCACACGTGGTCTGACATGAAGCACATACTCACAATTACGAGACAGCCTACAGACGTGCAGTTAGAAAAAGACTCGACAATCTGGGCAGGGAGCTCAGCATTGGCTGCTCTTCCAGAGGACCTGAGTTGGGTTCCCAGCACCCACATCAGGCAGCACACAACCAACTGTAACTCCAGCCCCAAGGAACCTGACCTGACCCCTCTTCTGTCCTCTGTGGGCACCAGGCACAAATGTGGCACACACAACACATGCAGGCAAAACACCTCTACATATAAAACTAAAATAAATAAATCTATAAAACAATTTAGGGGCTAGAGAGATGACTCAGAAGAGAACTTATTAGTCTTGCAAAGGGTCCAGGTTCAATTTCCAGCACCCACATGTTGGCTTAAAACTGTTTATAACTCCAAAATTCCAAGGGATCCAATGCTCTCTTCTGACTTCCAGGGGCACCAAGCATGCACATGGTGCACACACATACATGCAGGAAAAACACGCAGAAAACAAAACGAATAAATTTAATTAAAATAAAAAAAATTAAATAAAAAACCCCAAATCTTTATAAAGGGCTTATCACCCAGAGGGAAGGTCCTTGAAAGATGTGTCAGGGATATTTCATTCAATCAAAAGAACAGTCAGATTTCAGGACCCACACCTATAATGGAAGCGGGCAGAGGCAGCAGAACTGCCTTGTGGTCAGGGACGGCATGCTGATACATAGTGCGTCCTCAGCCTTGGTGACAGTGTAAAGCTCTGAAGGAAAAAGAAGGATGTGAGCAGCAGTCAGCAGTGGGGTGGCTCTCAGTTCCTCTGCAGGGATGGGAATAGAAACAGATGGAGGGTTGGCAAGGTGGGTTAGGTGCTTGATGACCTCAGTTGGACCCCAGGGCCATGGTGGCAAGTGAGAACTGACTCCATGATGTTGTCCTCTGACCTCCTCCATACACACGTGCTGTGGTATGCGACACCCCCCCACCCACAAACACAATAACTAAATATAAAAACAAACCAAAATCAATCGTTAAGCTGGAAGGTGGTTGCACACACCTGTAATTCTCCCACCTAGGAAGTGGAGACAGAGTTCTAGACCAGCCTAGGCTACATAGCAGGTTTCAGGTGAGCAAGGGCTGTTACCAACCAAGCCCCAATAATGACAGCTGCTGCTGAGCATGGAGTCAAGTGCTTGTGTGGACTGCCTTGTGTCAGCTGCATCCTGCATCCAGTGGGTGCTGTTAGCATGTGGAAGCTGACAGTTGTGGAGCCTGAGGCAGAGAGGCTCCAGGCTCTCCTGTGCTCATCAGACACTGTGAGCTAGCTCTTTAGAAGATGCCATTCCTGCTATGTCTGGCTGAGTGTGTGCTCACATGCTTGCCCTCAGCTGAGTTTTCGTCTCCTGGTTCTTTCTTGCCTGACTGCTTTCTTCCTCCAGCTGAGAGGAAGGCCAGACCTGTACATAAGCTCAAAACCCACCCCAAACTATGGAATTTACTACTTGAGTACTGGAGGTTGAATCTGAGGCCTCTTGCTGTGAGGCAAGCACTTCACAACCCAAACCATGCTAGTTACTATTCCAAAGGACTCAGGTTTGCTTCCCAGCACTCACGTGGAGGTTCACAATGTCTGTATCTCTAGTTCTAGAGGATCTGAACGCCTTGACCTCTCTGGCCTCCATGGGCACCAGGCATGCACGTGGTGCACAGATAAACATGCAGGCAAAATACTCATGCACATAAAATCATTTAAAACAAATTGTTGTTTTTTGAGACAGGGTTTCTCTGTGTAGCCCTGGTTGTCCTGGAACTCACTCTGTAGACCAGGCTGGCCTCGAACTCACAGAGATCTGCCTGCCTCTGCCTCTGCCTCCCAAGTGCTGGGATTAAAGGCGTGCGCCACCACATGCTGCCTAGACTTATTTCTTATGTGCAACTGGCGTCAGATCCCCTGGAGCTGAAGTTACAGGTGACTGTGGGCTTTGTGATGCGGGTGCTGAGAACTGAGCCTTGGTTCTCTGGAAAGACAGCAAGGGTTCTTAACTGTTGAGTGCCTCCTCTGCCCCTCAACCAGACCACTTTTCACTGCTTAGGTCTCAAGTTGGTATTGAACTCACAGGCATTCTCCTGCCTCGGCCTCAGTGCTGAGACTGGAATGACTGGGGGAAAACAGGCATCTGGTCTATATTCCTGTCTCTGGTTGGCTGTGGATATTTACACAAACCTAAACTGTGTAAATCTGTGATCTGGCTGGTGCTTGTTTTGTTTGTGTCACACAGTGTGTGTTTCCTTGCACACTTTTTGAGGTATGTTTTGAGGCATCATGTAGGGTTCCATCATTCTCTGCAGGTACAGGTTGGTTAGGCAGATACTCCACTCACCTGCTGCTGTTTAGAATTTCCCCTTTGTCTGCCACTGTAACCACACAGCTTCCTGCACTCATGTTCCTCTCCTAGAGGCCAAGAAAGCCCACTGCTGGGTCACAGGGTAGCTCCTCTTTTGGTTTTTGTTCTGTGTGCTTCTGTATTGTTGGAATCCTGCTACTCTTGTGATTTACAGAAAAAAAAAATCATAAAAAATAGAAAGAGGTAGGTAGAGTGTTGACTCCTAAAAAGTGAGGGTGCCTGATGGTTGTCACGTGATCATTATGTAACCTGCTAATCATTATGTAATGAAGTCTGGATACCAAGCACAGAAGCCACAAGTCTTCATTTGTGTAAAGGATGAGAGATGTGCCTGTCTTGAGACCTTGGGTCTTTTCTGACAGGAAATGTCACATGTTTCCATCACCCGGGCTTCCCTCTTGGCTGTCACAGAACCACAGAGGTGGAAGGGACTTTCTTGAAGCCTCATGTGAAAATGCAAGCTTGTCACACTTGCTGAGAGGGCTTTTATTTTCTTTCCTTGTTTGGGGAATTAAGCCAAGGTCTCATGTAGCTCAGGTTGGCCTCAACTCACTATTAGGAAGGACGGCCTTGAACTCCTGATTCTCCTGTCTCAACTTCCTGAGTTCTGAGATTACAGGTATGCACCACCACACCTGGTTTGGAAACGTTTATTTTGATTTTTTAATCATGTGTATGTGTCTGCCTTGTGAGTGCAGGTGCCCTCAGAGGCAAAGCCAGAACCAAGTGTTGGATCCCTTGGAGTTGGAGAAGATTGTGAAGAGCCTGATGTGGGAGCTACAAATCGAACTTGGATCATCGGGAAAAGCAGCACACTATCTTAACCTGAACTTATTGTGGAATTAGATCAAGCTTTCGGGCAAACCCTACTGGCTTTATTTTGCTGGTGTCACCCTGGTTCTAAGAGTGACTCCTACAATCAAAGGACACCAGTTGGATGGCTCCTGATCAGACATGCACAGAACTCCTGGGGACTACAGATGGAAAGGAATGTGGGTCCTGGTGCAAACATCAGACTGAACACGTATGTGGCCTGCAGTGCTGAGCACTGAGATAATTACAAAAGAGTGTTGTGAGGAGTCAGAAGAGAAGGCTCTGGATCTTTTAGCTGGAGAAATCAGAAGATTCCAGAAAGAAAGCAAGACTGAGTTGGGGCTGGACACTAGCAAGCAACACAGGGAAAGTAAGAGGTGCTGGGAAGGACGTGCACAACCAGGCAGCAGGGTGTGGAGAGCCAGAGGGGTGAAAAGGCAGGGTATAGTGGTGCACGCCTTTGATCCCAGCACTCAGGAGGCAGAGGCAGGTGGATCTCTGTGAGTTCAAGGCCAGCCTGGGCTTCATACTGAGTTCCAGGACAGTCAGGCTACACATTGAGACTGCCTCAAAAAAACAAAAATTGCAGCCAATTGAAAATGATGATCCATGCCTTATATAAGGCATGGATCTGGTACTTGGCAAACTCTAAGGTTTCTGCAGCAAACCAAAGTCCATCTCTCTTTCAAGTTAAAAAAAATTATTTCGCCGGGCGGTGGTGGCGCACGCCTTTAATCCCAGCACTCGGGAGGCAGAGCCAGGCGGATCTCTGTGAGTTCGAGGCCAGCCTGGGCTACCAAGTGAGTCCCAGGAAAGGCGCAAAGCTACACAGAGAAACCCTGTCCCGAAAAACCAAAAAAAAAAAAAATAAAATAAAAAAAAATTATTTCGTGTGTATAATCATTTTTTTTTTTTGCCTGAACGTATAACTGTGCACCACATGTATGCAGTGCCCTCTCGGAGGCCAGAAGAGGGCGTCTAATTCCCTGAGACTGACAAGTGGTTCTTGGGAACTGAACCCAGGTCCTTGAGCAGACATCCCTTAAAGGTTGAGCCATCTCTCCAGCACAGCCCCCTGAAGTTCATGTCTCAGGGAGCTCCCAGTCACCGTGGCAAATAGGAGTTTAGAGAGACCTGTGAGAAGTCAAGTGGCAAGCTGTCAGGACACAAGTCAATGTAGACTGTGCAGGTCCTGAAGGACATAGGAGGATTGCTCTTGCCCCCCATGGTTTCCATGGTTACATAACTGAGGGAAGAAGCCAGCTTCACTCAGGAGACCGAGGCAGGCTGAGCTCCACAAGTTTGAGAGTAGCCTGGGCTACAAGTGTGGTCCAGGCCAGAATACATAATGAGCTCAGACTAGCCTGGGCTACCTGTCTCAAACAACTCCTTTAGGTCCTTAGTCTGTGCTCGATATGTTCTGAGCAATTTCTATGCAGTTCATTCTGACTACATCTCACTAGGCAGTCTGCTATTGCTATTATTGTTATTATTGCTTTTAAGCTTTTAAAAGGTATTATGATGAGGCTCAGAGAGGTTAAGAGCTTGTTCAAGGTCACACTGCTAGTAATCAGTTAAGTCAACACTGGGAGACTCCTCACTCTCCTTTTCCATTGTTGGGAACTGAACCTGGGGAGTACACACAGGTAGGCAAGGGTTCTAGGACTGAACTACAGCCCCAGCCTTTTATTATTTTCTTTTTTTGGCATGAGCTCTCTAAGTTATTCATGTTAGCCTTAAACTCACAGTCCTCCTGACTCAGCCTTTGGAATAGTTGGGATTACAGAACCGCGCCGTTAGGTCCAGTCTATGGGTTAATGGGAATAATGGATTCCCATTATTGTTATTACCACTTGAGACAGAGTTTCGCTATATAGTGATTTATTTTTAATTTACGTATGTGTTGCCTGCATCTATGTATGTGCACCACGTGCATGACTGGTACCCGTGGAGGTCAAAGAGGGCATCAGATCCCCTGGAACTGGTGTTATGGATGGTTGTGAGCCTCCATGTGGGTTCTGGGGATCAAACCCGGGTCCCTGAAAGCAATAAGTGCTTCTAAACGCTGAGCCTTCTCCTGAGTCCCCCACTCCCCCATCTCCGGATCCGCATCCCCAACCTCGGTCGCCAGTAGTACCACCCATGGCCCTCTCTCCAGTCTCGCCTGACCTCCGCCTATGCTTTGGCTCTCTACCCTCCGCGGTTTCGTCTGTGAAACAGGATCGCGGGGTTCGACGTCAGCCGGGGCTCTCAAGCACTGTCCTGACCAGGGGAAAGCCGGTCAGGTGGAAAAACCAATCTCCCCAGCTCTGGAACCCGTTTCCATGACAACGCGGCTAACCAGCGTCTGCGGGCGGGGCGCTGCACGTCACTTCCAGTCCATTTGCTTCCGGGTTCCGCTTGTGCCTCCTCCACTGTCCCTAAGGGGTGAGGTCGGGTTCCGCGGAGAAGCGCTAACCCCCCCATCTCCCCCTCCTTTCGTCTCCCGCCTCCTCCTCTTTGCTCTCCGTTCTTCGTGTTCACCTGCTGGCCACCGGCTTCCGCCGCTCCCTCGCAGACTCAGCGCGCAGCCGCGATCCAGTTTCTCGCAGGGCCCGCCTCCGTTGACGTCATTTCCGGGCCGAGTGCTTCCGGGCCGCCGCTAGCTCCGGTCCTAGTCTCGGTCCCCGGAGCCGGCGGGAGCGGCGGGGCCGTGCGGGGCCGTGCTCCGGCGGCGCTCGCTTCCCTCGCGGGCAGCGGCGGGTGAGTGCGGGGCAGGCGGGAGGGCAGGTCCCTGCGGGCGCAGTCGCTGGCCAGGCCCTCGGCTCCGTCCCCGCAGCCGCTATCTGCGGCCGGCCGCAGCACTGCTCCCGGGTGAGACTGCACACGCGCCCCCCCGCGGGGGCAGGCACCGCGCCGTGGCCCGCAGTCGGGAGGGGAGGCGGACCTGGCTTTGGACTCACCGAGTGACCTTGCCTGAGTCGCTCCGCCTCGGGAGCCTCGGTCTCCGGGTCTGTGAGGAGGAACACGGCGGCCTTCCGGGGCTGCGGTGGGCGTGGAATGAGAGGACGCAGGCGTTGCACGGTGCCGGGATACAGCAGGTGTCCATTGACAGGTCCTAGCACTTCACTGGTAGACGGAGGGGCGTTAGCGAGAGCTTGCCCAGCGTGTGCGATGCCCTGGGTTCTGCCCTCAGTTCCCAGCACCCCCGACCCTTCGCGCCTGCCTTTGAGACTGGGGCGTTTTCCCCACCTGTGGCGATCAGAGGCTGGCGGCTCACCCAGCAGGGAGTAGCCGCCGCAGGTTTACGTCCCCTGCAGAGAAGGGACATAGCTCCCTTCAGAACTCCCAAGAGAAGCCGCTGTGGGGAGGGCAACCGTGTTCCAGAATAGCCCAAGTTGTTTTCAGAGCTCTGGAAGGCCCCGGTGACAATGTTTCTGGAGGCTAGTAGAGGTGCGGAGTTCCTGTAGTGTTCTACGGTCAGCAGGAGATGCCGCCGATGGGTCTGGGAACCTCTTGCTTGCAGTGAGGTACATAGAGGTTGGGTAAAGAGGAGAGAGATGTAGTCGCATCTCTGATCCTATTTGGAGGCTGAAGCTGAACCAGGGGTGTGTAAACATGTAGATTGGAGAACTGGGACCCAAATAGCGTCTGCCAGTATAGGGAGAGAGTGCCTTTCAGTGCTGCCACGGGGCACATTCTGCTTGAATGGGCCAGCAGAGGTAAAGCGTTGGAACCGATGTTCCACTTCCCAGGTTATTTGGGTTCCATTCAGCTGAACTTTAAACGCGTTGGGTTTTCCCCGTTGGGTGTTTAAAGAATAATTGTTGGTAAAGCCCCCTGCCTGTGCACTAGCTTCCCCTTCTCTGACTTGCTTTACAAAGGGGTCTAGATTGTGGGTGCAGGAGATGCCACCCAGAGCCGATGGCACTAGGCATCCATCCTTCTGCTTCTGTGTTCCGGAGATTCACAGAGCTGTATTTTCCCCCTGCCAGCCTGGTATGGCTTGGCATTCCAGTCTTTGGGTTGCCTGGAGAAATTAACAGCTTCTGTCGCTGGGCTGGCTTGCTCTCTCCTGTAACCAGGCTGGATTTGCAGAGAACGTGTTTTTTGTTGTTGTTGTTGTTGTGTTTTCCAGAGTGTTGGGAATAAATTGCTGGCTCTGTGCTCAGAAAAGACACCAGTTAGGGCTAGCCACAAGGCAGCCTGTATTCTTAGGAAATGTATTCAGCAGGGATGATGTAACTGCCTCACTGCTGGCTGGTCTCTGGCCAGCCTCTCTCCTGGGCCCTTAAGCTTACATCATAAAGAGGCTGGTGGCTCTCCCAGCCCATTTGGTGTGGGAAGATGGCAGTTTTGCTACTATCAGACTGGGATTCCTGGCCGCAGGGCATTTGACTGATTGAACCTTTCAAGGAGCCCACCCCAGAAGATTTGTAAGATTTCAGATCCACTTCTTGGCTCAGTGACTTAGGACAAGTGAGTTGGCTCTCTGTGCTCAGTTTCCTCTTTAGTATTGGGGTTGTCCTGTGCATCTTACTGATTTTTTTTTTTTTTTTTTTTTTTTTTTTTTTTTTTTTTTGGTTTTTCGAGACAGGGTTTCTCTGTGTAGCTTTGCGCTTTTTTCTGGAACTCACTCTGTAGCCCAGGCTGGCCTCGAATTCACAATGATCCACCTGCCTCTGCCTCCCGAGTGCTGGGATTAAAGGCATGTGCCACCACCACCCAGCTCATCTTACTGATTTTTGAACAGCTGACACAGGGACCTGCATATCCTGACCCCTTTGTGATTGATACCGATTATAGCCAGAAATGGACGAGAGCCAGTCCTCAGGACCTGTTGGCCCTTTTGGCTCTGCTGGAGATGTTGAGTGCATCTTGACTTCCTCAATTGCTGTCAGGATGAAATGGGAGATGTGATGGAAATGGGGAGCCTGTCTTATCACTTGGAACATAGTAGGTCCCTGTTCATTGTTTGTCTCATCCTCTTACTCTGCTGTGCGTGGTGTATTTGGGTCTTCACAATTGTGTGTGTATCTTTAGAGGAAGACAGAGGTTGCATGACGTTCTCTTATCTCTGCACTTTAAGACTTTTTTTTCATTCTTTATTTTTATTTATGTGGTTGGTTTCTTTTTTTTTCTTTTTTCTTCATGCATGTCTATGGAGCATGTGTGTGCCTTGGAGGCCCGAAGAGGGTGTCAGACCTCCTGGGATAGGAGTGACAGACTGTACTAAGCCACCATATGGGTTCTGGGAATTAAATCCAGTTCCTCTGTAAAAGCAGCCAGGGCTCTTAACCACCGAGCCATCTCTCCAGCCTCCCTCCCCCACTGAAAAAAATAATTTTTTTTTTTTAATGTGTGTGAGCATTTTGCTTGAATGTATGTCAGTGCACATTCTGGGCATTCCAGGTGCCCACAGAGGTCAGAAGAGGGCGTCAGATCCCCTGGAACTGGAGTTATGGACAGTTGTGAGCCACCATGTGGGTGCTGGGAATCAAACACAGGTCCCTGCAAGAGCAGGTGTGTTTAACCACTGAGCCATCACTCCAGCCACCACCACCTTTTTTTTTTTTTTTTTTTTGCTGGTGCTGGGATTAAAGGAGTGTGCCAACATGTCCAGCTTTTTCTTTCACTTTTTGAGTCAGGGTTTCTCACCGAGTCTGGAGCTCCCCTTTCTTGCTAGGCTGGCTCTTCATCAGGCTCTCAGGATCCTCCTGTCTTTGCTCCCCAGTGCTGGCGCCACAGTGTGCACAGTGCCCTGCTGAGTGCTGAAACTCAGTTCTTCATGCTTGCGTGGGAAGCACTGCTGAACCGTCTCCCTATCCCCTTTCTTTCTCTCTTTTTTTCTTTTTGTTTGTTTTTTCGAGACAGGGTTTCTCTGTGTAGCTTTGTGCCTTTTCTGGAACTCACTCTGTAGCCCAGGCTGGCCTCGAACTCACAGAGATCCACCTGGCTCTGCCTCCTGAGTGCTGGGATTAAAGGCGTGCGCCACCACCGTCTGGCCCCTCTTTCCTTTTTTTGAAACAGGATCTTACTCTGTAGCCCAGGCTGGCTTTGAACTCTTAGAGCTCTTCCTGGTCTAACCTGAGTGCTGGGATTGCAGGCGTTCATTTTCTTTTGCCTTTCCTCTCCCTACTAAGCCTGTTTGACATTTTCTTGAGAATAGTCCAGACTGGGCTTAAGTGCATGGCAATCCTCCTGCCTCAGCCTCTTTAGGGATGGATTTCTAGGTATATGCTGCTACTACTCTCAGCTTCAGGATTCTTCCTATATGTGTTTCTCACCCTTATTTTAGGACTATGAGCACCCAGTGAAGCTGTGGGTCTCCTTTCATTGTTTGTTGTGGAGTGAGGAGCCACTGCCAAACAACACCTCTGAGCTAAGTGAGGCAGGAGGATAGCTCACTTTGAAAATATCATCTGGCGGTGGCGGTGGCGGCGGTACACGCCTTTAATCCCAGCACTCGGAGGCAGAGCCAGGTGGATCTCTGTGAGTTTGAGGCCAGCCTGGACTACTAAGTGAGTTCCAGGAAAGGTGCAAAGCTACACAGAGAAACCCTGTCTTGAAAAACCAAAAAAAAAAAAAAAAAAAAAAGAAAGAAAGAAAGAAAAAGAAAATATCACCTGCTTGGAGCTCAAAGCTGACTTCCATGGAGAGAAAAAAATAGCAGTGTATAGGAAGATGCATGGTAGCCACCCCACTGCTGCCCTCAAAAAGTCCTCAAAAAGACTGTTTCTATGTAGCCCTGGCTGTTCTGGAACTCACTGTCAGGCTGGCCTTGAACTCACAGAGACCCACTGGCCTCTGCTTCCTGAGTGCTGGGATTAAAAGTGTGTGTGGCCGTGCCTATCTTATTTAATGTGTATTGGTGTTTGCCTCTATGTAGGTATGTGCACCATGTGCATGCAGTTCCTGCAGAGAGCCCAGAAGAGGGCATCATATCCCCTGGGACTGGAGTGACAGGCAGTTCTGTGTGTTGCCATGTGGGTGCTGGGAATCAAACCTGGGTCCTCTGCAAGAGTTGCTGGAGCACCTAACCATGTCTCCAGCCCCCACTCCTTATTTTACGTCAGCATCTGGAAAGCAGAGGCAGAAGGATCGTAAGTTCAAGATCTTCCTCGGCTGTATAGCAAATTTGCGGTCAGCTTGAGCTACATGAGACCATGGCTAGTGCTTCCGATGGGATCCAGGGTCTCAGGCATGCTAGGCAGGTGCTCCACCACGGAGTCCCCCCATCCACGTGATATTCATGTTGGTTTTCAAACTTAACAAAAACCAGTTCCTGCTTCAGTAGCAGGAGGGAGCTTCTCCTAGGTAAACCCCATGCTTATTATCAGGAACAGCTGCAGATATCCTCTTTGGCTGGCAATGAGTTTGTATTGAGAGGATGTGCGTGCTTGGGTGGCTGCTGAGCTGTTCTAGGTAGAACTGGTCTTACACTATCTTCTTCACTGATGGCCTCTACAATTCCTACCCCCCCCCCCCCCATGACCAGGCCAGGCAGAATGTAGGCCCTTTGTAATACACTTGTGGGACATGGACTTCAGGGTTGTCTGGGGCACAGGCTCAGCCTGAGCTTCAGGTTGCATAACATGATATTTGCAGCTCATCCTCCAGCTGCTTTTGTGACCTGCTGAGAACCTGAAGGGTCACTGTGTGTGTGCATGGATTCCTTACATCATACATTGCTCCATGTCTTAGTTGCCTACTTCACACTGCATCAGTGCTAAGTACTGTGGTGACCTCTGACTTCATGGGAATTACAGGTTATGGCGGAGAAACTGAGAGGAAGCTAGAAAAAGAAAAAAGCCAGTAATTTCACAATGTGGCTGTCCCAGGGTAACATGGCAGTGAGGGACTGGGAAGGTGGGATTTTCTCAGTGTGACATGACGGTGACAGCTCTGTGTTGGAGCTGAGGCCTGCACGCTGTGGTGAGCCAGTCACCAAAGAGTCAGAGAAAGAGCAACAACGCCCAATGCATGTGCCAAGCCCTGATGCACAGTCAGCCTGACACAGGCGTGAAGCAGGGGCTGGTTGGCTGTTGCTCAGAGGGAGGTTGGACTGCTGTGTGGATGGGTGTGACCACCGAGGGCCTCTGGCCTTGGTCTGGAGTTAGCACTTACCTTTGGGGCCTGTGTTGGCCTTTTGCGCTCTCAGTCCCTTTGTTTCTAAAGTGCTGGGTGCCCTCAAGGGCAGGGGGCGGAAAAAGGGGGTCTTTCCAGGTCCTCAAGTATTTGTTGTTTGTTCCAACCTCACACTGTACAAGACTGTCATGTCTTACCTCCAGAATGTGCCCCTACATCCAGTGTGGACCCCCAGTTTTGCTGTGTGTGCCACCTCTTACTCCACTGTTAATGCTACCAGGCATCCTCCCAAACCAGAGATCCTGAGCTGTGGCTTACTGAGCCCTGGGTGGTTCTATGGACCTTGTGATTGTTGCCAGAGCACAGCTCTGCTAGAGGACCCCAAAGGCCAGCCCCACCCCCCCTTTTCCTCCCACAGGCTCAGTGATGCGGATGAACTCTTACCGCACCTGGGCAGCTGCAGAGACTGGTGGTCACCACCCACACTCTGGGGTTCTGGCCAGGAAAGTGTCAGGCGTGGTTTACACCCCTCTACTGGAGCCTTCTTGAGAGCCCGGTGTCTTGAGAGTGGGCACCTTGCCTGGGCACAGAAGGTCCTGTCACCATCTCACACAAGTCCTTACTTGGCCACGTGTGGAGCTGTGTGTGCTGATCAGGGTCCATGAGAAGAAGGAGCCAAAGGGTTGAGGGATTGTCTCAGGTGCCTTGGACCAGGGCTCTGAACTCAGGCTTTGGAGCCCCGGCACGCTGCGGCCTCACTGGTACCGGTGTACCCTTCTGAGCCATGTTTGCCTGCAGTGTGCAGCCCTGTGAGTGCTGCTATATTTACCTGAGGTTGCCTGTGAGCTGCTGGGCTGGGGTGCATACAGGCCCCAGCTCAGCACTTTTTCTTCTCCCAAAAGGCTGTGGTGCACTCTAAGGTGAAGGGGACAGTAGACTGCCTGGTCTACTCTTCAGTGGCTTCATGTGGCCATTCACAGAAACCCTGTGTGTGCTGCTGGGAGTGGGACCCAGCGTCTCTCACACTGCAGTCCCAGCCCCCACCATCAGGACAGTCGTTGGTGTGTCCTGTGAGTAGTCCCCCCCGCCCCCATCCCTCTTTGCTGCCTGGCCTTTAGCAGCCTCCTCTCTGTTGGTGCCAAGCTCCTTCCTGCTCCAGGAAAGCAGGGTGTGGTGGGCTGGGCCTGGACTATGGAGCCTGCCTGGGCTCTGACCTTAGCTTCGCCTTGGGAGTTAGTTCTGTGACCCTGGGTAATTTTCTCAATAGCTGCCTGTCTTCAGGGGCCACAGTAGCTCCTGACCCCACCTGCTCAGGAGTAAGGGAGTTAAGTGCCTAGGACATGCTCTGCAGAGCCAGCTCAGCACCTCCCTCCTGCTACCTCCGAGTCACACCCTGGCCTGGCAGTGCTTCACTTTAACTCTGCCCCGGGGCTTTCCCAAACTCCTCCTTTGTGACACCAAGGCCAAGTGCGTACCAGCTCCCTGACCCTGCCTCCAGGGCATTAGTCACTCCTGTGAGCTGCTGAGCTGCAGGGCCTGGTAGGTTTTTACCACCTTGTACCACTATGTGTTCCATATCTGTGTCAGGTGGAAGAGCATATGGGGACCATCTGGACTAAAGGGCCAGCATAGCCCGGGCCAGCTCTGGGCTTTGCTGTCCTCAGCATTCCAGACCTGGGGTAGGGACTAGTCAGATGGGTGATGGTTTCTTGTTCCTCCCTTCTCAGAGCATGTGCTGGTTCCTGGGCACCATGCCAGTTCTTCATGTGATGTGCCAGTCTCCGGTCCCAGAGCCATGGGGGAGATGAGGTAGCCCTTTGGGTTTGATTGGGGAAGCCCAGTTCAATGGATACGAAGTACAAGGATGATTTATTTCGGAAGTACGTGCAGTTCCATGAGGGCAAAGTGGACACCACCCCCGGCAAGCAGCAGCCTGGCAGCGATGAGTACCTGCGGGTGGCAGCTGCCACCCTGCTCAGCCTGCACAAAGTGGACCCCTTGCATCGATTTCGGCTGATCCAGTTTTATGACGTGGTGGAGAGCTCCCTCCGCTCACTGAGCAGCTCCAGCCTGAGCGCTCTGCACTGCGCCTTCAGCATGCTGGAGACGATGGCCGTCAACCTCTTCCTGTTCCCCTGGAAGAAGGAGTTCCGCAGCATCAAGGTGAGGTGGGGCCACTCTGCCTGCTGCTCCCTCCCGAGTGTCCGGCCCGTTCTCATCCCATGGGCTCCAAGCATCTGGGAGCTGGTGTGGACCAAAGCCCCAGGTGGGGGGGGGGGGGGGCTGAAAGAAGATCCTGCACTTTCCATAGCAGGGGAACAGGGGGCGAGTAGAGACTGCCCAGGCCAGGCTGGAACTGTGGCATGTTGCGTGTATTTGTCTGTCTATTGTAGTGGGAATTAAACCTATGGTGCATGCTGTATCCCAAGCTATATCCCCAGTCCTAGTGTGTTCTTAAAACTTTGGCAAAGGCCTGAAAGGGGCGTTCTCCGGGTTTAGTGTCACACCCCTATAATGCTATCCCCTGTGCTCCCTCATGGAACAGAGCCTTCATGCCTACACAGAAAGCTGATGGCCTTGTTGGCTTCATAGGGGCCACATGTGTCCCTTGCTTGGTGGGCATTTAGCATGCTCTTGCTTCTGGTCTAAGGCAGAAACTCCCCATCCCTCTCCCTGCTGGTCCTGCTCTGCACTTGGTTTGAACAGGCTTCTCTGTAGCATGCTTCTTTTTTTTGTTTTTTTGTTTTGTTTGCCCACTTTCTCCCTAGACCTACACAGGCCCTTTTGTTTACTATGTCAAGTCCACATTGCTGGAGAAGGACATCCGAGCCATTCTGAGGTTCATGGGCTACGAGCCTGAGTTGGGAACTGCGTACAAACTCAAGGAACTGGTGGAGTCCCTCCAGGTGAAGATGGTCTCCTTTGAGCTCTTCCTAGCAAAGGTCGAGTGTGAGCAGATGCTGGGGATCCACTCGCAGGTGAAGGACAAGGGCTACTCGGAGCTGGATGTGGTGACTGAGCGGAAGAGCAGCACAGAGGACGCGCATGGGTGCTCAGACGCTCTGCGGCGACGGGCTGAGAGTAGGGAGCACCTGACCACTTCCACAGCTCGTGTGGCACTCCAGAAGTCAGCCAGTGAGCGGGCAGCCAAGGACTACTACAAGCCCCGAGTGACCAAACCCTCCAGGTCGGTGGATGCCTACGACAGCTACTGGGAGAGCAGGAAGGTCCCCTCAAAGGCCTCCCTGAGTCTGCGAAAGGAGCCCTTGGCCATGGATGTAGGGGATGACCTGAAGGACGAGATCATCCGCCCATCCCCCTCCTTGCTGACCATGTCCAGCTCCCCCCATGGTAGCCCTGATGACCTTCCATCCATCTCCCCCATCAACGGCCTTGGCCTTCTGCGCAGTACGTACTTTTCCACTCAGGATGACGTGGACTTGTATACAGACTCGGAACCCAGGGCCTCCTACCGGAGGCAGGATGCTCTGCGGCCGGATGTATGGCTGGTCAAAAACGATGCCCACTCCATCTACCACAAGCGTTCAGCCCCCACCAAAGAGTCTGCCCTCTCCAAGTGCCAAAACTGCGGCCTGTCCTGCAGCTCTTCCCTCTGCCAGCGCTGTGACAGTCTACTTGGCTGTCCTTCGGGCTCCAAGCCCAGCGCCTTTCTTAGCAAGGCCTCTGCTCATGACAGCCTGGTCCATGGGACACCTATGCGGGAGAAGTATATGGGCCAGACTCAGGGCCTTGACCGGCTGCCACCTGTCCACTCAAAGCCCAAGCCGTCTGCCACAGGCACCTCCCGCTGTGGCTTTTGTAACCGTGTGGGTGCCACCAACACCTGCACCCAGTGTTCAAAAGTCTCCTGCGACGCCTGCCTTGGCGCTTACCACTACGACCCCTGCTGCAGAAAGAGCGAGCTACACAAGTTCATGCCCAACAACCAGCTGAACTACAAATCCACTCAGTTCTCCCATCTCGTGTACAGATAGGCCCCACCCCCATCTTCCGCTATAAGGGCTACACCACTGACCTGGCTTGGTCCCATCCAGAGGTAGCAGAGCAGCATCAGAAGTGGAGACCTGAGCTTGACCGTGGCAGCAGCCAGGGCCACTGCTCCTTCACACTGGAGTTCACTGAGCACTTCACCCCCACCAGTAGCGGCTGTGTGCTCTGAGGGACAGGGTGGCACGTCCATCCAGGCATTTCACTGACCTCTCCACTCCCTGCTCAGCTGGTTTGGGTTTGGGTTTTGGTTCTGGTTCCTTTGAAATAAGGTCTCTGTCTCTGGGACTCTTGCCACACCTACCCCTCCTTCTGCAAAGCCAGCTTGGACTGGGAATGATCCTTCGGGTCACCTTCAAATGCCCACCAGGAGTGGCGGGCGAGCTAGAGGCCTGCTGGCTTGTGAAATGAGCCCTCCTGCCATATCGGGCCTCTCTGATGGCTCGCCTCTTTTCCTGCTCCTGATACAAGGATCCCTAGGCAGATGTCCCCGCCCCCTCCCTCCCCCAACTGGTATCAAAGGGGAGCCAAGTCCAGTATTAGCTGAATGCCATCTTGCCAGCTCCACTCAATCAGCCCACAGTGTTGGCGAGCTCTGCTCAGCAGTTGGAAAGTGGACTCCCCAACAGGACTGATGTCCCTTCCTGTCTGCACCCTACTGTACTGTATATACAGAGTTTGAGGTTTATTTTGAAGTGAGTATTCAACTTGCTGTGTGTTTCAACATGGTGAAAGAAATTAATGATATGGTAATTATAAAGGTGCCCTGAGTCCTTTAGTCTTCCAAGGGGGTTGCTCATGCCCTTTCCCGGGGTGGTCTCCACTTGCTAGGGTGGAGCTGAGAGCCTCGGGGTAGGGGACTGACAAAGCCCATGTTCCTCCTCATGTGAGTAGAGAGCTGCTGCACTTCCCTACAGTAAATATTCGACACCTACCTCCAGTGTGCACGCGGGGTTAGCATGGTGCCGAGGTCTGCATTGACCCCAGTGACAAGGTGGAGACCTCAGCCCTCACATCTACAGCTCTGGTCTTGGTGCCTGCTGAGCATGAATCTTGTACCCCAGACCTTGAGTTCATTTCAGAAGGAAATTCAGGTGGGGTTCCCTCCACGCCCATCTAAGCCTTCCTCACTGGTTCCCAGCGCTCTGTCTTCTTGCACTAGGGTGAGTAGAGGTAGTTGTGTGCCCATTGGACAGATGCTTCTCCAGTACTCAGCTGAGTGTCCACGATTCGTTGTATAAATAATCCACCTCTGGATTTTCCTTTTTGGGAAGCAGAGCCAGGAGAAGGGCAGGAATTTGAAACTCACTTCTTTGTGAACTGGTAACACACTTTAGCCATAGGCAGTTGTGATGTCTGCTGTTTGGGATCTACGTGCTAGTGGGGTTTTCCCAAAGGCATTCAGCTCTGGAGCAGGCTGACTGGCCACACCCTGAGCCACTGTGAATGTGCTGGTGTTCTTCCGACTTACTGGAGTGATTTTAAGGTTTTCCAATCTTATACGGCTCTTTTTATCTCTAGCTATAGATCACATGTAGATAAGTGCACATACAGCTAAATTTGAGCAATCCTGTTACTGAGACTAGCCTCCCTGGGCCGCGGTCCTTGATGTTCCTTCTCCATTGGCACTGCCTGGCCCACTCCTGGGAGCTCTAGTTTTCTATTCCAGTTTGCTCCGGGATTGCAGGGACTCTTAAGATGGAGGCCGGGTCACCCGAGGAAATGCTGTGTGTGCAGGTTGGCACGGCCTCACCCTCCTAGGTGTGTCTCACTGTAGGAGATTGCTGTGATCCGGATAGTTGAGTATATGCTAATTTAAAAATGCACATATTTTGCATTCGATTTCTACAGAGTTGAAATGATCAGAGAAGATTTTAAAAAACTAACTAAATAAAGTGTCTTCCATTGTTAAAAGAAGTGTTTATGGTGTTGCAGCCCCTCCTGCGGCTTCCCATTTGCAGCACACTCTGGCCTATAAGCCATTGTTAGCACAAGTGACAGGATCCAGATACTGTCTGGGCATCTGGGGAAGATGGGAACCAGGCCCAGGGGCCAAGCTGCCCATTTCCCCAGAATGGGCTGTGTCCTCTGGGAGAAATAATTGTTGGTGGCTGCAGACATTAAGAATCCTTCCCCTTTTATTCCTGCCTCCAGATTTCTCTAATTAAAGGCATGTTTTACCATACCCGGCCAATGATTCCTTTTTCTTTTTCTTTTTCTTTTTTTTTTTTTAACTTAAAAACAAACAAACAAACAAAAACCAAACAAACTTTACAGGTGGTGAGATGTCACAATGGTTAAGAACACTGGCTGCTCTTCCAGGATCCCGGTGCTATTCCCAGCACCCACATTGTGGCTCCAGCCATTTCTAACTCCAGCACCAGGGGACCCAGCGCCCTTTCCTGGCCTCTGGTGCAGGCACCAGGTATGCAGTGTCCACACATACATACAGGCAAGACAACCATACACAAAATCTTAGAAATTATTTCATGTATATTTACTTTTGTTTCCATAAAGCTCAAGTCCCTCACATTTTGGGGGTGTGTGGGGTGTTGAAGTCAGGGCCAAGGGTATGCTAGACAAGTGCTGTGCCACTGAACCAGTGTGTCCCAGCCCAGAATGATGTATCTTTAAATTGCCATCACCTTTGCTACCGAGGCTGCCCTGCAGAGCATAGGAGCCCCACTTTTTTTGTTTTTCCATTTGTGTGTGTGCGAGAGGGATGTGTATGCATGTTTGCATGTGTGATGCATATATGAAAGCCCTTGGCGGTGGTGGCGCACCCGTTTAATCCCAGCACTCGGGAGGCAGAGGCAGTTGGATCGCTGTGAGTTTTAGGCCAGCCTGGGCTACAGAGTGAGTTCCAGGACAAGCTCCAAAGCTACACAGAGAAACCCTGTCTCGGAAAACCAAAAAAAAAAAAAAAAAAAAAGGAAAGAAAAAGAAAGCCCTAGCTTGATTGCTCTTCCCCTTCAATGAGGTAGGGTATCAGTTAAGCCCAGAACTCATGGATACGGTGACTGTCACATAAGCTAGTTTGACAGGCTTGCCAGGGTCTGACCTTTGCTTAGTCTAGTCCTGCTGTCACATGTTCTAGTCTCTTCATTTCCTAAAACCTTGTTGCCTTTTCCTGATTCCTTCCTATTGGCAGGCGTTGCTCCAGGATGCCACTGTGGGCTGAGGACAGTCCCTTACAGTGGGCCAGCTTAGCACGTGAGTGAGGCCTGGTCTAGTTCTGACACTCCAGAGTCTCCACTGGCCACATCAGGGCCTGTGTGGGCAGGTGAAAGAGGGTGATGTGGGATTGCTGGGTCATGCGGTGGTCCAGTTCTAACGAGTGTAAGTTTATGTGTGTAAGGCTTTTTTTTTTTTTTTTTTTTTTTGAGACAGGGTTTCCTCTGTGTAGCCCTGGCTGTCCTGGAACCTGCTCTGTAGACCAGGCTGGCTCCGAACTCACTGAGATCCACCTACCTCTGCCTCCCAGGTACTGGGATTAAAGGCGTGCGCCACCACAGCCTGGCTTAAAATTTTTATTTTTTAATGTGTATGGGTATTTTGCCTGTGTGTATGTCTGTGTATTATGTGCATGCAGTGCCCATTGAGGCCAGAAGAGGGTGTGGAGTCCAGATAGATGGTTGAGAACCAGATGTGCTGGGAATGGAACCCAGTTCTCTATGAGAGTAGCCAGTGTTCTTAACCACTGACCCATCTCTAGCCCCATTTGGTAGGGTTGTTTGGTTGGTTTTGGTTTTTTGAGACAGGGTTTCTCTCTGTAGCCCTGGCTGTCCTGGAAACTTACTCTGTTGAGTGCTTTTCTTAGGGAAACATCTGGTGGTCAGATATTCTTTATCAGTTGAAATGGCCATGGTTTTATCTTCCCTTCTGCTAATATGGAGTGTTATGCATACATTCTGGCTCTTTGGCATTTCTCAGAACAAGAGACAGACAGAGAGAGACTCCTGTTTCAGGAGGAGGCATTGTGTGGTTGCGGTTCTGCCCTCTGGGAGAGTCAAGGCTATTAGGCCTCTGTTTCCTACCTAGCTGTCACTTCACTCATACCAACACGCGGGCACTACAGTTCTGTTCTGTTTAGCAACTGGATCATTGCTACCACATCTATAAAAGGACCTCTCTATGGTGGTGGTGTGACTCTAGACGGGAAAATTCACACAGAACTGAAGGAACACACACACCCCACATAAACTTTTTTCTGGTTTTATAAGGATTTCACTCTAGTCATTGGTAGCTGCTGTTTACCATAGAGCCCCGGCTGGTCTCAAACTTGAAGCAATCCTCCTACCTCAGCCTCCCAAATGCTTGGATTTTAAGTACATACCACCATACCTTAGCTTCATGTGAAACTAAAATTGTTCTGGGGAGATGGCTCATTTGGTTAAATGTTTGCCTCCCAAGTATGAGAACCCGATTTGTTCCTCAGAACCCACATTAAAATGCCAGATGTGGGACTAGAGCGATGTCTTCGTGGTGAAGGGCTTGCTGCTCTTTCAGAGGACAGGAGTTTTTTTCCTAGTATCCACTTTAGGTGGCTCACACCTACCTGTAATTCCAGTTCATGGTGGCGCACGCCTTTAATCCTAGCACTCAGAAGCAGAGGCAGGTGGATCTTGAGTTTGAGGACAGCCAGGACTACAGTGAAACCCTGTCTAAAACAAACCAAAACAATGCTTTCTGCTCTGCCATCTCATGAAGCCCCATCTTCCCTCTGGGCCTCAGAGGAACGGCTGCAGCAGGTCCAGATTTTATCTATCTATCTATCTATCTATCTATCTATCTATCTATCTATCTATCTATCTATCTATCTATCTGAGATGAGGACCAAACCCAGGGCCCTCAGAGGAACGGCTGCAGCAGGTCCAGATTTTATCTATCCATCTATCTATCTATCTATCTATCTATCTATCTATCTATCTATCTATCTATCTATCTATCTATCTATCTATCTATCTGAGATGAGGACCAAACCCAGGGCCTTGTGCTTGCTCGGCAAGCGCTCTACCACTGAGCTAAATCCCCAACCCGCAGGTCCGGGTTTTACACCTGCATGTAATGGGGAGGAACCATGAACAGCTCAAGGTACTGCTCTCTCTTGCCATGCTGGGTCAGAGGCCTTCCTCAACAAGTAAAGGGGCTGACAGGAGTGCTGACCAGGGAATGAGCCAGCTCTCTTCAAAGCAGCTCAAAGCTGAAGGCCCAAGGAAGCAAAGGTGGAAACCATAGAGAACTCAAGTGGGTTTGCAGTATGGGTATCTTTTTGTCTTTTTTCGAGACCGGGTTTCTCTGTGTAGTTTTGGTGCCTGTCCTAGATCTCGCTCTGTAAACCAGGGTGGCCCGAAATCATAGAGATCTGCCTGCCTCTGCCTCTGCCTCCCGAGTGCTGGGATTAAAGGTATGCGTCATCACCACCTGGCTTTTTTTTTTTTTAAAAGACAATCTTAGTCTGTAGTCAAGGCTGGCTCAAAATTGAGGCCATCTTCCTGTCTCAGCCTTTTTAGTGTTGGGATTATGACTATACACCCCTATGCCTGGCAGCATGTGTTTTTATTTTTCAGAGAGCGTCTCACTGTGTTGCCTTGGTTGCTTTGGAACTTGCTATGTAGGCCAAGCTGGCTTCCAACTCAGATAGAGTCCCCTGTCTCTGCTTCCTGAGTTGTTTGAATCTTAGATGGTCTTTTAATAAGAAAACCCAGAGCCAGATATCAGGGTGAAAGCTGAAAGATCAGAGAAGCAGAACAGCCAGCCACTAGTTCTGACCTCTACGAAATCCTCAGTCTAAAGAGACTGAGTTCCTGTTTCCTCACGCCTTATGTATCTTTCTCTGCCCTGCCATATTACTTCCTGGGATTAAAGGTGTGTGTGCTTCCCAAGAAAAGGCATGTGATCTCAAGTGCTGGGATTAAAGGTGTGTGCCACCACTGCCTGACCTCTGTGTCTAATCTAGTGGCCGGCTCTGTCCTCTGATCCTCAGGGAAGTTTATTAGGGTATACAATATATCACCATACCAGTGCTGGGATTAAAGGTATGCACCACCACACCCAATACAGCATGTTTTTAGTGTGCACTAAAATGTCTCTGGGATAGGTAGGGGCTCTGGGACCCTTTTCTCCACAGCTTCTGGCCTCTGAGGAAGTTATTTCTTCCTGTTTCTCCCCTCTACCTTGAGGGCTTTTTCTGGAGTTGCCAGGTCCTGTCTTCCAGTGGGACTGAGCCCTTTCCTCCAGGCTGGCACTACTCAGAAAAACTCCCAGCCATCTTCAAGGTCAGGGCATCCTGAGAATTCAGTCTGTAGTTCACCAGTGTCCCCTGACTTCAGCTAGTTAAATTACAGCGAGATGTCACACTCAGGCAGCTTTTCCTCATGTCCTTGCACCCTTGGTGCATCTCCAGCCTGTGGCTGGCAGCCAGGTAGATACGGCTGCCACTTCACTCTCTTGGGTGCTGGTGGGGGTGAGGGAGTCTCAGGGCTTTTGCCCCGTGTGTGCATGTATGTGCAGGACCTTACATAATAAGGCCTCCCTTTGTGAGCCGAGGACTAGATAGGCTCTGGCTCCTCAGCTGTGTGGATTTAATGGAGAAGCTTTCCGTTTTTCTGCAGGTAGACAGTTGTCAAAACCAATGTGCACTCAGCCAGCAGCAGGCCCTGAGAGGCCTGGAGCACTGGATTCCTGGCACCTGGGAGGAAGTCATGGTTGACATGAGCATTCTGCCTCACGTGTGTGGCTCACAGAGGGGCAGAGGCTGTCCTCCTAACCATTACACTGCTTGAAACATGCCTACTGCTGTCCTGGAGAGCTGTGGGGACCCAGAGCCGCCGCACCCAGGAGCTTTGCAAAGTCACTTGACACAGCAGAGACCAGCTCTGACTCCACAGCGTTTTATTTCTAACTGTCCAGTGACGTGACCTCCCACTCAGTGGCAGGCGAAGGTGAGCTCCTGCAGAGTGACACAGTTCGCTCCAGCTCAGGCCCAGGCCCCGCCCAGAAAGCAGCAAAGGTTCCCTTAGGCCCCAGGAAGCCTCCCTAAATCACAACAGAAAACTAGCACTCCCCAAACCTTCCACTGTCAGAGAAGAGTGGAGCCCAGGCTTATGAAGAGAGCCTTCAGCCTCCTCCTGGTGGAAGCAGGGGGACTCCACCAGTCCCCAGCATCTGCTACCATGGTTCTAGCGCAGGGCCACAGCCACCAAGGGTGGCCTGTCCCAGCACCACTGCACATGATTGTGCCTGGGTGAGGGGCCATGGCACCTGCCTGTCTGGAACTGGGTGGACAGGTGGGAAGGCAGCATGGAGCAGCAGGGCCACCAGAAGGCCTTCCCTCCCACCATTCGGTTTCAGTTAACACAGCCTGGCTCTGGGGCCCTGAGAGAAGCCAGGGACTTGGACCTGGTTTCCTAGGCACCAGCCAGCAGAGAAATCAAGCTGCTATTTCTGAGAATGGGGAGGGCTCCTGTCTCCATGTGGCATCTTAGAAGCCTCATGGGTGGTAGACAGCTACTGAATTCCTCCTCACACGGGAGCCAGGAACAGCTGACCTCTACCATATGTACCTCCATAGCTAAGTGGGGAGGGGGCTGGGCAGCAGCCACCCAGCCCAGAACCTACCATGGGCACGTGGACCTAGTAGTTCTCAGCGTGGGTTTTAAGAAGGCTCTGCTCAGTCCCTTGGCATTCTATTGCACAGAAAGGACTCTGCACACCAAGCCCTCAGGCTGTCAGGTTTTACCCCAAGATGCTGCATGTGGCTGTCTCGGGGAGCCCTGTGACCATAGCACTGCAGAAAGCAGGTCGCTGATTCCAAGAACTGGCTCATATATTCTGTAGGGATGGGCCACCACTACACTGAGCGCCAGCTCTCCAAGGGCCCCCATGTCCCTCACTCTGAAGCATTACCTTCCATGTGCCCTGCTGGCCTGTCCCTTGGCCTAGACTGAACTCTGCCGCCCGCACAACTGGGTCATCTACCACGCACACATTCTCCGCTGCACACGACAGGACTAGCAGGTCTGAGGAGGTGACAGCAGCACCTGGTCTCTCATCTGAGAAATCCCCTCTAGAGCTTTGCTCCCTGGCTGTGGGCCCTGGAAGGCTGGACACTCCCAGGTGCTAAGCCCACAGTCCCCGGGAAGGGGCAGAGGTGCCTACTGACATGCAGGGCTGGTGCAGCAGCCCTCCCACCAAGCTCCCGGAAGCTCACTTCAGGTCTCAGGTAAAAGCAGGAGGCCAAGAATGGTATGTCCGAGAGGCCTGGTGACAAGGGGCCAGTGAATGACACCCGAAGCTTCACTGCTTCCTCTACGAATTTAAGGGTTAAAAAGAAATCTTGGCAAGTACTGAGCTGGGAAGCAGCTTCCATCTCAGAGATGAGCCCGAGCCCAGCCCCACTCCCAATCCCACAAGGCCATGGGTGGAAGAGGACCCAGCTTGGCTGCACCAAAGACAAGTGACCTTATGTACAGAAGCAGTCTACATGCCTCCTCCAGCTTGGCCACCTTCTGCAGCAGAGTGAGGTGGAGGCCTCAGAGGCCTGGCCCTCTGCCAACATCAGAACCACAGCCCCTGAGGTGCAAAATACCTGCAAAAAACCCACTCAGACCCACTGTGCCCCCATTGTGAGCCAAGGCCATACACAACAACCATGCCACCAGGGGCGCAAGGACGGCCTAGGGCCACATGGGTAGTTGCTGAAGGGCCACAGATGGGCAGACTGCAGCAGCTATAAAAGGGCAGGTAAGGACATCAGGCAGTGACCATTGCCTGTGGTGTGCCTTAGCCTGAGACATGCACGGGAGTGTGTCTGTGTGACCCAAAGTCACCGGCATCCCAAGTGGCAATTGATTGGAGTGGGGAACCCTGGTCTCAGGCGCTGTGCTATGGCCACTGTCCCAGTGTCTTGGAGATCCGAGGCCAGGCATGGAGGGCAGAGGACCCAAGCTCCGGGAACTGGTAAAAGGCTGGGCTCTCAACAGCAGCTGGGTGGGAGGAGCTTCACACTATAGGGTCTAGTAAGAGGCCTCTGGGCAGAGGCCAAGAATGAAGGAGGAGACTGGTGGAGGGGAGAGGATGTGGAGGTGGCTCCCACACTTAGGAAAGGTACCCCCAAGGACCCTGTGCTTACAGGGTCTAAAGACCCCCTTTGTCTCTTCAGAGGGTATTCCAAAACCAGGGGATAGGCCAACACCTTTCCTAGAAGCCTGCAGCAGGCTGACCCTTGCCAGGTACCAGTGTAAACATTTGCAATATGCCCACAGGAGGGCTGCAGCTGCCTGCCCAAAGGCAGGCTGAGAGGTGCCAGTTTCATGTCAAAAAAAAAGGTCCTTTAGCCTTTCTCTTTGGGAACACAGGACACAGGACAGGGAGTGTGAGGCTTTCAGAATCTCTTGGCCTTGGCACCAGGTTGAGGCTGCTGCTGCTGCTGCTGCCGCCGCCGCCGCCGCCACCGCCACCAAGGCTCCTTGACAACGCGGAGACAAAGAGCAGATGTGCCTGCCAGCAGCTGCTCCAGAGATGTGAGGGAGGTGTGGCCCACGCACAGAGTGAGCTGAGCAAGCCAGCCTGCCAAGTGTTCTCTGTGGCCTGGCACAGAAGCAGAAAGGGGGCTGGCTGCTGCCCTCCTCTGTAGGCCCAGAAACAACACTGGGGCAGGCAGGTCTGGTCCCGTGAGTCGTGGAGGCCGATCATATTTCTGAAGCCAGTACTCTCCAAAGGCCTGAAGCTTCCTAGCTAGGACTAGCCCTTGACCTACCATCTTGTGTTCTGAGGAGGCTGCATGAGGCATCTTCTTCCAGGCCCAAGACATTGTGGGCTCAGAACAGCTCCTGCTCATCGTCCTCAGAGCCTGACGGGCCCTGGCGGACCTCTTCATACCACTTGTTGGTGAGGCTTTTCATCTGGATGCGCCCATGGTGGAGGTCCTGGAGCGAGACACAAAAAAGTCAGTGACGGGGTCGGGGGACAGAGGCTGCTGTGAACCTATGTGTTGGAGATAACAGGAGGGCCTGCTGAGGACTGAGGGGGACGGGGAGAAAAATGGCATGTTAGGAACTCAGCCTTAGAAATTAGATAAGCCTGGTCTCTGGCAGCTTTGGAGTGTGCTGCCCCATGGATATGAGCTCCTTTCCCTGGGCCTTGGTCTCCTCTGCTGTCAAGTGAGGTAGCATGTTTTGCTGCTTAGCTGTTGGAGGACATGGTCTTGGGGGTGGGGTGGGGTGGGGTGGGGTGGGGTGGTGATGTGGGGAGAGGGAGAACAGCCAGGAGAGCCCCACCCTGGAGGAGACAGCTGCAGAGCCAGGAGGGCCAGGGCCACAGGCCGATCTGAGACTTCTTGGCTCAGCATCAGAGGCTGACCCACATCCCTGAGGGCAGTAGGGAAACCCAAACTGTTGTTAGCCATCTTCCAAGGTGTGTAGGGAAGGAAAGCAGCAGGGGTAGAGCCCTGGCCACTGCAGACCTGAGCTCGGGAGGCAAGGTATCTGCGACATGCCTACCTCCTGTGTCAGCCGCCGTGTGAAGAAGGGGTTCAGGTACTTGGCGTCCAGCCACATGAAGCCTTTCAGGTCCTGCTTCCTGATGTAGTGGGCTTCGTACTCCTCCTCAGTGAGCTCTGACAGGTGTTCTGACTCGATGGCATTGCCCTGGGTGAGAGAGCTGGTAGTGTCAGCAGGCACTTCCCTGGGAACCCCCACTCTGCCTTCTTGCCAGAACATACCAGTAACACACTCTACCCCAGACAGGTAATCACAGACACAGACCTTTTTGGGCCCCCAAAGCCTCCCCTCTACAGGGAGGCCCACTGACAAGTCTGGAGCACAGGAGTCTTCAAAGCTGCAAAGCCCTGCCGGCCTGGGCCTGCAGTGCCGAGGGAAATGGAGGAGGTGCACAGTCAGTCCTGGGGGTTGAGAACCCTGAAGATGCCACAGATTTCAGCCAGCCCCAGCTGTACTTTCTGCGGGGCTACACATCTGACACTCAACAAGTTCCTATACTGCTGTTGGTTTTGTGCCTCAGTGTTCTTCTCCCCTGTAGGATGGGGACTATGAAAGTCCCGGCTACCTGCAGAGTCCAAGTGCCTTGGCCACAACAGTGTGTTACGATTGTCCGAGAGAGCCGGGCAGTGGTGGCGCACGCCTTTAATCCCAGCACTCAGGAGGCAGAGGCAGGCGGATTCTTTGTGAGTTCGAGGCCAGCCTGGTCTACAGAGCGAGATCTAGGAAAGGCACAAAGCTACACAGAGAAACCCTGTCTCGAAAAACCAAAAGAAACAAAACAAAACTATTGTCCAAGAGCGGCTGTAGCCTTGGCAGAAATGTCAATCTACACAGGGCTCACATCTGTAACTCCCAGCACTTGGGAGGTTGAGGCAACAAGACTGCAAGACAGTTGTAGCTACAACACCGTCAAGTCCAGCTTTGTCTACAGAGTGAGCCCTGTATCAAAAGGCAAAACTGGGCTGGGCCGGGCGGTGGTGGCGCACGCCTTTAATCCCAGCACTCGGGAGGCAGAGCCAGGCGGATCTCTGTGAGTTCGAGGCCAGCCTGGTCTACAAAGTGAGTTCCAGGAAAGGCGCAAAACTACACAGAGAAACCCTGTCTCAAAAAAACCAAAAAAAAAAAAAAAAAAAAAAAAAAAAAAAAGGCAAAACTGGGCTGTAAAGACAGCTCAGTGGTTCTGAATGCCTGCTGCTTGTCCAGAGGACTCTAGTTCAGTTCCCAGCAGCCACGTTAGGCTCATAGCTGCGGGAAGCTCTAGTTCTGGAGGATCTAATGCTCTTAATGCTCTCTTCTTACATTCATGGGGGTGAGCACGTGCACCCCGCCCCCCTCCCCAACAGCAAGCATGGCAAGGCATACACATACACACATATACTTTAGAGATCCCAACACAACACCAAGCCAACTAGTTAGCTAGAAGCTGGGAAGAGAGGGCTCTGAGAATGGGAAGGACCTGCAGAGCCTGAGGCTGGAGGAAAGGCTCTGGACCAATGGCTCTGACTCTCCCACTCTCAGACGGCACTTTGATGACTGACCCAAGTTACTGACATCTCAAAGAGGGAGACTAGAAGGCAAAGCATCTCAGGATGCAGGAGGGGTGGGTGGGGTAGGAAGATGGGTCAGGAGTCAGGGCTGCTGCGTGGGGGAGGAAGGCAGGGAGCCAGTGTAAGGCAGCCCCAGCCTGAGAGTGGCCTGGCAGCAGGTGGTGGCTCACAGGAAGTAGAGGGGGAAAGGGGGCACAAAAACCTCAGTTTCCAATATGTCTGGGTCCTGAAAACCTCTATCCCTAAACCATGATCCCTCTGTCCTTGAGGATGCCACCTTGCTTACAGCCCTCATAGCTACCACAAGCCACCATCCTCTCGGCCCCTATCAAGAGATGTGAATGCACACTGAAGAAAACCTCATTTGGAAACCTCTTGGTCCCTGACCTGGGCTTCTCGCTCAGCTCCTGGCAGCAGAGGCACTCTCCCAGGACTCTAGGATAGGACCAGGCTCTACTTCAAATGTCCTGAGCTACAGATGGCATCGGTTCTCAGCTTCTATGACTTCAGCAGGTCACAAGGCTGGCACACATCCTACCTCAGAGAGCCATGCTTCAGAAGCCAAGTTCGTGCACCTGTCCTCAGGCCTGCACCGCGGACCGAGGTAAGCAAATGCACCTGCCCCCAGAAGCCTGACCTGCTCCCCCTGGCAGACAGGCCACAGGGCCCATAGGCATACTAACCATCTTCTCAGTCTTGCTGAGGTTGACATCCTTCTTGCTCCTGCGGCGTGCCCGGGCGTCCTCAATGTCCACAAGGCGGATGAGGGGCATGGTGCTGCCGCCCAGCAGCAAGATGGTGAAGAGCACGATAACAATGGTGGTGGTGCCGATGAGCTGCCGCTTCTCCATGGGCTCCAGGCCCAGATGCAGGCTCAGTGCGTAGGGGATGGCCCCTCGAAGGCCTGGGGTGGGAATGGAGGGACTCAGGCCAGGCCAAGAGGGCAGGAGAGGAGGGAAAAGTGCCTCCATCCCGCTCAGCACCACTAACGGCAGGACCTACACCTCACGGGAGTGGCCTAGGGTGTGAGAAGAGGCATCAGGGTGGACAGGTTGAAGTCCCTTGCATGTTCTGCATGGGCTGGTTCCAGGCAAGGTGACTACAGCCATGCTGCTGTGTAGCAGGTATATTTGGGGGTCCATCAGCTCTGTCATATGACAGCTATGGTAGCTGAGTCCTCCCTGGGTGCCCCAGGCCCTCAACTGGGTGCTCTGTGCACAGGCAGGGCAGCCTGCCACAGCACCTGCCCAGCAGGTGCTGCCACTCTCCACAGTACACAGGCCGGGGAGCAGCCTAGAGTGGACGTGCAGCAGGCACAGGCAACAGTGAGGGTATGATCTGTCTAAGGACTCTCTGTGGAGCTTGCTGGCAATGATGACAGGACTAAGGGTGTGGACAGAGCTGGAGACAGTTGCTCTGCACCATACACACGGAGCAGGGGATCCCAAGCCCTGCTTTCACAAGTCCCAGAGCAGCTGGGACAGTAAACACAACACTAAAGTCACAAGAGTCACTGGGAACAGACTACAGTGACTCAGACATGGAAGGGGGAACTTGGAGAGGGCCTGGCTGCTGTAGCAGTCCAGACCTGAGATGGCCAGGAGGCCAGAGTGGGTGGACTCAGAGACATGAGCAGGGGGAGCGACTCTTCTTCAAACCCACAAGGGTCACAGGATGAGGGGACCTGACACGTGTGACAGGCTCAGTGTGCACATATGCCTAGAAGTACCAGGAAGGCACCCATGTATACCAACCCACCTTGCTGCTTCCCATGAAGGGAGGGCAAGACAAGCAGCAGGCAGGCAGTGGGCTCTGGCTCAAGGAACTTGCTATGGCCCATGACACCCAGAAACAGAGAGAAGAAGAAACAGGGTTCTAGAGGAAGGGCTGGTTTGGAGAGCTGCATAGATGGAAAGGCCAGATTAGGAAGTCCAGTACTGTCAGAGGACAGGTTTAGAAAGAGGTGGGGCCCAGCCCTAGGTGCCACTGTCTGGGGTCAGTGTGGGAAGTGCTGGGTGGGAGGCTGGGGAGCCCCAGGGGAGGTGTCTTTGATATACTGGCAATGGTAGTGGCCCGGAAGATACACTAGGTTGAGGGCTGATGCTGCAGAAGCCACTGGTGAGTTGATCAGGGCCAAGGCCAGCAGAACAGAAGGGAGCAGAGTGGGGAAAATGAGGACAGGCTGAAGGCTGGGAGGAGACACCGACTGCTGAAGTAATTCCAGCCCTTGGGAGGCAGAGGCAAGGAGGATGGCTGCAAGTTCAAACCTAGACTGCATTGCAAGTGTCAGATCAGCCAGACCTCTCCATGTCTATGTGAGGCAGGGTCCAGGTTGGACTCAAGCTGGAAATCCTCCTGCCCTGTTCTTCTAAGTAGCTGGCATTACAGTTCAGCGCCAGTGACCCTGGCTCACAGTTTTACAATAAGGCCTTTCTGAAGAAAAAGGGTTGAGGCAAACTGTAGTGGACACTACAGAGCACTGCAGCCCACATGGAGATACTCAATTATATTCATTTCTTATTTTATTTTTTGAGATGGTCTCACTCTAGCCCTGGCTGGCCTGGAACTCTCAGAGATCTGCCTGCCTCTGCTGGGATCAAGGCATGTTTCACCACACTTGACTACCGACACTGAAATAGGAAGAGCACAGAGAGTTAAAGGTTCTAAGGGACTGATTCTTTAGAGCTGAAGGTTGACAAAATCATCCCAGCCTTGAGAAGGTAGAGAGGTGTGATTGACAGGCAGCTGCAATGCTCAGATTCAGCTCTGAGGACTCTGCAGCAGAGGAGAAAGAACTTGCATAGCATGAGGAAGCCCTGGGTCAAATCCCTATTCTCAGCAACACTCCACACTCCACACCATGCTACACAGGCCTGCCAAGGGTGTGCATGGAGCTGGACAGGTCCTTGCTTTGCCTCCAAGGGTCCCCGATGCTGGGCATGACCTTTGCCCTCCTGGAACCTGGGAGTCCTTATCCCAAGGACAGAAAAGGGCCAACCACTTCATGGTGCTGTGATGAGGGTGCCATTTGGTAGCACCTGTTAGAGCCTGGCTTCCCAGGGACCCATGTACACAGCCCAGGCTTAGGCTCACCCACCCCGGCTGCCACTCACCACTGAACCACATGATGAACATCATCTTGGGGGTGATTTTGTGATCTCGGAAGAAGTTCAGCAGGTAGGACAGAGGGAAGATGTTGACGGCTCTGCCGAACAGTACCAGCACCTGTCAATATCAATATGTCAGTGTGGTGGAATCCACTGCGTCTTCAGGCTAACATCAGTGTAACACACCTGTCTAAGGCAGTCTCGCCCTCAGCCATAGACACACCCAACGGCACAGCAGAGGTGGAGACTCACACGTGGGCTGCTGCCCTGGCTCTGCCTGGGTGAAGCTTTTTGGTCTGACCTTTTGTCTCAGATGCTAGAAGAGGAGATAGCAAGCATCATTCTGGGCTTTAGTCACACAGCCTCAGAACAAAGGCAGCCACCACCAGGCTCCCAGTCTGGCCTAGAAACAACCAGCTGAGGACAACCAGGACTCCATAATCGGTGGGTTTATGCTAATCTCCCCCACTGGGGCACTGTGGGGAGAGGGACAACAGACAGGTACTCCAGTCTCTGCTCTGGGGTCTGGCTCCTCAGAGCAAGGAGGGTGGGCTGAGTGAGGCCTACCTGGGGGCACAAAGGTGGCTCAAGTCCTGGGCCTGCTGTGGGGTAAAGCCCCCGAAAAGGCTTCCTTCCTCCTGTAACCCACAACAGCCAAGAGGGGCTGGGGGAGGGGCTGGGGACAGGGCATCTGCAGCTGTACAGGGCTCTCCCCCTGAGATCTGTGCTCACAGGACAGAACTGTGACACAGGCAGGCAGCCACTCTAGATGGAGGTCACATGGGGATGGGGAAAGGACTCAATAGGACCCAAGAAAAGCGGGATCTCCTGCAGTTGATCGCACTTCTCCTTGTCTTTTTTGAGGCAGGATTCTGCTGTGCAAGCCCAGGCTGTTCTTGAACTCACCATGTAGTTAAAACTGCCCTTAAAACATTTTATTGGGGGCCTGGAAAGATGGCTCAGTGGTTAAGAGCAGTGGCTGCTCTTCCAAATGACCTGGGTTCAATTCCCAGCACCTACACCGCAGTTCACAACTGTCTATAACCCCAATTCCAGGGATCTGACACCCTCAAACAGACATACATGCAGGCAGAACACCAAGGCACATAAAATAAAAATAAATAAATCATTAAAAAAAACAAAAACAAGGGGTTGGGGATTTAGCTCAGTGGTAGAGCGCTGGCTTAGCAAGTGCAAGGCCCTGGGTTCGGTCCTCAGCTCTGGAAAAATAAAAATAAAATAAAAACAAAAAACCTCTTTGTATTGTCTTTTTTTGAGACAGAGTCTCACTGTGTAGCCCTGGTTGGTCTGGAACTTGCTACATAGACCAGGGTGGCCTTGAACTCACAGGGACTAAAGGCGGTACCACACCCAGCTGGCCTTAAACTTTTTATCCTCCTGCCTCCATCTCCCAAGCGCTGGGGTTCTAGGCACCCATTGCTGAGTTCTGGCTGAAACTGTATGTGTAAAGGCAACACACCATTCAAAACACTGAAAATGTAAAATGTCCAGACCTTAATGTCTGGGATCGTTTAAACAAAAGAGATTTTCAACAGAAGCATGTCTCTGTAGCTGTTGACTCTGAACTGGTAATAGTTACAAAAATGGTTCCAGACCATGTAGTTGCTGTTCTAAAAATAAGCATTCAATAAAAACAAGAAAAATACTTACTATGCACCAGATGACAAAGGAAATTTCAAACTTGTGAGGGAAACTAAAAATGGACAGGCCAAGAAATGCAAACACACACGTTTCTGAAAGAAACCAAAGAGTGGATTATTCACCCCAGTTCCTTCCTTACAATTCAGTAGTAACTTACGCAAGCATCCCCAAAGCCACACCAACAGCCATCTTATTTTCTGGAAAAATGTTGCAACAGATACTGTGGTCAGACTTTGTACTTCATCTTCATGTGTGTGGGTGGGTGGGTAGAGGGAGCAGATGGGTTGAGAGAAGGTCTTGCTGCTTGGCCCAGGCTGGCCTAGAATGAATCTGAGGGCTGGGACTGCAGGCGTGAACCACTAAGGCCAGCTTTCTGTTACTATCACATAGGCAGTATGCCCCTGGAGAATTCCCCAACATAATGAGTCAATTGTCAGATACTGTATGCAAATAAACAAGCTTCCACCTGTGCATCTGCTGAACACTGATCAGTCAGGGCCCATCATGGCAGCAAAGTGGCAAAAATTCCAAGCACTTGACTGTAGGTGCCACATGACAAGTGAGAAGGGGGACTTGAGTTAACTCCCTCCCAGTGCACTGTGCTAGCAGCACCCACTGGTGGACAGAATGTACTGATATTGGCTGGAGGTTCAAGAGGCAGCTAACCCACAGGGATTGTGGGAAGGACCCATCTGCAGGCGTGGTTGCACTCAGTGTACAACGGTCACTTGCGTGTGCTAAAAAGAGCACCTCATAAATTCCAGGCTCCTGATTAAATTATGGGGCTCAAAAGAAGAACCCAACAGAGCCCAACACCTAAGGAGACAGGCTGCATTTTAAATGTGATCATAAGCCAGCGAGGCTGTAAACTCACTTCAGTGGCATTTGTAGTGGCTGATGTACTCTTCAACGCAGCAGCCACAGCTAGCAGGGTGCTTGTCCTCCCTCCTCTCCCCGAGATGCCTTAGCTAATGCTGGGCGATCCTTCAAGAAAGTGCATTCAGGCCTGCTCCACTTTTCCCTGGCAGCAGGGAAGTGTGGTTGACTTAACCCATCCTTTCAGGGTGGTGGCCATGTAAGCTGCTTCCGGCAATGCAAGCTACATGAAGACAGCCTGGCGCACTGGCTAAACTTCTCATGGAGGAGCAGGTCAGGAGAGAGCACATGCCTGGTGAATTCCCACAGATGCTATGACGGAGCTTCGGGAGGAGATGGCATGCAGGTGCAGCCCCAGAGCTGAGCGTTAACCAGAGCTGGTCTGGGGCACAGAACAGAAGCCGAGAGGTGCACCGTTCTCTGCTCCTCCTTGTGAGGGCCAGGTCAGAGCCTTTGACCAAGGCTTTCTGCTAAGAGCTGTGGATCAAACAGCCACTGGGGCACTAGAGGCCTGTCTTCTAGCTTGTTCCTTGGCAATGGGCTATCTGGCCTCTCCTCACCTAGCCTCCCTACCTTGCACAGATAGCCCTGCCATCCAGGTTCTAAAGTGAAATGGCCCCTCGACACCAGGGGATGCTAAGATTGCAGCTGAGGCCTAGCCCCAGGATGTGTGTGTGTGTGTGTGTGTGTGTGTGTGTGTGTGTGTGTGTGTGTGTGTGTGTGCGCAGTTTAGAAGGATGCCTGAAGGTAGCACCTTTACTCCAGGTATGAACAGGAATGGGTACATGGTAAATGGAGGGGGAGGAAGTGCCAATTGTCACTGCTTAAAAAAAAAAGACCTCACATTTGTCCCAGGGAATGCGGCTCTGGAGTTTCCCCCAGTGCTAGGATGCCCTTGCTTAGAAACGCACAGTGCCCCTAGGTGGAAAGCTGTTAAAACATTTCCAAAGAGCCAGTGGTGGCACATGCCTTTAATCCCAGCACTTGGGAGGCAGAGGCAGGCGGATCTCTGTGAGTTCAAGGCCAGCCTGGGCTACAGAGTGAGTTCCAGGAAAGGCGCAAAGCTACACAGAGAAACCCTGTCTCGAAAAACCAAAAGAAAAAAAAAATTTCCAAAGAACAACTGTGGAGATCTCCACATTAACATCTGGAACATTCAGCAGCAGTTCTATCTTTGGCCATAAACTGCAGGCACCAAACGTCTTAAGTACTGTACATCTTTTATGGAATCACAAGCCACAGGAGCCAGCCCAGGAGGTAGGAGCATGATACTTGCTGGGCTTGCAAGAATTCTGGGCCCTGATGCCAAGGAAAAATCCTCGCTTACACCCCATCAGTGCAGGAATCCCAGTTGTGTGGGCACTCAAGAGGTGGGACTCACCACACAGGAAGGCCACAGTCCGGAGGGTCTGCTGCATGAGGATCTGGGTGACTGGGGAGAGGTTATGATGTGTGTAGTGTGACATCACGATGCCAGAAAACAGGATAGCCATGATGCCTGGAGAGAGGCAGAGGGCAGACATGACACAGAACACAGGGACAGGTGTGCAAGTCAGACCACACTCTTCCTATAATCCCAGAACCCTAACATCAGGGGTGTAAGAAAATGGGAGGGGCTGGAAAGATGACCCAGAGGTAAAGAGCAATGGCTCCTTTTCCTCAACAGGTCTCTCTACAGCCCTTACGTAAGGGTGGAGTCCTGGCATCAGGGAGAGCCCTCCTCATTCAGCAATACCTGCACCTGGGAACAAGGCATGCAGCTTGTTCTTTCCTGCAAGGCTGGTGCTCTTACAATTGGACAAATAGTGGGCACAGGGTCCACACCACTTAGGGCAGAAAGCTGACAGACAGGGGCTGCTGACTGATCCCACAGCATGGAAGGCTGTAGGAACCCGTGCTCAGTGGACAGCCCCTCCTCCTACACCTTGGAAGTACGTACCTTCTCCCGGGGTTCAGGGGGCCAGTCTTTGAATCTCACAAATCAGGGGGCCAGTGTTTGAATCTCACAACCTCAGAGCCTTGAGTAAGGAGTCAACTAGGTGCTCACTCCAGGGGGTGGCAAGGTTAAAATCTGAGTGTCAGCCAGTGAGGGAGAACATATCTGTCGCCTTAGCTACTAAGGAGGCTGAAGTAGGAAGATTTTGAGTTCAAAGATAGTCTGGACTAAATTCCCACTTCAAAAATCAAAAATCAATACATTTGACTGTGTCTAAGAAGCCCCGCTATATTATGGAGCAGCACATTTTTGTTTCCGTGTGTGGTTTCATGAGAAGCTTGCTGGAGGGAGTTGGTTAAGCAGGTTCTGAGCCAGTTCAGGGTCAAGACATCCCTGCTCTAATTCCAGCTGTGATAGCAGCAAATGTTTTGTTTTGCTTTTGTGCTGCATACACTGTATATACATGCTCAATATGGGCGTCTGTGTGCATATGGAGGTGGAGTTTGACCTCAGGTGTCTTCCTCTACTGATTTCATTTTTTTTTTTTTTTTTTTTTTTTGGTTTTTCAAGACAGGGTTTTTCTGTGTAGTTTTGGAGCCTGTCCTGGAACTCGCTCAAACTCACAGAGACGCACCTGCCTCTGCCTCCCAGAGTGCTGGGATTAAGGGCGTGTGCCACCACCGCCCGGCTTGGATCTCATTGTGAAGGAGGACTTCTCACTGAACCTGGAGCTCATCAATTCCACTAGACCCGCTGGCCAGCAAGCTCTAAGAATCCTCGTATCTCAGCGCCCCGCTGCTGGTCACAGACACACGCATGCTGCTACATCTAGCTTTTGCTCAGCAGCGTGGGTCCAAACTCATATCCTCATGCTTTCACAGGGACATTTTACCAACTGAGCCAGATCTCCAGCCCCTAACTTTTAAAACAATGACGTTGATCTAGGACTTTGTCTGTCTGTTCTTTGTCTATGTGTGTGTGTGAATGTATGCACACGTGGAGGGCAGAGGACAAATTTTGGAGTTAGTTCTCAACCTTCCACTATGGAAATTCTGGGGATCAAATTAAGGTCATCAGTTTTGGTAGCAATTATGAGGCAATTGCCTTCCCTTGCTGAACCATCTCATGAGCTTGATTGTTTCTCAGGTAGAATCTCATGAAGCCCAGACTAACCTTGAACATGCTATGTGGTGGAAGATGACTTTGAACTCCTGATCCTTCTGCCTGCACCCCCAACCCTCAACCAACAATGTACTATTCTTCAACCTCAGATTTTCTTGTGGTAAAACAGGGGCCATCACAGCACCTTTGTCTCTGCCAAGAAAAAGCACCTCAACGGACAAAACCTCTATCACCAGGCAAACCACCAAGCCAGGGTCACAGCGTGCTGGTGACTGTCTCTAGCCAGGGTCACAGTGTGCTGGTGACTGTCTCTAGTCAGGGTCAGAGCGTGCTGGTGACTGTCTCTAGTCAGGGTCACAGCATGCTGGTTACTGTCTCTAGTCAGGGTCAGAGCGTGCTGGTGACTGTCATTACCCGAGAGTGAGATCCCCTCTGCCAGCCCGTACGGCAGGTAAGCAAAAATGATCATCATGCCAAACTCCAGGGAAGGCGTTCTCCTCAGGTCAATGTGCTTCAGCACGTGGCACAGTGTCAAGGAAAAAGGAAAAGGCACTGGATGGATGCGCGGCAAGGCGGATACATAAAGCAGACGGCAGCACAGGAGACGCTGATCCTGGCACAGTTACATGGGGAATTTCTCATTACCTCACTTTTTCTTTGTAGAAATGAGAATCTGACAAGCCACTCAGAAACACTGACTCAGCTAGGGCTGCAGACACAGGTCACTCTACTGCCTGTTCTCCAGGGACTCATGGCCCTGCTGAAAGGCCTGTCTTTCCTGTCCCTGCAGAATACCACACTCATGCCCTGGGAACAGAGGGCCTGTGTTCCCAGGCCCCGACTGAAGCTGAGTTTCCATGTACTTGCCTCACTACAATATGCGGCCATACTCACTGCTTCTTTCCTTCTTTTCTTCTCTGCCCCTTCCTCCTCCTCCTCCTGCCTCTCTTTCAGAAAGGATCTTACTATGTAGCCCTGCTGGCCTCAAACTTGTGGGAGCCCTTTTGTCTCGGTTTCCCGAATGCTGGGATTACAGGCATGCACTGCTGTCTCTGGCGTGTTTTTCTTTAAATTTTTACATTGGATGTCTGAGTGCTTTGCCTATATGTCTGTGTGCCACATATGGACAATGCCCACAGAGGCCAGAAGAGGGCGTCTGATCCCCGGGAACTGGAGTTTCAGGTGGCTGTGAGCTGTGCTGGGGTGCTGGGGACTAAGTGTGGGTCCTCTGTAGGAGCAGCAGTGCTCTTCCTGCTGAGCTGTCCGTCTGCAGGAAACGCTGCACTGACAGTGTCATCCTCACTCTGCTTAATGACAGCTGCCAGCCAACTCAGGCAGCCTCGGACAGAGGACAGACCAGAACAAAGCCAGGATGGTGGGAAACATACTCAGAACCAGCTAGCTGACAGAGGAACTGCCCCAGGAGGGACATGTGGCCTACTCTGGAGCCTGTCCTAATTCTGCATGACAACTGTTGCCAGCAGTAGGGTCTCACTGCTGTGGAGCCTCGTTCTCTGCCCGACAGCCCTCAGCTGGAAAGCAGTTCACCGTGCAAACCAGGACGGTCCTTGCCATCCTTCCAGGTAAACTCTCCCCCAGGGAGGGGCTGTCAGGGGTCCACACTGTTGGGCTAGGGCGAGCTTTGTGGTTAAGAGCTGCCCCACAGAGTCTGGTTCCTAGCACCCACATCAAGCAGCTGACAGCTGCTTTCTTTCTTTCTCCCTTTCTTTTTTTTGAGACAGAGTCTCTCTACACAGCTCTGGCTGTCCTGGGACTTGCTCTGTAGACCAGGCTGGCCTTGAACTCACTGAGATCCATCTGCCTCTGCCTTCTGAGCGCTGGGATTAAAGGCATGCACCACCACCGCCTTGCTGCAAAACCTTCCTTTAAATAAACTTTAAAGTTGGGCTCTTGAGGAAGAGGAGAAAACAGTGAGCCTGGACACCATCCACGTGATCCTCGTGCTTTGTGCTCTCATGCTAAAAGGATATCAATGCAGAAATCAAGCCAGTCAGCGTGCCAAGTGCCGCAGAGCCAAAGAACATTTTGAGGAAGTACCCGAGGGCCTGTGAGAACGTCTGCCACCCACTGACATCTGACATATGTTTTCTTGTTAGACCTTCAGCCGTGCTAGGAAAGAAGAAAACAGAAAGTTAAGTGCTATAGACAGAGTCCTTAGAATCAGCTCTGACATAACTTACTGTTCCTTCCAGAACTCCCCCTTCCTTCCCGCCATTCCATTCACCACTGGAGGCTTCTATGGTCACCTGCTTGTCCAGGCACTGAGGTTGTTTCTGGGGCTCAGAGGTGAGGGCAAAGGTGATATCCTCAGGAGCTGCCCTGGGTAATGAAGGGGAAGGGCCAGGGCTGTGAAAACAGGGTGGGGGCATCTAACTCAGACTGGGGTAGAGGGTGACTGGGGTAGAGGGTGACTGGGGTAGAGGGTGACTGGGGTAGAGGGTGACTGAGGAAGGTTCCCCCAGGCAACACAGGCTGGGTCTCCATTTAGGAGAAAGGGTTCTCAGGCTGAGGAAACAGTGCCCAGGATTAGGGAGCTTGAGTGAGAACATTCAAGTATACGGAGGATACCAACTCCCCAGTGGACTACAGCCACACACTGTGTGTCAGAATGCAAGGGCAGAGTCCAGCTGCTGCTCAGGACATACCTGCAGTGGCTTCTCCCCTCAGTCACCTACAGACACCCTGCAGAGAGACTGGGAGTCCCTAGCTAACGGACTTCCCTGAGGAGCCAGGGCCCTTTCCCTGGGAAGTAAGTTGACAGACTTCCAAGGGTTACTGGTGGCCACGCACGCTGCTCCCACTTCCTCCCCTGCCTCCTCCCTGGAATCAGAGAGCCTCTACGCTGGCTTAGGCTGTGAAACCTTCCCATCCTCACAACAGTATAAACTAAACTCCCACTTCTGTCCATGGCATCTCTGTTGCTAGAATCTGAAAGGTCCTTGGAGCCCCTACCACGGGCTTGCCTCTCTGTCCGTGGTGTTAACAGCTTTCCCAATAAACTAGTGATCATCTCCCCCTAGTGATCATCTCAGTGTCCCTCATGGGCACGCCCCATTTCCCATCTCACAGCAGCTCAGCACTCTTTACTTCTGGCTAGACACATGTTGCCTGCTTACTAGAGCAGGGAGTGGAGTTCCACAGAATAACTGGTTGTCATAGCCGAGGACCAGCAGGGGGCTTGGGACCCAAGAAGAAATTAAAGCAGACTTACACCCTCAGGGCATAAGACAGGATTTCCTCCCCAGCTACTGACAAAAGAACTGATAGCAGCAAATTAAAGCCAGTAACGAGCAACTGCGAGACTGAGGTAGAAAGATCAGGAGTTCAAGGCCAGCCTGGGTTACAGGAGACTCTCTCTCAAAAACAAAAACCAACAAAGCCGCCAAACCACTAATTAAATAAATAAAGCTAAAAATAACCCAGGAGTTAAAGAACCAGAAGGACCCTTCTGGGAAAGGAAGGGAAAGGAGGCCATTCACTTGCATACTTCATTTGCATACATACTCGGCATAGGCGAGATGTCTGACAACTTTGGAAGGAACTGTTGACAAGCATCCTCTCAGAACCAAGGACAGACAGCAGCTGGGTTTTGGTAGTTCAAAGGACAATGAAAAGGGGACAGGCCTTCTATCCCCATTCTTCCTGCTTCTATCTCAAAATGCTCACTGGCCTGCAAGGCCTGGAGCATAAGACAGCCTTTCTGGAATCCTCCATGGCATTCCTGTCCCACTCTTTCATGTCTCTTCTCTTGGGCCCACCATGGACCAAGTAAGTCAAATCCGAGTGGAATCTAAACGCAAAGGCAGGAGGTGGACAACCCTTAGAGCATTTCTAGTCCAGAGAATCTGACTGTATGGAGGCGACCCATTCTAGACACACTTAATCCAGAGCCACCGCAGGAACTGATGTGGGCGGCCTCTGAAGGCACTCTTCCAGTAAGATGTGTAATGATGACATCTTTGCCCATTTGTTTCAAAAATATCTCTTCAACTTGGCAGTTGTGTGGCAGAGGCCTGAGAAAACTGACATTTTCCTACTGACAGATTTTTTTTTCTTCAAGGAAATCAGAGGCAAAGCAATTGAGTTCTGATCCTAAACATAAAAATAGCTATGTCATCACCTCCAAGAAGGCAATTCCTTATCACAACGCTTAGTGTGTGCACCAGGAGATGAGATGCAGGCAAAATCCAGAACTAAGAAGCTTTCAGAAAAGAATGGATTTTGGACACAAGGTCCCATGTAGTCCAGGCTGGCCTCAAATTCCTTATGTAGTGGAGGATGACCTTTAACTTTTGATCCTTCTGTATCTAGTTCCCAAATGTTGGGGTTATAGGTATGTGCTGCCAGGCACAGTTGTATGTGGTGCTCTGGATTGAACCCAGGACTTTGTACATGTTGGGCAAGCACTGTACCAACTAAGTTAAACTTTCAGGAAATATCTTACATCGAAAACCAGCTTCCGTCTATGCTCTAAAGGCCTTATGCAATGATGCTCAACAATTTCCCAACTAAAACTATAGGCATCTCTATCAAGAGGGGTGTGAGAAAGCCAGTGAGAGGGCAGTGGGTGAACATGGCAGTAAAGGGATACCCAGTAAATGATATTACCTTAGACAAATTTTTGTTTTGTTTTGTTTTTAGACAGGATTTCTCTGTGTAGCCCTGGCTGTCCTAGAACTCACTTGGTAGACCAGGCTGGCCTGAAACTCCGAGATCCCCTTGTCTCTGCCTCCCGAGTGCTGGGATTAGAGGTGTGAGCCACTAAGCCCAGCAACCTTGAACTCTTTTTTTTTTTTTTTTTTTTTTGGTTTTTTCGAGACAGGGTTTCTCTGTGTAGCTTTGCGCCTTTCCTGGAACTCGCTTTGGAGACCAGGCTGGCCTCGAACTCACAGAGATCCGCCTGGCTCTGCCTCCCGAGTGCTGGGATTAAAGGCATGCGCCACCACCGCCCGGCCTAACCTTGAACTCTTAACCCTCTTGCTTCCACTTTAAGGATTGTAAGTGTATGCCAACATTTTCTACCTTTTATATAGAATAACAGAAAGATTCTGAAATTTGGCTCCATTTTAAGGTTGAAGGAGGACTTCTTGCACTTGAGCATTGCTTGGCAAGATCTGCCTGCAGCAGTCGGTGAAGAGGTGACCTCGTACGAACAGTACAGGGCTAGAGGTGGAAGGCTGCCTCTCGAATAATGTTGCATTTGCCCACCTAGTCAGTCCTTCAGTTTAACCTGAGGCCAAAGCTGTATTACCTTCACTTTATAACTGAGGGACATAATCTGTCAGGAAGCTCAGAGAGAGGGAGAAGCTGGTCCAGAGTCACACAGCTGGGTGGGGTCAATAGGAAAACCTGTGCTCTGCACTGCAGCATGAGTTTTATTATCCATCTGCAGTACCTCGGATCCCATCAAAGGCAGAAACCCCAGTGAACATAAAAAGACGTAGTACAGTTTTAAGCCTCATGTGATGGAGCAGGACTCTTACCCCAGTCCTTAGGAGGTGGAGGCAGGAGGATCAGGAGTTCACAGTCATCCTTGGTTACAAAGTGAATCTGAGGCCTGCCTGGGCTACACGAGACTTTGTCTCACAGCAAGGGGGAGCTGGACAGATGGCTCAGCAGTTAAAAGTCCTCACTGCTCTTTTAGAGGACGCTGGTTGATTCTCAGCATCCATCCGCACTGCAGCTCACAATCATCTGTAACTCTAGTTCTTCTGCTCTCCGTTGGGTGTCCGTCTCTATGGAGCTGGACATGGCACCGTGGCCTCTAACAGGGTGAGCAAGCCTTCAACACTGGTCCACACTGCATTCACTACTCCAGCAATGCTGCCCAAACGCTAACCCCTCACTTGGCTGCCAATGGTCATCAATGGAGCATACGCCAGACCCACTGCAAAAGAGGCTATTAGGTGGGACCTGGGAATGTCATCTCTGAGAAGCCCTTCAAGGATGCTGAGAAACACAGACACAACTCCCTGCAACAGCATGGCTGTGACATAGTCCTGTGGCACAGACCCTTGTCAGAGTGGCAAGATGCAGAGGCTGTAGAGAGCTGATTATACGGGACCAACCTCTGTACTGGCATCAGTGTGGTGTCGGGACCTTCCACTCTCTCCTACTTACTTGGTTAGGACAATGGAGACTGCATCGTTGAGAATGCTTTCTCCAAACACCAGCATGTTGAGCACAGGGTCCACGTGCAGTGCATTGAAAATGGCGATAGTGGCTACTGGGTCAACCGCAGATATCAGGGAGCCAAATGCAAAACTGCAAGGAGAGAAGCAAGGGCAGATTCTGTAACGCATGGTGCTGGGTCCACACAGATGCACTTTGGCTGTGAGGCCGAGATGGCAGCTGAAGGGCCAAGAGAGAGGGCATGCTTTCCCACTGACCCCTGCCTAGCACAGGAGTGCAGAGGCCTAGATGCAGTGCTCAGAGCGCCTGCATCCTGGGAGCAGTGCTGCACTCTGTTCTGGCCAACGCTGTTCAGAAGACTGCTTACCTTGGCACACACTGCCCAGCTTTCTCAGCCAGAAAATCCTATAAACTGTTGTCTTTGACCTCTGCTCTGCCAGCAGGTCAATTGTGTTCACTGTGACCAACACCAGCCTCCACTCAGATTTGCAGCATCCAAGAAGGTGCCAAAAGCCAGCAGCCACCAGAATATCCAAGCCTGGGCTGCTGACTGGAAGCTGGGCCCTCAGGTCTCACAAGCAGCACTTGATCATAAGATCTACTGCCACCAATACCGGTCACCTGCCTATCAGGTTTTCAGGCCCTGCGGCTCACCAGCGAGCATCTCCCTAGTACATGGGCTCAGGCCCCAAGCCCTTCACCACTGACTGTCTAGCTCAGAGCTAGTGCCCCTGGCCTGGAGGGCAGGTATAGCAGTAAGCAGGGCCCAGGTCAACTTAGGAGGCGCAATGGTAGATGGGCTGGAGTGCCTGCTACACATGCTGGAAGCCCTCAGTTTGATCCCAAGCATCACAAACCAGGTGTAGGGGTACACACCTGTAACCCCAGCACTTGGGAGGTGTAGGTGAAGGGATGAGGAGTTCAAGGTCACTTTCAGCTACACATCAAGTTCTAGGCCAGTCTGAGCTCTGAGACTGTCTCAGGAGACCAAAGACATAAGAAAATGTCAGGTGCAGTAGGAAGGGAACCCAGTGCGTAGAGCTGAGACCACAGGAGGCGGCGTAATTGGAGTCATCTGACTGGTGACACCGAGTAGCCCTTCAGAAGTACTACTGGTGGGAGGAAGCCTATGAAGCAGGCCAGTCACTCCCCCAGTTATCAGTCTATAAGGTGGCAGTTCCCGGAGTGATAGATGCAAGAGTCTGAGGCGTCCAGGAGAGAACCAGACCCCACAGGATATCCACCTACCAGAGCTGTTTCCAGACTCTGCCTTCCTCAAAGTGAGCACATGCATGCAAGCTGTCTGTTACCTCTTTCTAAGGTCCCAGAGTGGATGCAGTTTTCACTTGACCGTGTTCTCAGGGTCTGAGCTGAGCACAAGCCAGAGCCACAGACAGAAGGTAGGGAAGAGGAATGAGGGAAGGCAGCCCCACCCACCAGCCAGGGGGCCACGGCCTTGAGGCCCTGCACTGCCACCAGAACCAGACTCAGACTCTCCACCTCCTCTTCACCCTCATCACCCACAGTAACATCAAGGAAGATGAACAGCTCAACTGTGTCACAGGAGGCCACAGTGGGCTGTGCTCTGCATGGAGGGCATTAGACACAGTCTCTGGTCTCACTGCCCAGCACCCACAGCCTCTGGGAGCTGTCCCCTGACTTTCTATCCTTATGTGCCAAGGGGCTCCAGGAGTGGGCACAGTGTACAAGGTTGGACCAGCTTTACCAGGTTCCTGGGATCAGACTGACCCTTAGTGAGGAGTGCCTGGAATGTTCTATGCTCCATGGGAGATAAACAAGTGAAGTGGACACCAGCGAGGGGAGCACTGGTTTGAGACCTCTGAGGGGAGAGTGTCCCGGAGGGTGCTGAGCTAGGCCATCATGCTTGAGACACTTTAGTCCTGTGAGCCAACAAGGTTCTTGGTTGTGAACTCTGTTCAGAGTGAGTTGCAGGTGCACAGGGAGAAACCTGGCCAAGGCACTTGTTACAGCCACTGCAGCCTCTTAAGTAGAAGTCTGGGATCAGGGGCCACAGGCATGCCTGGAGAGGGATGGACAGAGGGAAAGCCAGCACAGATGCTGGAGATGCAGGTGGAGAGGAGCTGCAGGCGCTCACTACACAGGGTCTGGATGTTTAGTCATACTCTTCAGAAGACAAAACTGAGGACATGCCTTGTGGAGAAAAGCCAGCACATCACACTGGTGCCTGCCGAGAAACCAGCTGACAGGGGTCCTTCTGGCCACGAGCCCCCTGAGGCCTCAAGAGGCCTGGGCCTGGTTCCACATCCACTGCCAGGACCCAGTCCTTGAAGGACTTCAAGCAACTGGCTCAAGCTAAAACCATGTTTCTTTATTCTTTCCCTCAAAGTTAATGATGCCAACGAAACGTGAAAAGACAGACAGGGTGGGGCTCCGGGAGGAGCAGGGACAAGCGGTGAGACACTACAGCCTACTCAGGCAAACCCTCACAGCAGAACTAGCCGAGGCCAGGCCCAGGGTACCAGTCACGGCTGTGTTCTCCGAAGAGCAGAAGAGAGACAGGCAGCCTGTGGGGCTGTGAGGAAATGATGTTGTAACACTCAAAAACTGGAGCAATGGGCTGGGCGTGGCACACCGTTAATGCTAGACAGAAGCAGAGACAGAGGCAGGTGGCCCTCTTCCATAAGTTCCAGTTCAAGGCCAGCCTGCAGTATAAAGTGATTTCCAGGTCAGCCAGGGCTACAGAGAGAGACCCTATCTCAAAGAGCAAACAACAAAATTGAAGAAAGGTATGGTGGTACACATTTATAACCCCAGCACTTGAAAGGTGGAAAAGCAGGAGGATCAGAAATTCAAGGTCATCCTTAGCTACACATCAGGTTCAAGGCCAGCCTGGGCTGCATGACATACTGTACCAACAACAACCAAAACCACATTAAAAAAAAAAAAAAAAAAACACCCGAAATAAAAACTAAAAAACTCTCAGTAAACATCTATAACTTGGCCTTTTAAAATCCATACTCTGGGGGCTGGAGAGATGGCTCAGAGGTTAAGAGCACTGCCTGCTCTTCCAAAGGTCCTGAGTTCAATTCCCAGCAACGACATGGTGGCTCACAACCATCTGTAATGAGATCTGGTGCCCTCTTCTGGCCTACAGTCATATATGCTGTATACATAATCAATCAATCAATATATCAATCAATCAATCTTTAAAAAAAATCCATACTCTGTGTGTATGTGTGATGTGGGGTAGGGTGGGAAGGGGGAGAGGAAGGAAGAGAGAGAGACTGACTTCTCAGCCTTTTGGCTAAGAAGATCTATCTATCTATCTATCTATCTATCTATCTATCTATCTATCTATCTATCTATCTATCATTTATTGGTCTAGTTATCCCTCTCTCCTCCCACAAGACAGCATTTCTCTGTGTAGCTCTGGCTGTCCTGGAACTCTCTCTGACCAGGCTGTCCTCAAACTCAGAGAGATCCACCTGCCTCTGCCTCTGGAATGCTGGGATTAAAGGTGTGTGCCACCATGTCCAGCCAGAGGTTTTTTTAAAGCATAGCAGCAGCACATACGTGTAGCATCTGCCAAGCACATGAGGTCCTGGGCTCCACCTCCAGCATAAGAAAACCTTTTTAAACATCTAGTAACTGCAGCCCATGGGTCCACATGGCAATTAGGAGGAGCTGAGCAATGCTGTCCCTTGCAGATAGCAATGCTCGCCTGTGGCCACCATTACCCTGGTAGCTTCCCTCTGCTAAGGCTCTGCTGTCTGTAACAACAGTCCCCATCCAATGGACAGAGCCTCCAACAGAAGGGTGCATCTGCACAGGTGAGGCTGGCTGGAGTTCTACCCACTCAGCCATGGATATTGCTTTTGTCTCTGCACCCAAATGTCCAACCCCTGGCTTGAACTCCATTCCAGACAATGATCAACACCGTGCTTCTTCACAAATATTCCCCAAAGCAGGCAGAACCCCGCCCCTTCCTCCATGTCAGGAGTGCTCCGAGCATTGCCTTTCCCTTGGAGCACACCTAGAAAACACCAGGTCCTGGTTCTCTGGTACTTCAGGCTCCTGTAGGAAGGAAGGTGACTCGGGCTGCTTGTCTATATATCAGACTTTCTGGGCTGCTCACACATCTGTAATCCCAACACTTGGAAGGCTGAGGCATGAGGATTGCCTCAAGTTTGGGGGCCAGCCTGGGTTATATATTGAGTTCCAGAGCAACCTGGGCTACAGAATAAGACCTTGTCACAAATAAGGAATACGTTTTTTTTTTTGTTGTTGTTTTTTTTTTTTTTTTAACAACAAAAGCTCTAATATTCCTGCCTGGGGAGGGTGAAGGATGGGCACTGTGAATCAAGCCTATTATCAGTGGCCCATTTCCATGAACAGGTTCTGAGGCTCTGGTCCGACATTGTCAGTTCACAGGGATGATCTAGAACTGAGGACTTGGCCCTCTTCCTCAGCTTCCACCTGGCCACAAGACAGGTATTGAGAGTGGGCACAGGGACACAGAGCAACCCACAATACAGACTTCTTGGCTGCACTAGGCTAGGTTCCTTTTGGGACTCTAGACCTGGTGCCTTCTGAAATAGCTGCCCTAGGTCCTGCTCCCTGAGTGGATTAATAAGATTCTAAGAGCTTCCAGAGCAGAAGGTCACGGCAGTGTCTACTGGAATGACTTCGCATTGAGAAGATGTCCATCCCAGGGCCGGGTCCTGCCTGCTTCCCCTGGTCTTGGTGGGAATTCTAGGGTCAGAGTTCTCACCTCATTCTCTCCCATTCCACACTTATGAGAAGGCAACCTCCTTCCACAATGGCTATAAAGAAAACTGAGGTTTTCGTTTGTTTGCTTTTACAGTGTTGATGATTGAACCCAGGGCCTCGTAAATGACAGGCGAGGGCTCCGCCACCATGTCATACATGCATCCCCAGCTCCAAAGATAACTCCTAATGAAAGGACAGAGAGTATACTTTGTGACTAGGATACGGGAGGGTAGTTAACTGGCCAGTCATTCCCTCCAAAGCTTAAACGAGATCAATCATTTCAATCAGCAATGTTGTGACCAGGGGTCTTCAAAAGTTTCAATATAATTCTGATTCATTTCAGAGACAATTAATTCAGAATAGATTCTATACTGGAAATACCAGCAAGCCAGGCAGAGGGAGAGGAAAGGACCACACCCAGAAAGCCACATGCAGAGAATGTCCCAGGCCTGGACAGCAGTCAATGAGAAAATTACAGTGTGAAAGATTTACCTGTCTGTCATGTTGAGTTTAGAGATTACATCAGCCTGTAAAATAAAACATACAAACACACAGACAAACACAAAAAAAAATTCCCTGGAGAACAGCCAAGAAGATTAAAATGTCCATCAGTGCTTTCTTATCAGCTAATAAGGACATCATCTTCAGTCCCCATGGAAATAAGGAAAATCCCCAAGGGCTGCTGTGAGCATGCATGGGCATTTAGACCCGAGCGAGGGCACAATTCTTTCTTCCAGCCTGGCAGCTGTGGTCCTCTGCTCTAAAGGTGGCTCCCCTTCACCCCGAGGGAACACAGTGAAGGCGAGCATCTAGGAAAGCTACAGGGCAGACTTGATCTTGGCTGTGAGACAGCCATGAAGGTAACGACATCAGCAGGAATGGCTGTGGCTACCAAGAGAAACAGCAGCCACATGAACAGAAATGTACAGCCTCAGCCCGGTGGGTTCCCAGCACAGCCTCAGCCTGGTGGGTTCCCAGCACAGCCTCAGCCTGGTGGGTTCCCAGCACAGCCTCAGCCTGGTGGGTTCCCAGCACAGCCTCAGCCTGGTGGGTTCCCAGCACAGCCTCAGCCTGGTGGGTTCCCAGCACAGCCTCAGCCTGGTGGGTTCCCAGCACAGCCTCAGCCTGGTGGGTTCCCAGCACAGCCTCAGCCCGGTGGGTTCCCAGCACTGGGCTCAGCCTGGTGGGTTCCCAGCACTGGGCTCAGCCTGGTGGGTTCCCAGCACTGGGCTCAGCCTGGTGGGTTCTCAGCACTGGGCTCAGCCTGGTGGGTTCCCAGCACTGGGCTCAGCCTGGTGGGTTCCCAGCACTGGGCTCAGCCTGGTGGGTTCCCAGCACTGGGCTCAGCCTGGTGGGTTCTCAGCACTGGGCTCAGCCTGGTGGGTTCCCAGCACTGGGCTCAGCCTGGTGGGTTCCCAGCACTGGGCTCAGCCTGGTGGGTTCCCAGCACTGGGCTCAGCCTGGTGGGTTCCCAGCACTGGGCTCAGCCTGGTGGGTTCCCAGCACTGGGCTCAGCCTGGTGGGTTCCCAGCACTGGGCTGCTGAACTCTCTCTCTGCAAATGACACAAGGACGGAGGTGCACAGCATGCACCAGGGAGGTCTAAGCGCTATCTTCTGAGGCTTTCATTCTAGTTGAAGTAAACTGATGTGAAACCCAGAGCCCAGAGCATGGGCCTCATCAAAGGGCTGACGATGGCAGGGAGCATCATGGGAACTGAGAGAAGAGAGTCATAGGCAGCTCCGGTTAAAACGTAAATCTCCATCCAGGAACAAGCTTCCCCGGATGGCAGCTGCCCTGAGAACACAGCTAGCACTGCTCCAAGCTGCAGTACTGCACACCACACCACTCTGCTTCAAGGCATTCCAACTGAAGAGACCAGTTTGCAAGTAAAATCAAGCATCAGGGGTGATTGCAGTCCCCTCAATTCTAGATACCCTAGTCACATGCATGAGCGGGGACATCCTCCTAGGAGGGCACACACTACCAGGCAGTTCCTGCCCCACCCTGTACTACCCTCCAATAGAAGATCTTCAAGGTCATCAGGGGTGCTTTTCTTACCTGACCCAGAAAGTAAATCCCTCCACCTACTACAAAAGCAGAGATCGCCGTTCCAAAGACAGCAAAGAGGGTGATGGAGCCGATGTTCTGAAAGAAGTTCCCCTGGGAGGGGGGAGCAGAGGGACAAGAGGCCAACTGGTGAGCCAGGGAAGCCCCAAATAGCCTTCCCCCAACTGTACCTTCCCCAAGGCTGGGCCCTCACACAAAGGCCAGGGCATCCTTCTCTGCCCTGCACTGCTAGCTGGAATCCCTGCCACCATCTCCCTGCTTTCCTGTCTCACAGGTCCCTCACCCTGACCCAAGGCAAGAGCTAACCAGTCTCACCTGTCCCCAGTCCCTTTACCTCTACGGTCTACTGCTTCCAGAGTGACCTCTGCCAAGGCTCAGCCTGATGGTGCTGCCTCTGCCTTGATTCCCACTTGCACTTGAGATGCAGGTGAGCCCCAACCCTAGCTGACCCTGGGAAGGCCTGTGTCTTCGTATGTCAGCCTGCTGCCTTGTTGCCTGGGCCCTAGTCACAGGGGTGTGCCCTGACCCTGCTTGGTGTGCCCTCTGCTAAGCCTCCTTCGGAGTTGTCGTCATTGGTCCTGTCCCCCAGCGAGCTCTTTCAATGGCAGCTGCGTTCTAGCACTCACTTATCTAACAGCTGACTGACACCTGCCTTTCTCACAAGGCTGAAGGCTCAGTAGGAGCAATGGCATTGGTCATATGGACGATGTTCAATACACAGGTGTGGAAAGAATCAACCCTGGTCCACGTTTGGTCTCAATCTAAAATCCACACTATCACAGTTTTCTACTCAATTAAAAGGTGCATTTGAAAAGGCACCTAAGCTCAGAGATCAGAACAATGGTCAGTTAGGTCCCAAAGAAACGGGACAAATGGCTGAGTACCTATTACCACATCAAAGCAGAAGCTGGATGCCAGGCTCTTCAGCATCCCAAATACCTGTTACAGAGTCCAGGCTCCTCTCAGAACTTCTCACCCAGTCCCCTACACTAAACCTCTCCAGCCCCTGAGCATCTTTCCTATAGAACTATAGGCCACAGGTTCCCTTGGCTCTGCTCTTGGATCTCTCTTGGTCCGCTTGCGCCCTCCCCCGCCTTTCTCTCCTCTCATGACCCTGTCTATTCTGCTAGCCATGTTCAGTCTGGACCTTTCTAGATGCCTCTAGCTGTTCTCTCCCTCATATTTACACTAAAAACCTTAGCCATACCTAGGATTTACCATTCTTAGTTTCAGTCAGTTAGGAAGTCCTTTATGTGGTATTAGCATCATCAAATAGACAGGCAGAGATCTCACTGCAGCGGGGCTAAATTGGTAGAGTGCTTGCCTGCCATGCATGAAACCTTGGGTTTAACTCCAGCACCGAATACAACAGGTGCTGGGACACCTGCTGTAACCCTAGCACCTGGGAGGTGTGAGCAGGAGGGTCAGAAGTTCAAGGTCATTCTCAGGCACATAGAAAGTTCCAGGCCAGCCTGGGCTATGTGAAACCCTATCTCAAAAGAACCCAAACCATGAAAGAGAGAAAATACTTGGGTTCCAGCAGCATGGAAAGTTTCCACATTTCCACACGGTGAAGGAAATGAAGCTACTAGAACCTCACACTCCCCTCAGGGGCGCCACCAAGGGTTTCAATGACCAAGGATTCTGTTCCTTGTTTCTAGGGTCAAGGTTTACTTCAAGAGTGTCCTCTGGGGCTGGAGAGATGGCTCAGGGGTTAAGAGCACTGACTGCTCTTCCAGGGGTCCCGAGTTCAATTCCCAGCAACCACATGGTGGCTCACAACCATCTGTAATGACATCTGGTGCCCTCTTCTGGCCTGCAGGCATACATGCAGGCAGAACACTGTATATGTAATAAATAAATCTTTAAAAAAAAAAAAAAAAGAGTGTCCTCTGGGGTAGGGTTGGGGGAGAAATGGCTTAACGGTTAAGGCATTTCTGTGGCTACGTGTGGTGGTACACACTTTTAATCCTAGCACCCAGGAAGCAGAGACACAGTGAGGTCCAGGCTAACCAGGGCCACACAATGAGATCTTATCTCAGAAAAAAAAAAAAAAAAAGCCCGCCCAGAAGTTCGGGACACCTGTACAGGATCAGGAAGGAGGGGCCACTGCTGTTGAAGGTCCCAAACTCCGTGGAGCCCGCCCTACCGAACAGGAGTAGCCACCCCCACCTAAGCACTGCCCCAGGCGAACCTTACCTTGTGCAGTGAATAACCGGACTCAAAGATGATAGGTGGCAGCAGGAGAAGGAAAAACATGTTGGGGCGAAACATTTCTTCCTCCTGTGAAAGGGAACACGCACATCCGTGAGACCTCGATATCCGTCAGTGGAGAGCTGAGCAATCCTGTGCTCAGGGCCCAGCCTGGCAGAAACCTACGACGCTGAAGCAGTGTCTGGTGACACACCAGGCAGAAACGATACATCCCGACTGCATCTGACAGACAGCACAGGGCCAGTCTGACTTCCAGAACCCTGTCACAGGGAAGGGCGGCTGACTGCTCCAAGTCAAGGATGCTTTGGAGGTGAGCATTTGCAGTGGGGTTACAGTGCCCCTCCCCCAATGCAGTCCACCAGGAAGTTCAGACTGTGACCTAACTTGGAAACAGGGTCTTTGGAGGTCAGGCTAAGAACGGAAGTGAGGAGAGATCGGAAGCCGATGACAAGGGCCCAGGCCACAGACAGTGTGTTTGCTTTGCTTCGTCATTTCTCGGTGCTGCGGTTCAAATCTAGGCCTTAGAGTCACTGAGCTAAGGGAGCCTCCTGCAAGTCAGAAAAGGACAAACGGGAGGACCCCACGGGAAGGCCCCATGAACCTTTTGGCCGTGTCCCAAGACTGGTCTGAGGTGATTATGGTTGGGTCCAGCACCACCACCCACAGACCAGGAAACCTGGGTTGTTTTTTTTCCCCTTCAAAATTTTGCTTTCTTGTCAGGCATGGTGACACACTCCTTTGATCTCAGCACTTGGGAGGCAGAGGCAGGAGGATTTCCTGTGAATTCAAGGTCAGCCTGGTAAATAGCTAGATTCAAGACAGCCAGGACTCTGTCACAAAAACAAACAAATAAACAACAACAACAAAAACACAAGAAAATTAAATTTTGTTTTCTTAATTTTCTTTCTTTTTTTTTTTTTTTTAAAGATTTTTCCTGGGGCTAGAGAGATATATCAGTGGTTAAGAGCACTGATTGCTCTTGAGGAGCCAGGCTTGAGTTTCAGCACCCACACCGAGGTTAACAACCATCTATCTGTTACTCCAGTTCCAGAGGATCTGATGCTCTCTTCTGCCTTCTGTGGGTACCAGGCACACATGTAATGCAGATATACATGCAAACAAAACATAAATTTCAAAAAAGTAAGTGTGTGTGTGTGTGTGTGTGTGTGTTCTAATGTGTGTGTGTGTATGTGTGTGTGGTCTAATGTGTGTGTGTGTGTATGTGTGTGTGGTCTAATGTGTGTGTGTGTGTGTGTGGTGTAATGTGTGTGTGTGTGTGTGTGTGTGTGTGTGTGTGTGTGTGTGGTCTAGTGTGTGTGTGTGTGTGTGTGTGTGTGTGTGTGTGTGTGTGTGTGTGTGTAGACCGGAAGAAGGGGTTAGGTCTCTGGAGAGTAAATGGATGTTTGTGAACCGCTTGCCCAGCACGGACACTGGGATCCAGTCCTCACAATAGAGCAAGTACTATTAACCACAGTCATCTCTCCACCTATACCCCCACTTAGATCTTTTCAAATCCTAAGTATTCACAAGCACCTTAGTCTGCAGCCCAGGCTACAGCCCTGGGCTCGGCCCCTTGAGCAGCCCCTGACTTCATTTGCATCCAATCTATGTAGGCTGTAGGGGTGCAGCTCAGTGATAAAGCCCAGCTTAGCATGCTCAAGGCCCTGAGTTCCATCCTCAGCACCAAATTAAATGAATGACCACCCAGCAGGGTCCATGGCATTCACATGTAGTCCCAGTTACTTGGGAGACTGAGGCAGGAGGATTGACAATTCCAAGCAAGCCTGGGTACAGAGAGACTCTGTTTCAAAAAAACAAACCAAGCCAAGTGTGGTGGCAACTCCTTTAATCTCAGCACTCAGGAGACAGAGAAGAGATCTATCCCTGGCAATAAAACAAGAAGATATATGCATACTCGGAATCCCAGCACCAGGGAGGCAGAGACATGATGGTTCCTGGGTTCCATGGCTTACCAGTCTGACCTACATAATGAGTTCTAGGCCAGTGAGAGACCTTTCTCAAAAAACAAGGCGGACAGCACCAGGAACATGTGACACCTAAGACTGTTGACTCTGGTCTCCATACATGTGCTCATGCATACACACACACACAAAGACAAGCAAAAGCTATGATTATGTAAACCTACCTTCCAATTTGCCAGCTTTTTAAACTCAATAATTTTTATAACTGCTCCCATGAGAATACCTGGAAGGAAAAAGCAAAGCTCAATAGAAACACAACACAAGGATACTTGGCTGGACTGGGCAGTACTCTAGACTGGGTGGTACCCACTGGGGCAGGCTGCCCTAGAGTTCAGCAGGTCTGTGTCTGAGAATAAAAGGAGGAATTACCATGAAGTGGTGTAAATCACTGTGAATTTCCCACTTATATCTCAAATGAACACACCATGGCTAAATCTAAGATGCGTGGAGAGAAGAAAAACCTACTTGTCGCTGCTCTGCCTGGTGTGGAGGGCACACGGCTGGCCACCCTTCCTGTACCACCCAGCGTCAATGAAAGACAGCAGAGGATTAGAGGCCAGGCGTGCCCAGGACTACTTATTCTTACCATTAAAAATGGGGGCTGGGGGTGGGGTGGCTCAGTTGGTGAAGGCATTGACCACTAAACCTGATGATGTGAGTTCTAACCCAGGACCCACATGCCACAAAGAGAACTGACTCCCAAAAGTTGTCCTCTGACCTCCACATAAGCACAACGGCAAGGGCACACGCACAACTGTTGTGTGGGACTTATAATGGAGGGCAGCCCGAGGTGAACAGAGGCCAGTTCAGAGACTGACCTCAAACTGTGTAGCTAAGGAGAGACTTGAACTCCTGATCCTTCTACCTCTGATTTTTTTTCCTTTATTTTCTGCAGTGTTATTCAATTTTGTGTCCTTTTATTTTTAAAAAACACACTGGCCATAGTGACACACACCTTTTATCCTAGCACTCAGGAGGCAGAGGCAGATGGATCTCTATGAGTCTGAGGCCAGCCTGGTCTACATAGTGAGTTCCAGGACAGCCAGGGCTACATAGTGAGATCCTGTCATGAAAAACAAACAGACGGGACTGGAGAGATGGCTCAGTGGTTAAGAACACTAGCTGCTCTTCCAGAGGACTCAGGTTCAAATCCCAGCACCCACATGACAGCTCATAACTGTCTGTAACTCCAAGATCTGACACCCTCACACAGACATTACATGCAGGCAAAACATCAACGTATATAAAATAAAATAAGAGGCAGAGCCAGGCAGATCTCTGTGAGTTCGAGGCCAGCCTGGGCTACCAAGTGAGTTCCAGGAGAGGCGCAAAGCTACACAGAGAAACCCTGTCTCGAAAAACCAAAAAAAAAAAATCTCTTTGCCGGGCGGTGGTGGCGCACGCCCTTAATCCCAGCACTCGGGAGGCAGAGCCAGGCGGATCTCTGTGAGTTCGAGGCCAGCCTGGTCTACAGAGTGAGATCCAGGAAAGGCGCAAAGCTACACAGAGAAACCCTGTCTCGAAAAACCAAAAATAAATAAACAAATAAATAAATAAATAGAAAGAAAATTGATTAAAAAAACAAACAAACAAGGAAAAAAAACCAGACAGAACCAAACCATCAAGTCCATATATGCTGCCCACATATACTCTTGGATATGTGGCCTTCTCCAGGGGCCATACCCTCTTCCCTCTCCCAGCTGTGAGCTGTCTGGAAGGAGCAGAGATCAGCTGAGTGAGTGGCCTGGAAATGCCAGCTCTATTTGCTGAGCTGCCGGAAGGCCAACCCCAGGTCTCCCTTCCGTGAGCTGTCACCTATGCTGGGGTGGGCTTTGGTGATTAGGCTGTCTTTGAGTCATTTCTGCTCCTGTGAGTAATGTCCCCAAACACAGAGCTATCCAGGAAGCTGTGAACAAGGAACGTACAACTGGAATTGTTTCTAGAAAGTGAAAAGACAGCGAGGCTCTCCTTCACAGTCAAGTGGAAGGGAAGTGTTTTAAGTGGGCGGAGCTCCTCTTAACCTCAACACAGAAAGAAGGCCAATACGCAGGCGCTAAGCCGCTGCAGGCCACATGTACCTAAGGGACAGGCTCGCTTCCTTTCAGCCTCGTGTGGAGCTGTTCTTGGCACAAGGGTCGGACATTCTTCAAGTGGCCATCTCAGCACTGTGACACCACACTCCAGCTGGAGAAAGGTGTTCTTTCCATTTCAAGTCATTTAAAAATTAATTCATGAAAGGAAGATAGAGCAATGATTCACTAAGTACAGAATCTCTGTTTTGTTGTGCTGGAAAAAACCCACAAATGGACAGTAGTATCAGGACATAATATCATGAATGTAATAAATCAATACAATTAATGTAATAATGAATATCATAAATATAATTATTGAACAAATACTGCAAATGTAATCAATGAATACCACAAATGTAATTAATATCATGAGTATAATTAATGAATATCATGAATGTAATTTAAAAAATAAATTAATTAAAAAATAAAGGGGCTGTTTACATTAAAAAAAAGAAAAAAAATTAACTCATTTTATGGTGGGGGGTGTCATCCATGCCATAGTATGTAGAGCTTAGAGGACAACTTGAAGAAGTCAGTTTTTACCTTCCACCCCATGTGGAAGCTGGGGATCAAACTCAGGCTGAAGGCTTGGCAGCAAACCCTTTTACCACCCCCCCCCCCAACCACCTTGCCAGCCCCAGGTTACTGTGGGCCGTCAGTTCAAGAAAACAACAATAAACCAAGACTCCCGCCTTCCTGTCGGTCCCCTTGGCCATACTCAGTATCTACCTTTGTCTTTCAGCCATGTACTTGCAAGATGACTACAGTGCTCCAGGCATCGTATATTCAACTGCAGCAGCAAAGGAAGGGGAGGCTAACTTCTCTAGATTCTACCAGGAAGGAAAAAGTTTTCCAAACCCCACCACCCTGGCATACTTCCATTTGGCCCAATTGTCTTACCCCTCTCAACCAGTCACATCAAAGAAACATGTAATATCATGATAGCCAAGACCAAAACTATCCGAGCACCCCTTCCTTCTTGGACCCCACAGAAAGATGTCTGATCAGAATGAGAATTCTGCTGGGTGATGGTGCACACCTTTAATCTCAGCACTTGGGAGGCTTAGGCAGGTGGACCTCTCAGTTCGAGGCCAGCCTGTTCTACAGAGGGAGTTCCAGGACAGGCAGGGCTACCCAGAGAAACTGTCTCGAAAAACCAAGGTGGTGAGAATATAACTCAGTGGGAGAACAACTACCTGCCTAGCACCTGTAGGGCCCTGAGTTTGGTCCCCGGCAACAAAATCCAAGTATAAGATAAGGTTCTATTTCCAAGAAACAAGTGGCAAAGGGCTCTTGCCAGGCAGTCATGTGTTAGGGAGCCACAGTCACCCACATTTAACAGTCTGTCTATATATGTGCATGTGCACATGCTCACAAGTAGGTATTGGACCCTCTGAAGCCACAGCTGGTTCTAAATTCAACTGTGTCCTCTGGAAAAGCAGCAAGTGCTCTTAACCACTGAGCAACCTCTCCTGCCCCTAATTTTTAATTATTATTTTATTTTTATTTTTATTATTATTTTTTCTTTCCGGAGCTGAGGACTGACCCCAGGGTCTTGTGCTTGCTAGGAAAGCACTCTACCACTGAGCTAAATCCCTAACCCTTAATTTTTTTTTTAAAAAAAGATTCATTTAAAAAAATGTTTGATGTGTGGCTGTTTTACCTCATGTGTATCTGTGCACTACAAGCATGTCTGTTGCCTAAGGATATCAGATTTTCTAGAACTAGAGTTACAGATGGTTGTGAACTACCCTGTGGGTGCTGGGAACTGAATCCAGGCCCTCTGTAAAAGCAGCCAATTTTTCTTCTTTTTCCCCCCACCAGACAGGGTAGCCCTATTTAGCCCTGACTGTCCTGGAACTTGATACATAGACCAGGTTGTCCTCAAACTCACATAGACCTGCCTGCCTCTGCCTCCTGAGTGCTAGGATTAAAGGTGTGCACCGGGCCCAATATTTACTCTTTTTTTTTTAATTATGAGAATGGGTGGTTTGTCCTCATGTATGTCTGTGCACCACCTGTGTGTAGTGCCCAAAGCGGCCAGAAGAGGGCATCAGGTCTCCTAGAATTGGAACAACAGACAGCTGTGAGCTGCCCAGTGGGTACTGGAAATTGAACCTGGACGCTTTGGAAGAGAAGCCTGTGCTCTTAACTGCAGAGCCATCTCTCCAGCTCCCCAATGTTTACTCTTAATAAATGGTAAAAACTATCCAGGAAACTGTCAATTCCCTGAGGTAGCTTTTTAACCCTTTACTGAAATGCCCCAAAAAGGGAGGGAGGGAGGGAGGGAGGGAGGGAGGGAGGGAGAGAGGCAGGCTCTGGTGCTACAGGAGCCATTTGCCAGCTGTAAAGCCAGGGCCCTTCTAACTGCGACAGTGACTTTGTAAGCTAGATGCTAGCCACCAACTTAAGTGGAGCTGGACACTGCCATGGTGAGAAGCAGTGGGCTACAGAGAGAGCCTCTGGGTCAGCACCCTTGTTAGAGCCCCACCACACACACACACACACACACACACACACACACACACACACACACACACACACACACACACACAGCGTAAAATGGACTCTAAGGCCCTGTGACGAGCTGTGAAAAGGATGGCAGGAATTGGGAGAGTCACACATCCTTACAGACCTGGCACCAAGGTGGCCCCAGGAGAAACGGCGCTGTTGTGTATGGTGTGGTGTTCTGGAATGGACTGCCAGTGTCACTTACCTAGAGAGACGACAGCCACACTCTCAGGCAGGAAGTGCAGTCGGTACCGGATCAGCAGGTGCACCAGGATGATGCAGATGGCTGTGAGAAGCACAAACGCTGTTTAAAAGCCCCACCAGGCAAGAGACAGCATGCTCAGGGCAGTGGCTGTCAGCTAACAGACATTTGGCCAGCAAACAGTGAACACTGGTTCTATTTTTAGTGTCTTCTTCCTTTTTTTTTTTTTCCTCCCCACAACACCAACAACAGACTATCTGTACAGCCTATGAGATGGCTCAGCAGACAAAGGCACTTTCTGATAAACCTGACAACCGGAGTTGGATTCCCACGACCAACATGTAGAAGGTGAGACTCTACTTCTGAGGTGTCTCACCTTCTCAGATATCTAGGTGTGCTTTTGACACACACACACACGCAAAGAAAAAGGATCTTTATTTTTTGTATATATGAGTGAGTGTCTGCATGTATGTGCACCATGTGAATGCAGTGCCCGATGGAGGCAGGAGAGGGCACTGGATCCCCTAGAACTGAAGTTATAGGCTACTGTGAGCTATTGTGTGTGTGCTAGGAGTCTGAACTTGGGTCCTTTGCAAGAGCAGGAAATGCTCTTTATCACTGGGCCAGCTCCAGCTCCACAAATGGTTTGTGGGTTTTTTTTCCTTGTTTTTTGATACAGGGTCTCACTATGTAGCCTTCATTTGTCTGAAGTCAGTTAGTAACCAGGCTGGCCTCAAACTAAAAGAGCTCTGCCTGCCTCTGTCTCCTGAGTGCTGGGACTAATGGAGGGCAGCACCTATTTCTAAAATTATTATGGGGCATGCCACAGCAGGTACAACTCTGGCTACAGTCCTCTCCTTTGCTCCTTACATGGGTCCTGGAGGTGGAACTCGGGTCACTAGGCTAGCTCGGCAAGTGCTTCCACCTACTGAGCTGCCTTGCCAGCCCTCTAACAGCAGATTTTTAGAGCTATGAAGCTTTGACAGCCACTTAAAATGATTCAGTTTCCTGATTATGATGACTGTCCTGCTTTCTTCTTTCTTTTTACTGTTAGGTTTTTGGTTTTGTTTCTGGTTTGTTTGTTTGTTCGTTCTAAGACAGGGTTTCTCTGTGTAGCCCTGGCTGTCCTGGAACTCACTCTGTAGACCAGGCTGGCCTCGAACTCACAAAGATCCGCCTGCCTCTGCCTCTTGAGTGCTGGAATTAAAGGTGTCCGCCACCACCGCCCGGCTTTGTGGTTTTTGAAGCCTTGGTCTCAGGTAGCCTATGTTGCTACACTTGCTATGTATGGGAGTACGGAAGAATGGCCTTGAATTTCTGATATTTTCGCCTCTACCTTCCTAGTGTTGGGATTATAGGTGCCCAGTTTATGCTAGGACTGAACCTAGGGTCTTGTGTGTTCGGCAAGCTCTTATCAACTAACCTACATTCCCTGCCCAAAAAATACAACAGGTTATATAGTGAGATCCAACCTTAAAATAAATAAGTAAATACATACATAAATACACACAGATTGGGTGTTCTCTGAGTTCAAGGCCAGCCTGTTCTACACAGTGACTTCTAGGACAGCCAGGGCTACACAGTGGAACATCTCATCTTAGGGGGCAAGAGAAAAGCCAGTAAGATGGCTGGAAGAAATGGGGAATACTTGCTCAACAATCTGGGTGAGAAACCAGCTCCTGAAAGTTGTTTTCTAACTTCCACATGTGTGTGGGCACAAATACACTAATAAAAATAATAAAAATTCTGGCCCCCAAACTCTACTCTTATGTATTTGCATCATTCTAAATGTTACCTTGTGGTCCAGATGCTAGTGTGCTTGGCTCTCCAGTCCTGAGGCCACACCCCAGTTTACTAACCACAGAAGAGCACCAACAGGGTGTTGTGATATGTGACTAAGGCTAGTCTGGTTCTTACTTGGTAGCCCTCAGTGGTCCTGAACTCATAACAATTCTTCTGTTGCAGATTCTCAAGTATTAGGATTACAGGAAGTCGTCACCATGCCCAGCTCTAGAAATAATTCTTAAAAGAAAATGTTCAAACGTTGGCTCAGTGGGTGAAATGCATGAGTTGAGTTCACGGCACCAGCACTAGTGTAAAAAGCTGAGCTGGGCTCATCTCTGCAATCCCAGCACTGCGGAAGTGAAAACAGAAGAGTCCCTGGGGCTCCACCAGCCTGGCTGTGTCAGTGTGTTCCAGTTTCCCCGAGAGACTCATCTGAAATGTGAGGACAGCAGTTGAGGAAGACACCTGAATGGACCCCACCTTCCACAGGCATGTAGGTACAGATATGCATATACTACACTCATACCACAAGCACACATAGAACACAGACAGACAGACAGAGACAGAGAGACAGAGACAGAGAGACAGAAAGAGAGAGGCCCTGAATCTGCGGAGCACTAACAGACCGCCCTCAGAGTTTACACTGACAACTGTGATTTCTTCAATTCCATCAAAAAGACCAGATGGCCAGAGGAAGCAGCTGTCAATTCACAAGTCCCGCCCTCTTTTCCATCTGTACTGTACACTATCAATCTGTGATGTCGTTTCAATGTAAATATGTAACCTAGTCAGTGAATGAAAAAAAGAAATAAAGAGGAAAGGAAAGGACAGGACTGCTTCTAGGTATGGTGGAGGATTAAGTTTATTATAGATAAAAGGAAGAGCATAGCCACAGTCAGTCAGACACACATCTGCGAGAGTCCAGAGTGATCATGACCAGACTGAGCTGGGCCAGGAGAGGAAAGGGGGGGAAATGGGGGAGGGAGAGGAGGAAGAGAAGATACAAGTACAGCAGCCAGGAGGTGAAAGGTACTAAAAGAGGCGGAACCAAGATGTTTGAATTATATAGGGAAGAGCCTCTGGAGGAAGGGCAGCCCAGCTCCTGGGCTGCAGAGTTCAGGGTAGAGGGTGGGGTATGCCAGCCATACTCTGTAACAGGTAGGGACTGAGGGATGCTGGGAGAACCCGGAGGCCAGGTCTGCTGATATGTTAATTAGGCTCCTCTGCCTTTTGTCCTGTTTGTACTTTGACACTTAACAATTAGAACATCTTACATTCAACACCGAGCAGATGTGACCAACACCCTCTTGCTGAGCCAGAGCTAAGTAAGCACAGGAGACATGAGCCTATGAGATGAGAGAAGGGAGGTCTCTGTTGCTTGTAACAAGCTAGGTTTGTTTTAATTTATGTGTATGTCTGTCTGTATGCAAACACGCATGGGGATGCACATGGAGGCCAGAAAAAATGTGGTGGTTTGAAGGAAGATGGCCCCCAAAGGGAGTGACACTATTAGGAAGTGTGGCCTTGCTGGTGGAGGTGTGTCACTGTGGGAGTAGGCTTTGGGGTCTCCCATGCTCAAGCTGTACCTAGTATCATAGTTCGCTTCCTGCTGCCTGGGGGTCAAGATGTAGAACTCTCAGCTCCTTCTCCAGCACCATGTCTGCCTACATGCTCCCATGTCCTGCCATGATGACAATGGACTGAACCTCTGGAACTGTACCTGCCACACATTTCAAAGACCATGCTAGCACCCCAACCCTTCTCACCTCCTCATACCCCAAACTCTCTCCAGCTCACAGGCTTCCCTCCCTCCCCTCAGCTACTCATTCTCTGTAACCCCGCTGTTCTCACTATGCTCTTTCTGCTCTGCCCGTTCGTTCCTCTCACTGTGTTTTCTCTATTCCCTACTCCCTGCTACGCTCTCTCACAGACAGCTCTAGCCATGTTCATACTTCTCTTTCCCTCTGCTCTGGATTCTTCCAGAAGCCTCTGGCTGTTCCCTCTTATGTACAATAAAACTCCCGTTCTTAACCATACCAAGGAGTGGTCATGTCAGTTTATACAAGGACTTTGGCTGGGTAAACAGAAGGATTGTTATCCAGTAAACAAGCCTTTGGGCAGGTTTCTGTTTACCAGAAAGGCTGATCACCCTAAACTGGGTTCCCAGCTGTTAGGGACCACCCTTAGTCCTCTAAGAACCTCCCTTAACCTTCCCTCAAAGGTCAACGGTCTCTAGCAAGGGCACCTAGTCCCAGTCAATCCCAATACCCTGTATTAGCTCAGATCTCCACCTGCTGACATGTAACTACTTGCTTTCCCACAATCTGCTCTTCTCTCTGCCCCTCTACCCAATGGCTTAGCAATTCGATCCCCAATAAACCTTCCTACCCATGGAGCAGTCTAGTTTAGCAGTTTCTCTGCACCATCAGTTGTATTTGAGGCTGAAACCCAGGACTGACCCAGAGACCTTTAGATTACACCACGGCTAACCATCTGTCTCTCCTCGCCTCACACTAGGAGCTGCCTGCTCTGTCTCGGCTTTCTCATCGGCTTGCTGGAGCCTGCTGCCTCTGTCTCTTGGCTCCTGAAGCCTTCCTCCAGGAAGTTGTGCAGGTATCAGGCAGCTTCTCGACGCCCTCCTGGCGCTCTACAATATTGGAATCCCCAGTCTGGCAGAGTTCCTATTTGTGACCCTTCCCCTAAGCCTATCCCACCTCCTCCTCACTGCTTCTGAAGGATGTCTTCTCTTCTCTCAGCTTGCTCCTGTCCCATTCAGAATCAGACCCCCAACTCCTCACTTGTCTCCTCTATTCTCTTTCCCTCCGTGGACTCAGATTCTATTAGAGCCTTGCTGTCTTACTGCAATGGATAAAAACGGCACACTCAATTTCCAGATTTTCACAACTTCTGCCACACACAAGCAAATGATCTCCAAATACCTTATCTCTGAGCCTTCTCTGCTCTCCGACCTAGTCTCTACCTGATCATTAAATTCAATTTATAGGGATTCAAATGTCTTTGGATGTGGATAATATTAAAAACTGCCACATGCTGTTCTACTTTATTAAAAAGGCTGACTCTGGAGCTCATGTGGCCCTCCCTTTCCAGACCCAAGCATGCCTGTTTCCTCCAAAGTCTGAGTCAGTCTGGCCACCTGACTCTGTGACAGGGAGGAGGAGAGCAAAACAGAACAATGCAGGAAACACACGATGTGCTTAGAACAGCTAAGAAGTAGACTATCCCAGTAGGGACTGCTGCAGCTTGTCTCACAGACTTTTCCTCAGTTTTGTTTACTAGCT